GATAGATGACCGGGACTGGTTGTGGTGGCGTTTGGACCCTAGATCTACCAGCCCTTGCTTGCTTGGGTTGATTATTATTTGACTGGGGTTGGGCGCCCGCCTCTTGCCTCTTGCCAGCCTCAGGATCCGCTTTCAGCACCCACCTCGAAAGCTTTTGGTTAGCGGCTTTTGTAGACCGCACGCGCGTGACCGCGCTTGAATTTGGCCGACCATTTACTCTGTGCCCACACACGGCCCCGCCCGCCCCCTTTTTTCCTTCAGCACTTGTCAGCAATGGCGCCCAAAAAGACCAAAACGGGCGGCAAGAAGAAGGGCACAAAGTCCAAGGGCACCAAGAAGGCGGTCGAGCCCAAACTCTCCTCGATGGAACGTTTCATTCAGTTCAGGTTGGTCCATGGACTTTTCACCTGGTGCCGGTGCAGCCGCCAGACATTGTCCTCACCTGGCTTCGTGGGGGCATCCATTCATCCATTAGCATCCAAACCCGAGTTGACCATTGCACAGCCTTGCGACAGCGCCGCGATGAGTTGCGCGCCGAAGATAAACAACTCAACGCCCAGCTCGAGACTCTTCGCAATGATCAGCTCAAGGTCAGACATAGTCACACAGCAAAATCCACCATCTTCATCGCGCCCCTTTCTCCCCCCCTCACCGTTCTCAATGCTGCTGTTCGTGCACCTCATGCTTCATCTCTATTCTTCTGGCGGCTAACAGAAATACTCGGAGCTGCGGCAGTCATCCATGGGCCAGGCCGACCAAATGAGTGACTTTGAGCTTCAGCTTGATCAAAAGCTTCAGGCTGTCATGCATGAGAAAAATCAATTGGTGCGCGAATTGGACAATGAGGTCAAGGCCCTGCGTATCAAGCTGGACGAGATTGATCAGGACGTTGTTCATCGTAACCACGAGCTCCAAGGCCTGAAGGAGTACGCGGCCGTGGGTCAGAGCGAGCTGGAGAAAAACATTGAGGTGATGCGTGCCACCATTGCTGACATGACTCAGGAACATAGCGAGCTCATGCAAGAATTTCACGACGACTTTCAAGCCTCAAAAGAGCGCTTTACCAACAACCTGTCGGCCCGCATGCAGCGCACCAAACACCGCGCCACCGAGCATGCCATCGCACGTCAAGGCCCTCGCGAAAAGGTACGATGACTGGTATCTGACCCACACCATCCGCAGTGCACCACTGCACCACTCTCTGCCTCAAATTGTCCCATGGCCCGGCGCTCTTACTCGCGTTACGGTCACTCTGTGCGCTCCTTTTCCTCGCCTCACATTCTCATGGTCTGGGTCGAAAAAAAAACACGTTAGGCAGAACATGCGGATCGGGTATGGTTGCGGCGGGAGCTCGATACTCACAGCACGGAACGTGATAAACTTGAAGCTTCGTGTCTGCAGCTGGAAGAAGAAAATTTGCGCATGCTGGCCCGTCTGCAAGGCCCGGGGGATCTTGATACTCGCTTCTCAAGCTTGGAACAGTACAAGCGTCACAGCCACCACACATATCAGATTGATATCGACGATGAGGACGAGGATGAGGACGAGGATGACGCCGCTGAAGGTCATTTTGACGACGATGAGGGGGATGAGGATGAAGGCGAGGGTGAGGACGAGAACGAGGACGAGGACGAGGAGCATATTCATAGCAGCAGCAGAGGACAAGAGCCAAACCATCTGACTGGTGGCCAGCCTCTCAACCTCAGCGGGAGTTGGTCCCGCTTATCTAGCCGCACCGCCACAGATTCGCTCAATATGGAGCACCTGCACCCAAGCATCACCAATAGTCTCTCCAGCCTCATTCGGCCGCAGCGCTCTTTGGGTGCTTCGGGCGACTCCGCTCATGTCAGCCCTTCTCGGCTCACCCGAAGTCCACAAGGCTCGCGACATGGCTCGCACGGTGCACGCGGCACACATGTTCCCGCTAGTGGTCACCTGGACCCTCTGAAACACACGGCCACCTTGGCTGAGACCCAAAGCGGACTTGGTCAGCTTCGCTTGGACAAGCTTGGCAACCCAGTATACGTGCGCGAGCCTGGGCCTCATGAGCGGACCCACGAGCAAGACCCCATTGCTCAGATGGAAAGCCTAAAAACTTTGGGGCCAGTAGCCCTACAACGCGTGGCCTCGGCTCAGCCTGGTGCGCGGGGCAGTGCTAGTCTGCGAAGCAGTCGGAGCCCAAGCCGCATGCCCAGTGCCTCGCCGAGTCGAGCCTTGCCTCCCTTTGGCAATACCATCAAGGCCCCTCTTCCCGCCATCTCCACGCCAGGATCGCCTCGCAGCAAGACTTTGAGCTGACCCTCGGTTGCTTGTTGCAGGCTGACTTTGCCCATCTCCAGGCGTTGACTGTCACAGCGGCTGTAGCAGGTGAATGCTGAGGGGCGGAGCCTCTGCTAGTATCATATCTACCCGGGAGTTGGTTTGTTTGACCAGGTTATACAGATGAGTTGTTAATATGTGACGTCTGAATTTGAGTCTGTCTTTAGAGTGTTGTTTGTTCTTTCTTCAGCCATTCTGGCGGATGCGATTCCCTTTTTGCATTTCAGGTTTAAAAAGGGTGGGTGCGTGTCTCTCAATTTCTCAAAGCTTGAACACCTGACCTAGACAGCTCGGGCTTTGACAAACATAAAAAAGAAACAAAATTCATAATCAAACTCACGAGACAGATGAGAGAACTGTGTAGCGGGAAGAGCACACATACACACATGAAAGGTGCTAGCAGAGTTCAAGGAGAGAGAGCGGCAACGAGCAGCGTTGGACCAGATCGTCCATCCTCAAACCAAGAAGAAAAACGTTGCTGGAAACTCCCAAGAAAGAAACAAGCGCGCACGCCATTGGCGGCATGCAACATGCAACATGCAACATGTGGCAGGTCACACAAGATTCAGAATCAAAAGACGATGAGCTCGACTTGTGTCGGGCGGACGTGGCCTGACTGTTTGCCAGACCCGCGCCAATGTAACAAAGAAGCAAAATCACGGGCAAATGGGGACAAACGGGGACAAACGGGAAGAGGAAAAAGCAAATGGACAAGGGGCCGCATCACCAAGCGGGCCTGTCTTCAGATGGCGCATGTGTGAAGGGAACTGATCGGAGCAGAGAGGATGCAGTCGCAAACAGGCAGCTTATTTTCGCTTAGCCTTGACAAGGCCCGGCGCATAGCTCTTGTCAATGTGGGGCTCTTGCAAGAACATGTGAAGGCACTTTTGATTCTGTGCCAAAGGATGTCCCGCGATTCTACGATTGAACCAGGCTCATCAGAAACCACAAATGGGAAAAAAAAGGGGCACAATGCGCCCGGGCCAACCGTAAAGAAAACAGTGGTGCAAGGCACTGACTTGTTGATGAAGGATTCGAGGCCGGTGCAGCGCTCCTCAATAAACTCTTGCGCGAAAATGCCTAGACACAGGAATCAGGTGCTGTGAGAAATCAATTTTGGGCGTGAGACCGGACGCGATAGAGTCGCCATGCCGCACCCTTTTCTTCGCTGACCCAGGGCATCTGCCGGGAGAGCGCCTTGGGGGGCAGAGGGGGGAGCATGATCTACAAATTGGCGGATTGTAAGCAAGTGATGAGACCAATCAGGCGAGAGATCGGTCAAGTAACATGGAAGAGCTAGAAAACATCTCTGATATCGGGTGCTAACCTTGCTATCACGTTCAAGCTCTGCGCGCAGCCAGTCAAAGTCGCTGTAGCGACGGCGGACCTGCGACTCCTTCAGCTTGAAGATGGGCAGGTTGGTCTACATTGAAACACAGGATCATGACAAAGTGTACCAGGTGAGAGATCAGACACCACAACGTCTGGGAACTCTTTTCAGCGACAATCCCGCGCATTGAGCACGATGCCCGTAGTAGTAGAGTCAAACAAAAAGGGAAAAAAAAAAAAGAAACCGCCCTCTTCCTCCCCCCCCCCCCCCCGCCAAAAAAAAGACCAAGGATTCCGTCTCAAATCACAGGCAGGGTGGATCAGGATGCGTCAGCCAGGGGCTGCCCATTTTCCTTGCCCTTCCAACCTGCACAACTCGGAATAAAAAAAAAAGAAAAAGAAACAGGACAACAACAGCGTGGACAACTCTTTCACAAGCAAACCGTAAAAATCTGCAAGAGGTCATTCACCAGCTCGATACCAAACACAAGCGATCGCAGCAGGGGTGGGGGGAGGCAGGCGCAAAAAGCGAGGAGCAAGAGAGGAGGCGCGCGTAGGTGTGCAAGAGCGCGTGCATGCGAGGAAGCGCCACACGACGGCAGCGTTGCGATCTCTTGCCTACCTTGACACGAACTTCATAATCGGTGTACCGCTTGTTACCAAAGCCATGCGTCTGAGGGTTGGTCACATCAATCTCCAGAAAGTTATCCGGCTCGGCATACGCCTCATCCAGGGTTTGACGCGCTGCCGGCGGTGCCTGCGCCTTGATCACCTCCTCTGCCATTTTTTACTTTTTTTTTCAAGTTCGGCTCGCGGGCTCGGTTTGCCTGTTGTTTTAAACTGTTGTGTTTATGTGTTGTACTTGGGTGTTTGGATGTTGGGCGGCTGCTGGAAGCATGTTGTGTGCAAAGATCTGTGTGTGTGGGAATGGCTTAGTGTATAAGGGAGAAAGTGCGCATGCGCGTGTGGTGGTAGTGTGGAAGAGAGCATCGTTCTGTGATGTATTCTTAATGTTTGGGGGGTACTTTTCCATCTGTGTTGATTCAAAAATTATCAGAACCAAGCGGATTCCTTACTATGGATGAGTTGTTGAGAACGAGTCGTTTCATCGCGCAACGCCCCTGCCGGGACCCCCTCCCCAGTCCCGCCCACCATCTCCTGTACGCCAGATGTGTGCGGCACGATAACGCACATCGTCTAGAACTCCAGAACGTCCATAAATCAGGAGGCGGGGGGCTACTTGTTGACGAACACGGAGCGCAATGGCCATTATGCATCAACTTCCGGATTTTTTTTTAGATAAAATTGTTGAATTTCTTTTCTCGACGGTGCCAATGGATGTGTGAGGGACATGGCCACACATAAGAGGCATGCAAGCGGAGGTAAGCCATAGGCAAAGAATTGGCACACCAAGGCATTCAGCAAAGCAGAGGGTCAATGCAGATGTCCGTTTTCAAGGCCATGAGGGCGTTGTCGTCGCGAATTCCGGAGATCGTGAGATTGTGAGTGTCTGTATTCCCTTTGCACACCAGGGCGGGTCACCAGCACGGTATTCCAACAGCAGATTCGCCACCTCCATAGTCGTGACTAGCAGGGGCTGGATCTCACTCGAAAATACTCGTCCTGGCAATTGCGAACAAAGAGTAGAAATAGATAAAATAAAATAAATGCCTCCCTTCCGGTCGACGGGACCGTACTTAAATCTCGGTGGCAGGGGCAACCACAATGTTCGACACGGTTCCTCGACGAGCGTCTTCAAGAACAAGCAGAGTTTATCCGGCAATGGTTGCTTTTGTGAATTGACGAGGGACAAGCGACAGTTCAAGAAGCAGAAGAAACAGCAAGATGTCAGGCTCCAGCTCGTCTGAAGGCCGGTTACGGATTTGACACTAACACAAGAGGACAGGGAGAAAGAGGGGGCGGCGAAAAAGCCGGATACAAAGAACGCAACGCAGTCGGCATCGCACAAGAGGAAAGGTGAGGAGATGATGACTTTACTTCAGAGTCAGCATCGCGCTTCAATAGCAACTCCGATACATGCAGATGGCCGTTAACGCGAGCAGCCCAGCTTTAAGTGGTGTCCAACCGTTCTATGGGTAGATTCACAACCACAAAAAAACGTGGTGGTCCACGTTTTTAGACCATGCCCACCACCACCATTCGATGTGCATAAGCAACAGCATGTCCGTGCGACCCATAGCATACCAATTGGCTTCTCATTCATACACACCAGCTGTAACAGACACATGGGACCGAGCAATGCGAGAAGAATGACTACAATGGACATGGAACAACAATCCGCGCGAGAAGAAGGTGACCTCACGCTCTCACTTGGGCGTCGGGGCGTTGTATCCCATCAGCCACGCCCATAGCGACAGCCACCAGCTTCGCGACCTGGAAACGGGGTGTTTGGAAAAGCATAAACCTGCATCAAACGCAACAACAGTTCACGACAACAGAAGTGTCCAAGGACTTAAAATACAAGAGGTACGCGGTAACGCTCCTTTATATAATCATCGTTCTTGAACTTCCTAAACTTGTCGCAGCGCTTTGACAAAGTCTAAGCTAACTCACACCTGTGTAAAGTGTAATGTGTGACAATGATCACACTATCGTATCTTTGCTTTTTGAAATCTTTTTTTTTTGTCGTTTTTTTTCACTTTTTTATTTTTTTTTATTTTTTTATATTTTTTAGCCGTTGCGGCGAACAAAATGGCAGCGGCGGGGCGGTGATGCTCCTTCTTCCGCATCCTTCCTGCATGGTCTGCTTGGAATCGGATCTCTGCGTGTAGCGGGTAGAGTTGAAGCCGCTGTTGTTTGAGTAGGTTTGGGCGTACGGTGGGTGGCTTTGCCTCCTTCCGCCCACCGTACACAATGAGCTACATCAGTGCCCACGAGCTGCTGGAGCAGCGAGGAGCACCCCTCGAGGAAGCTCAGGTTTGTCCCCAGCAAGCGACCTCTGGTGCCTGGTCACTCCTCCCCTGGTCCTTATCCTTCTGTGATTGGTTCCTACCCGTCCACCTGGTCCACCTTCCCGCGCTGGCTGCGCACCAGTCAGTGCCCAACTCACATGCCCCGTTTGTGGCTGTGTCCCATTGGATGTGAAATTGCAGCTCTGGGCCATCTTGGGACAAGCCCTTGTGGCCCTGCAAGATTTGGACGAGCGTGATCGCTTGCGTTTGCACATCAACCTCTCTACTTTATGTATGTTTCCCCTCCTTCCTGCAACTATTTTTCTCAACCCAAATTGTGCACATCCACCAACACACTCCCTTCTCACGTGCTATCATGAGCTCACTCTTCGCCTCCGCATGGTTCTGCGACTCTACCTCGCCCCCTCCCTGACCATTTAGGCCTGAGTGACACTGGCGAAGTTCGCTTCTCAGAGTCAAAGCAACGTGCGTCATAGACTGCTGAACACTCAAACCCTGTTTTTCTTTTTTCCTTTTTGTTTTGCTTCTTCGCTTGGCGCTTCCGCCCTCTCCCTTTACCAATGACCGACCTCATGCAAGGTTATGTGACAGATGCCGGTGCAGCCAGCTTTGAGGCCCCCGAGCGCGGGTCTCTGGCTCCCACGGCTAGCTCCCGCGCCGTCATTCACGTACGTGTTTTTCTTGTCACCCTTGTTCATCATCGACGGGTCCAATAGCCTACGATTTGCTCAGCGTTTCTCGCCCCCGTCACGCGGATAGACGCACACCTATTCGCTTGGCGTGGTGCTCTTCTTCATGGCCGACCATAATCTTCCTATGAACGCCGAACCCTCGGTCCGTGCATCTGCCCGTCTCCACAATGTATCCGTACCTGCCACCAACGTGGGCCCTTGCTGCGCCACGGCCATGTGCTTACTTGAAATACGAATGGTGTATTTGACGTACCACGAAGATGTCTGCCAATTTGGAAGAACTTGTCACTTCCATGACAGAGGACGACCCTCGTCACCGCATTCCGTAAGATTTGATCAAATGGTGCTCACCGTCATCCATTCCAGCTATCCTGCCCGCCTGATGCTGATTCAACTTTTTCTTGGCACTCGGGTCAGGTTTGATACAATGCGACGCCGCGTGCGTTTGCACCGCATATCTCCGGATGTTCGTTCCTACTCGGAAACGCTGGCACAGTTGTTTGCCTCTTTGTCTCTCCGCCGCTTGCCGACGACCCTTGAGAGCAGCACACCACACAAAGTCTACATGGGCGAGCCACACGCCCCCGCAAGCGCTGGAACAGTGCATCGTCTGAACGGTGCCATTCTGTCCAATACCGTGAGCCCTGCATCAATGCACCATGCCGCATCCACTCCTCAGCATCCAGGCCCAGGGGGCCACACCACCTCTTTGCGGAACTCGCCCATGGCCGTCGGGATCTCCCCGCGACGCACGCTGTACCACCATGGTGGCCCCAGTGCCTACGGCAGCCCTGCCTCCTTGCACAGCAACGCTGCAATTCAGCGCACGGCCTCAAACCTGCGTCATGAAATGCACCGTGACGCTCACCGCCAGCACGCTCAAAACCGTCTCATGGGTATGATGTGCGGCCACCCTGTCTCCACTAGCCTACATGGTTTGCCTCTGACTCACCGGTCACTACTCTGCTTCGCTTTGGACGCTTGTGCTTTGCAGAACAAAGCACGCGTTTTGTCAAGGTTCATCTTCTTAACGGCGAGGTTCTAATGCGCCCCGTACACGTCGACACCTTTGTTCGCGATGTCTTTCGTCATGTGGTCAACGAGATAGGCCTTCACGAAACTGCTTTCTTTGGCCTTGCTCTCATGCATACACGTACGTCCTAGCGCTCTTTCACCTTTGAATGGTGTTGACCCGTGGTTGAGTGATGCCTCTCTCGCCCCCTGCTGCAGGCGAAGTCGAGTTTCTCGACATGGAACGCTACGTTGTGTCTTACTTTCCCACAACACCCAAGCGTCGCGAGAGCAAAAACTTTTACTCGCTCAGCAGCTCCGAGCCTACCATCCTGGACGTGCAATTTCGCGTTGAATTCTATGTGGAAAACGTCTCGGTCCTCTCCTTGGCCGAAACGCGCCATCTCTACTACCTTCAGCTCAAGCGCGACGTAATTCAGGGCACCCTTGCAACCACGGACCAAGCGGCGGTTCAATTAAGCGCTTTTGCCATGCAAGCCGAGTATGGTGACTATGATCCCACCACTCATGTCGGTCGCTACTTCCATGTCTACGACTTTTTTCCCGAGCAAACGGTCGTCAACATGACCGTCGCCATCCTGGAACGCGAGATGCCGGGCCAACACCGGAAGCTCAAAGACATGTCTCCCGTTCGCGCAGAAACGGAATACCTCAAGCTTGCTCAAAAGCTGCACGACTATGGCGTACTCTACTATGCGGTTGCGGGTGTTCGGTACCGCCGTCGCATGCCCCTGCTCATTGGTATAAACTCACGCGGCATCATCATCTACGAAGACCTCAACGACCGCAAACAGAATCCGGTCAAGTTTGCGTGGTCCAACATTGAGAGTTTAAGCCTGCGCAATCGCAAGCTTACCATCATGCTCAAGGGCGAGGGCAAACAGCGCCACACCGTCTCCGCGGACACCCAGGAGAAGGCCGCTTACCTCCAGCACCGGTGCAAAGCTTATCACAAGTTCCACTTTATGATGCGTCAGCGCTATGCCGCAGCGGTCGGCAGCAGCAGCAGCAGCAGCGGTGCTCGTCCCATTAGCATGCTTGATCCCAACGTTCGCGTCGACGACTCGGTGCGTTCGGTCTCGGAGCATCGCCGCAAGACTACTGAGCGTCCGACCCCCTTGTCCTTCGGCCCAGACCAGCACGCGCCGCGCACCCCCGTCGAACTGGACGCAAACCGTGCGGAACGCTTTGGCTTTGATGAGCAACCTGATGCCAACCACGACGTTGTTGCCCAGGAGCGGACCGCAACGGCCCCCGCGGCGATGCAAGCCCGTTCTGCTGTCTATCCAGCGCCCGCGCTCTTGCAGTTGCAACCACAGACCTCAAAACAAGCAGCGCAGACGGACGTTACCCCCCTCACAAATGACGTCTTGCACTCGTCCTGGGACTCCCAGGACGAACCGGCCAAGGATAATGCCGCAGTAGTCATGCGCCACACCCTGGCTGAGGAAGCCGCGTCTTCGCCCGCATTCGTCGAGGACGCCGGGAGCGAGTATGAGGACGAGAATGAGGAGCGTGTTGACGCAGTCACGGCGCCCGCAATGGGCACAAACGTTAGCGTCCACGAGCCAGACGTGCTGGCTGGGGACGAAGCGCAGTCCGCCAACCCCTCGCATCTCAGGCCAACAACTGCGCCCATAACAGAGCCAACCCGACCTCGTACGAACACACAACAAGCCAAGTCGCGCCGTGCCATACAACGTGCCACGCGTGATCAGGGTTATGAGGAGTATGACGACCTTTTGTTGGCTCCAGATGGCCTGGCAGCACCGCGCACGAGCTTTGCGTCTGTGGCAGCACCGCGCACGAGTTTTGCTTCGGCTCTGGGGGATCACTCCAGCCCGCCACGGCCCGAGCCCGCAGGCGTTTCACCCGATGCAGTGATGGCAGCATTGCAAGCACAGCTCCCACGGCATGGGACTCAATCAACGCTGGTGGATCTTCAGAGTCCCGACGGCTCCATCTCCGGCACAGAGCAGGAGGCATCAGCAGCGTCGAGCGTGCCGGCTATGCCTTATACTACCCCACAACCTCAGCGCGGGCCAGCGACTGAAGCAGGTCGCATCGTGCAAGATCCACTCGAGGCTGCAGCTTTGTATGAACGGGCCAAGGCGGCTCGGGAACGTGCTTTGGCAGCCGTGCCACCCAACGAGCAGCGCCAGAGCTTGCATGCCTTTAATATCCGCCTTGAGAAGCGACCCAACGAGGGACTGGGCTTGAGCATTCGTGGTGGTGGGGTCGTCAGCGACTTGCGTCCCGACAGTGCCGCAGCCCGCGATGGGCGTATCAAACGCAAAGACCGCATCCTTGCTGTCAACGGCAAGTCACTGGCTGATTTGACCCACGCTGAGGTCATCCAGCTCTTACGAGACACGGAAGATGTGGTCAATCTCACCATTTCTCCTCGCAGCCTCCATCGATCTTCGCGGCGTCAAAGCACGGGTGAGCTTACCGGTCAGCCGAGTCGCCTAGACCCGGCCGTCATGGCTCAGCAGGAAGACACGGCACCGCAAACAGCCGATGCGGTGGTACCTGCGGCCAAGGTCGAGCTCAAACCACCCGAGGCCGGCGTGCAGCGAGTTGAAATCGCCAAATCGACCAAGACAGGGCTCGGTTTTAGTATCACCACAAAGAAGAAGGATCCGAAAAGCCGAATTTTGGTGGGCAAGGTGCACGCCGGAACCAAGGCGGATGCAGCTGGTTTGGCCGTGGGCGATCACATCGTGGCCGTAGATGGTCGTTCGCTTGAGGGCTTGACGCCAACGCAAGCGCTTCAGGTTTTGAGCAACACTCGCAGTCAGGTCACTCTGGATATTCGGCCACGCGCCGCCCGACAGTCCACGTCCAGTCTGCAGTCCTTTGATTCGGACGCGAGCTCGAGCATGCCCACCACGCCCGTGCGTCCGTCCAGCCGCCGCCCGTCAGGGGCAGCAACTATTCCCGAGCATGAAAGCAGAAGTGCCAGTCCCAAGCTGGCAGCCGTCAACGAGCACTCGGCTACCGATGCTGCAGGTGAGAGGGACAACACTTCCCCATCAGGATCGCCAATAGAACGACGCCGCACGCTGCCAGCACCAAGTCACGTCCAGGACACGCCCAGTCTGAGCGCTCGGGCAGCCTCTGTCTCGCAAGGCTCCGGCTCTGGGGCGCGGCGCCTGCCCATCTTGCCCTCTGGCAAGTCACTGCTGGCTTCACCCGTCATCACGGCTGCTCACACCACTCTGTCCCGGGGAGTTTCAGAGGATGAGGCCGCTGTCGTGCCACTGGATCCCTCATTCGGGGACGTGCACTCGACGACAGGTGTGTGCCGAATTGTTTCTCTCCACCGTGGTCGGCTCGGGTTGGGAGTGGTCGTGGCCGGAGGCGTAGATCTTGGCTTGGGTGGCATCTTCGTGCAAGAGGTTCGTGCTCAAACCCCGGCAGCCAAGGCAGGCTTGCAGCCAAGCGACCGCCTTCTTCAGATTGGTGATGTGGACTTTTCCGGGATGACCCATGCTGAAGCCCTCGAGGCCCTGAAACAAGCCTCCAATCCGATCCTGCTTCGCACTCAACGCGTTGCGCCAGCCGAGTGGACTCGTCTGAAGGCAGCAGCGGGCAAGTCGGGGGCATTGGGGAAGACTCGCGCTACGCTGCCCCCGCGCCCCGACAGCGATCCTACGCCTGGCCTGCCCATGAACCTTGCCGTGCCCGCCGAGGCCGTGTATGTCACTCTTCGCCGGTCTCGAGGCTTTGGTATCACCATTGGTGGCGGTGCAGACAAGACGCCGCCACAGCCAATTCGTGTGGAAAAGATTGTGACGGATAGTCCGGCTTTTCACGAGGGCACCATCCAAGTGGGCGATGTCATCCTGGCTGCCAACCGTACACCTTTGGATCGCAGCTCGTACGAACACGCCCTGAACGTTTTGCGCAGTCTACCCCACGAATCTACCTTTTGCGTTTTGCCAAAAGCTGCAGCAGACAAGGCCCGACAAGCGGCTGACCACGCAGCCTCCTCCCCCGAGTCCAGGACAGCAAAATCAGCTGCTCTCACATCTGGGACGCGCACTTCTACCAAAAACACTGACACCCCGTCAGCCGCGCCAGGCAAAGATCGCCCTCGTTTGCGACCCATGCTCTCCAAGCAGTCGGCCACCATCGATGAGCAAGAAGAACAGGAGCACCAAGAGGAACAGAACAAACAAAAGGTGCAAGTGCAGGAGGAGCAGGCAGTGGTTGCGCCTGTTGAGGATGCCAATGACCAGGACAGGGCAGATAGCCCGGTGGAAACGCAACGCCTGCCAGAGGCTGGTGGCGCAGCTGAGCCGCACCACGATGTGCCCCGTGTGGAGCCAATGCTTAAAGTTGAAGCCGAGCCCGTGTTCGCGGCTGTGCCGCGCGGTACAACAATGACTGCACCAGAGCAGGGTTTGGACTCCGATGACGCAGAGATGGATATGGACTTGCCCAGCCTGCCAAGTCAAGCACCGCCCACAGATGGTCACATTGCAGCAAAAACTGATACTCGTCCCGTAGTCCACCTACCGCCCCCTCCGTCCTCCAGTGCAGATGACACAACAGCCACGGAGGCCACGTTTGATGCATCAGCTGCTCCAGACAGGATGGCAGCGTCCGCTGCTGCGTTGCCCGAAGCCGCGCCTCAGCCAAATGCAACACTTCAGCCTGCAGCAGCAGATACGTCCATGGGCGAGGATGGTCCGCCGACGGAAAGCCTGCCCGTTCCTCCCACCGAGCCCGTCCCCGAGCCCGTCCCCGAGCCCGTCCCGGGATCCGTGTCTGAGCTCGAGCCAGTAAATCGAGAGGCACTATATGAGGAAATTTCCGGCAACATCTTTGAGACAACGTTGCGCAGTGGAGTCACGTTCGGCTTCTCCATCGCTGGTGGCGGGGATCGTCCCATTTATGTGAAAAAGGTATCACCCATGACGCCTGCAGCCCTGGGTGGTTTGTCACGACACGATGTGCTGCTCGAAGTCAACGGACACGACGTCCGTTTAATGGACCGCCCAGATCTACTCAAGGTCATCAAGGAGCACAAGGGTCAACTTCGCATCCGGTTCATTCGCCCAGATGCTGCATCAGCGGCGCGGCTCAAGAAAACGCGGGACAGTGACAGCAACTCGACAAAAGGCACCACAGCCCCGGCTGTGAACGGTGTCGGGCCTTCAGGTGCGTCCGGCACCCTCGAACAGGCTGACGTGGCTTTGCGCCCTGCCACTTCTAACCTCGCCAAGCCCAAGGCTCAAATCAGCTCTCGACCCGACGTGTCGCGCGAAGAGGGCCAGTCCCCCGTTATGAATGAGGCAAGCGAGCACCTTCGGCATCGCCTGAGATTACGTTCTTCTGCCAGTGAGCTGCACGAAGGCAGCGGTGGCTCCCGATTTGGTCCGGCTTCGCCAGCTTTGTCGGCCGAATCCGACGGTGGCAGCAGTGAACGATCCATGCCCATGGGACCAGCGCCAACGCCAGGCCAAGAGGTTGTGAAAGGCGCGATGCCCAGCGTGGCCCCTGCTGCACCGCTCGCGGTGGACAAGGACGACGAGTTTGACGTCGTATTGGACAAGACCCAGGACGGCGGACTGGGCTTGCGCTTTCAAGCACAACGCGATGACACAACCGGTTCTCAGGTGGTCTCAATCAAAGAGGTCTGCGCTGGTGGGGCCGCTGAACGTGCCGGAACGTTGCGCGCAGGCGATATTTTGGTCAGCGTTAATGGTCAAGCGTTGGCGGGTAAAAAGCCTCGCGAGATTATCGACGCGTTGTCTTCTGCTAGCGGCCTGGTGCGTATGCGTCTTGTTCGCCGGGTACTGATGGATCTCAATGGCAGCCTGCGCCCCGACACCCCCCCTCGCCGGAATGGTGCGGGCATAAAGCTCCCATCCAGTGCAGCACCTCCCGTGGATAAGGCACCAAGTCCCAGTGCGGCCGGCGCCGATGAGGCAACGGATCAGGAGGACGAGGTGGAAGACGGAGTTGACGAAGCATACGAGGCACGGCGACAGCGACTTCTCGCCTCTGTCGACTACTCTAGTGCTCAGGCCCGCAAGTGGGAGTTGCTGAAAATTGCTCTGCTGGACGCCATGCAGCAGCAACAGCCAGCCGACGAGTACACGGAGCTGAACAACATGCGACCGCAGTTGACCACTCGTGTGGGTCAGTCACACATGGCAGCCAACCGATACCGTGACATTCTTCCTTGCGATGAGACTCGCGTCAAGCTGGGGGCTGAGGGTTACATCAACGCCAACCTGGTGCAGCTACCGGTCGCGCCCGGAGAAAATCGTCATCAAGCCATTTTGTGCCAAGGCCCGCTGCCTGAGACTTGCGCAGACATGTGGCAGATGGTGTGGGAGCAGGATACTCGCGTCATTGTCATGGTGACTTCGGAAAAAGAAAAGGGCCATATCAAATGCCATCGCTACTGGCCCGTGCGCAAGCGCAAGAAAGTGACTGCGCGCAACTTTACGATCGAGAACTTGGGTGTGGTGAAGAAAAGCGGCTTCAATGTGTCGACCCTTCAAGTGCACGACAGTGCTTCGGGGGCATCGCGAGAGGTGATGCACTTTCAATTTATTGACTGGCCAGATCACGGCGTGCCCAGTTCCGCTGCTCAGATGGTGCAAATGTTGCGCGAGGTGGCTTTGTTCCAGGTAAGTGCGAGGCCCGGGTACGGTGACGGCCGTCAGTCATTTGCATTCCGATCTTATTCTTTAATTTCCTCTTTCCCTTTAGACGAGCGACGCGGGGCCCATGGCCGTTCACTGTAGTGCGGGCATTGGCCGCTCTGGCGTGTTTGTTACATTGTACACCGTCCTGCTGGCTCTGACCCTCCCACTCCGTGCATTGGACGTGGTAGCGCGCGAGCACTTTGAGTACACGGTGCGAGCTTGCCTATACGCTTGCACGCATCTTGCGCTTCTGCTCCAGCGCGGATGGTGCCTGGTTTTAACTCCCTAACATTGGTGTTTTTTTGCTCACCTTGCTGTGGAATAGAGCATTCCCGTGAAAGAAATTGTGCAAAAGTTGCGTGAGCAGCGCCATCCCTCTGTGGTGCAAACCTCGGTCAGTCCCTTGCCTTTTTACTGGAAACATATGTCATAGCGGTGTCGTTCACTGATGCGCTTGTTGCTTGTTTTAGGAACAATACTTGTTTGTGTATAAGGCCTACGTGACGCTGCTGGGCATGCTATTGGACGGACCAGTTTAGGAAGCTTAGACAACACTGCCCCCCCCCTTTTTTTTCTTCTTTTCTTTCGTTAGTTTTCTATTTCTAATTTTCTTTTCTTTTCGTCTTGGGTTGCTCTTCTGCCTCGCGTCTTTCATTACTTGAGGGGTGCACGAGAGGGGGGCGATGGGGTGTTGTGAGACCATCTTTGCAAACACTCCACCGTCCTCACAGATATTGTATTATTTGGATTTTGAGTTGTGTGGTACACTGACACTTCTGCGATTCGGTGTCTCGAAAGCCTATCCAGCGCTCTCAGGGGCTTGGAACTGCAGATCGAACGACGTGCAAAAAAAAAGCCGTTTTCTGCTAGCCTTGTGGCTATGGACGACACTGGGGGCGATGTGTGGAGGCTGTTGCTCTTTTTGATCTTTCAATTAGCTTTTTTTTTTTTTTTTTGTTTTTCTCTCTTCCTTCGGGGTTTCCTCTTTTATTGCGTGTGAATCAAGTTTTAAACGACACAGTCGTCGTTAACGTCAGGGCACAATTGTGCCAAGCACACGTGGCCGTTGAATGTGCAGAGGAGGCAGTTTCGTTTGGACACTGGCACTTCTTGACCGGAGCGAAACACGCGGAAAGAGGCAGCGGCAGAGCTTGTCCCGATGCAATCCTTACTGAGGCGGGCGGTACGCGGGGGTAGGGCAACGTACTTCTTGCTTTGTTGTATAGACAGGGGTAAGGATCGACTCAGCTTGGCTGACTCGCGCGCCTGTTTTGAGACGCTACATCAGTTGCCAGCAAGACTTGGGGGTTGAACCAGTGCTTGATAATGCCAATGTACTGGGTAACCATCATTCTTTGGCCATCGCTGTCACGAAGGGACACCAGGCATACCTATTGGCAACCGGCTCTTGGTCAGAGGATTTAGACGAGCAGATGGGTGTGCGACAAGGCTAGCGCGGTTGCAGCACGCACGTGGAAGATGAAGCAGTCGACAAAGTGAAGCTTGAGGCTGGAAACTAGTGATGCACGCCAGGCATCCCCCGGATCGAGCATTGCCGATGGAACAGCATGAGTTTAATGAGGAATCCAATGGGACATTGTGGCAAGGTCTGTCAACGTACTGGAGAATCCTGCCGAGACGAGGCCGCGAGCCACTACGCGCAGAGCACGTCGAAAGAATGAGCGGCCCTGCAGCATTGGCATTGTGGTTTCTTGATGCTGCATGGTGAGATCTGTGACATCGCTCTTGACGCGTGCCTGTGAGAGCTCCCTAGTCACCACAAACAGGCCAGATGCATGATCGATCAGCATCGCAGTGGGCGCCGGAGCCTCAAGGTCTGGGTGCCAAAGGCCGGGCAGCGCCACGACGCACGTACCCGGGCAAGGGGCGAAGGTAATACAGGGCTGTCAAGGCCAACGCCACGCGAATCCAAGTCATGATGCTTCCAAACAACACCAATACCAAGCCCGTGCCCGCCACCAGCCAGAGCCGCAGCTGCTCCACCTCGGCCACCGCCACCTCAATCGGCGTGACATCGTTCATGACTGACGATGCTTTTTTGAGTTTTTGAGTCAACATTTCACCCAAAAAATGAGAGAGAGAGAGAGAGAGAGAGTGTGTGTGTGTGTTAAATGAATTGGTTTGAGCTGAGATACAGAAATAGCACAACGACCACATCAAGAGAGTTTTGACATGGAGTGCTGACGTCGGAACAGTTCTCGGCAAAAGAAGCGCGCTCTGATGACCCGGGATGAGCGTGCAGAAGATGTCGCGAGAAAAGAGGCAGTCTAATCAATTTCGATGGAGATGCTCAAAGCTTGTAGCAAGCCTTTTTGGCATCGGACAACTCTTGGAAAACATTCAGGTGGCCCTTGGAGAGACTCCAGAATTCACGGCCCACTCGGGTCAAAAAGTACTGGTCGTGGCTCACGACCACCACGGCACCCGGGAAGACGGCAATGGCCTCGATGAGCACATCAATGGTCTCCATGTCCAGATGGTTGGTAGGCTCGTCTATAAACGTCACAGTCGCAAGTCAGGGTGAGGCCAAGCCAAGAAGAGCAAAACCAAAACGATCGGGTGGGCACGCTCAAAGGTGCGATAGTGCAAAGAGCCGAGTGCAAAGGAGATCAAATGTGTCGACGCACCAAGAACGATCAGATGGGGCTGGCGCTGAGTGAGCGTGGCCAAGGAAACACGAGAGCGCTGACCACCCGATAGAAAGCCAATCTAAAATTCGCGCATGCGACCAAACTGAATGAGAAAACGCGTGTCAACTCACAAAGGATCGCGGCATGAGCCAAAGGGTACCTGAGTGGTTGCAGTCTCGCCACGAATACCGAAAGAGCCAAGGTAATTGCGACATTCTTGAACCGACATGCCCGGAAACTCCTCGCGGAGATGCTCAATGGGCGAGATTTCCAGACGCAGCTGCTGCACGTGATGCTGTGCAAAGAGGGCCACACGCATGCCACCCAGAACGCTGACAGTACCCTTGCTTGGGTCCAGCTCTTCCAACAAAAGGCCCAGGAGCGTGGATTTGCCTAAAGGTGTACAGTTGGTTAGCGACCGTCACTCACGTCTGCGTGGCATGCTTGACAAACAGTAGGTTAAAAAAGGCCCGATGCATGTCCCGCACCTGCGCCGTTGACACCAAGAATGGCAATGCGGCTGTCCTTCTCGATGGCGCAAGATACATCTTGCACAATGAGGCGGTTCTCATCATAGCTGCAAGGAGGCAATTTGCCGTCGTCGTTAAATGCAAGTCTGTTGCATTGGCACGGCACCAAAACAAAGAGCAGCCACTGCGGCAGAACGAAAGGCAAACGAACCCAAAGCTAATCTCCTGGGCTTGAATGAGTTGGTTCTTTTTGACAAGGCTGGGTTCTGGGAAGCGAAGCTTGAGCGAGTCCTCGTCCACGTCCGCATCCGGATCCTGCAACTCTTCCATCTTCTCGAGAGCCTTCTTCTTGGACATGGCTTGCTTGACACGCGCAGCCTACAGACAGAGTTCAGCCCCATGAATGATGGGACGACGCTCGGCAAGGGCTGGCGCAAGAGCAAATGCCAACCTGGGCACTGGAGCGCTTGTCATTATAAAACTTGTCGATGTACTCTTGCATGTGCTGACGCTGCATCTGCTGGGCCTCGTACGCGCGCTTGGCGGCCAGGTATTGTTCTTGGCGAACCTGCCAAAATACGCTAGCTAGATCAGAGCCGCAGAGAAGCACGAGGCGGGACCTGGGATGGCAAAAAGAAAAAAAAAAAAAAAAAAGCAAAATCGTAACAAACCTTGACGAAAGAGTCGTAATCACCCTTGTAGTAGCTCAGTTTCTTGTTGGCAAAGAGGACCACATCGGTCACGACCTCGTTAAGGAACATGCGATCGTGCGACACGATGATGATGGTCTTTGGGTACTTTTTCAAGTAATCCTGGAGCCAGAGCACCGATGTGAAATCCAAGTGGTTGGTCGGTTCGTCCAGTGCCAACAGATCCGGGGCCACAAAAAGTGCCGCAGCTAGCCCGGCACGTTGGCGCCAGCCACCACTGAGCGAAGAGACGGGCTGTTGCATCATGTCGGCGGTAAACTATTTTCAAGCGTGGGCCAGGGCAGGTACAACAACGGAGGTGAGCCGGCGTTTGAGAGCGACAAGGGGGGCGCGGTTTGAGACCAAACGACCACACAGATCAGCAAGCCAGAAAAAAAAGGGGGGGGGGGGGCTCAAGCAGCCGAGCGATCGTACTTGCAGACCCTTGAGAATTTCGGCAGCACGGCCTTCGGCTGAGAAGGACTCCATTTCATTCAGCCGGTCATAGATTTGCTGGATGCGGTTTTGAAGTACCTGCCCGTCCTCACCCGAGCTCTCGGCTTGTTCAAGCTTGGCCCGAAGCTCCTGCTCCTCTTGTTGGAGAGACTGGAGCTCGAGATCAGCTTGGATGACGTACTTTATGACCGGCTCGTCGCTCGACTTGACGTGCTGGGCGACGTGGACAACCTTGAGCGTTTTGGGAAAGGCGGATAGCTCATAGCTGGCAATGGCACGAAGAAGAGTGGACTTGCCGATACCGTTCCGACCAATCAAACCGTAGCGGCGGCCCTGAATCAGGCGCAGCTGGCCACCCTCGAGGAGGTTGATGGTCGTGGAAGGTTTCTTAACGTTGACATCGTTGATGACAATGTCACCCGTGAAGCGAGGCTGGGTAGAAATGGCCTTGAGGTAGACTTCCAGGGCCTTGCGGGCACTCTCTTCGTCGGCATCATCACGCCAATTACGCATGGCTGCGAGCTCACGCTGGCGCTTGGCCTCGAGCTTACGGCGAGCGGCGGTTTGCTTGACCACCACGTCGGGCGCCAGACCCTCCTTGCTGTTGGCGTACAGGGCCCGACCCAGCTTGGCAACGACGCTGGCATCCTCTTCCTCGGTGATGATGGAAGCAGACGTCTGGGACATGACCACGGGCGCGCTTAGTACCTGCACTCCTCCGGCGGAGGCAGATTTGTCTTCCTTGAGTTTGGCGCTGTCGCCATTCACGCCAGCCATCGTCCGAGCCCGCTGAAAGAGCTTGTTGCACAGTGCGGGCACCATATCTTCATCCTCACACACACCATAGCCAGTCTGAGGGTCGAGTCAGCGATTGGGTGAGCATGGCTGTCTCGGTGGAAAGTCGCTCGTCCGTTTGGGCAAGTCTTAAAACTCTGGGAGCGATCGTACGAACCAGCATGTCACCCAGAGATTCATTAAAGGTCTCCTCGTCAAGGAGCATGTCCTGGTCTCCAGCAACCATAGAGGCAATGTACGGGACAACTTCATAAGCGTCATCATCCTCGCTCAGTTGCAGAACAGCTGCAAAGGCCTCGGTCAAGCTGGCCTCGTCGAGTTCTGCCATGATGCCAGCTACAAGCGACACGCACATCATACACGTAAGACTACGATCTGAATGCTTGTACACATCCCCGGGTGCATTTGTGATATGTCTGTCTTATCCCTGCACGATCGCAAAGCAGGGGTGAGGGATGAGAACGGAGGAACGGACTCACAAGGTCTACACCGGCTGCCGTTTAGCTCCTCCGCCACAAACGAAAAAAAAAAAATGAGAGAGAGAGAGAGAGAGAGAGAGAGAGAGAGAGAGAGAGAGAGAGAGAGAGAGAGAGAGAGAGAGAGAGAGCGTCGAGCGGTAAAGAAGATGATTAGAGGGACGAAGCCAGAAGGTGCAATAGGCAGAGATATGAACCAAAGCTACAATAGTCTAGTGTTAAAAATAAAGGGATCCCAGAGAAAGAGTATACTTTCGAGTCTAAAACAGAGGCACAGAAATGATGTAGCGTTGATTGCAGAGATGCATTCACTTGATGATGTTAGCACCTTGACCCTCGTGGCTGCTGACATTCTCGATGTCGCAACTTTCGTGTGTGTGTGTGTGTGTGTGTGTGTGTGTGTGTGTGTGTGTGTGTGTGTGAGCTGCCTAAGGGCATGGCGGAGGGGAGGCGTGGAGGGTCAATGGCGGTGGCTGTGGCTGTAGAATGTAGCGGCGATGATTATATGGCTACAAGATTACAGGACTACAATACTACAGGACAACATGCTACAGGATACATGGCTACATGGCCCGATGGCGAGATGGCGACATGGCTAGCTCCGACTGTGGCGATCTCAGGCTGTCTGTGGGTGTGCATCATGGATCATCGGTCTGGATATTACAGGATCAAGGTGGTGCTAACAATGTCATAACAGAACATCGTATTGGTTGAGGAGCTGTTGACCTTGGGCGTCGTCCGATCAAGGGTCCCGGTTATGCAAGAGACGCAAGCAGTCAAAAAACGTTCGTACTACATGTCTCCTCAGGAATCAATTAATAGCAGGCCATGGGCCAAGACCCTTGCAGCACTTGGATCATGGGCCACGCAGTGGCATGTTCTCCTCGACGTCAAGTCGAGGGACACGGTTCATTAGCAATTGTATAGGCGTTGGAGACCGTGCAGCAGTAGTACGTGCCAGGGTCCTGGTGCAGTGTCTACGTGAACGCGCGCTGCTCCGTGCGTGCGCTGTAGTTTGTCGATCAGGGCTGCGGCCTGCAAGTGCCAGCAACACGATAAGAAATGAGTGCCCACGAGATTGTGTCCCTCCTAGCAAAGCACAGACTTGGACGTACCCCATAGGGTTCATGGCCCCAGAGCGTGACCGAGGCGTCAGGCGCCGCATACAGCAGGGCATCAATCGTATCTGGACGTAAAAGAGCATGAAACAGGGAAACGGCAAAAGTCACGGGCATATCTCCCGCTTGCGTCTGAATCAGCTCTAGCATCTAAAGTGCCACCCGCAGCAGCAGCGCACCAATAGAAAGTGTCAGGTAAAAATGCGAGTCAAAGGATCGCTGCAAGGGGATGGAGGGGCAGTTGAGAAAAACTCCAACGCTGCTATGAAAAAAAGGCACGTACCTCGGCTTCGTGCTGGCGTGTATAGCCTTTGAGGCAAAGCTTCGAGGTTGTCCAACCCAGGGACAACGTGGCAGCGGGAAATGCAGCGCGACATTGCCGCACAAAGCCGGCTGCATCAAAAACCGGTGCAGCCCCGCCTGTGTTGAACCGAGTTTATATTGTTGCCCAGTGAGGCGTAAGATCAAGCACGGGCTGCCATGGGGTCACAAAGTGGAGACATACCTGGTCCCTGGAGTATATCGGCATTCAGCCAGAGTTGAATGTTTCTCGCCTTCAGCCGGGCCTGCGCATGCGCTGTGAAGATCCCGAGACCACATGAGCGTGGCGCCAGTCTACATCCGTGCTGCAGAGTGCTCACTTCAACGGAGCCACATATTGACTGGTCACGCACCACGCAACCACGCCAGCGCTGGTGCTACGGCATCGGTGTCCTTGAAATCCAGCTTGAGAATGCTAATGGTAAACTGGGAGCAGTACCCCACATCAGTTGGGCATCGGCCCCCCGGTTCCACAACGCAACAAACCCATCGTACCTCGGCTGCAAGCAACGTCTCGACAAAGTCGTAAAAGCTCAGATCGCTGGTCGTGGCGGGAGGGTGCGCCATAATCAGCTCCTGGCCAGTGGCCCGCCCAGCTCCCACCCGCACGTCAGCCTGCGCAACACCATGAGTTTGTCTCCACCCGAAACATTCATACAACACCAGCTGACCCACTGCACCCGCTATCCATCCTCTCCTGCATCCAACCCCACCCACCTCAATCCTCGACCGTCGCAGTGCCATGGCCTCTGCCAACCGCTCCCGGTCATTCACAGCATGCGACCAATATCCTTCTTCCATCTTGATACTACTACGGCAATGATGATGATGATGCCTGCTTGTGTAAAAAATTAAAAATTTGAATCGTGTGTGTGTGTGTGTGTGTGTGTGTGTGTGTGTGTGTGTGTGTGTGTGTGTGTGTGTGTGTGTGTGTGTGTGTGTGTGTGTGTGTATGATCGATCTTCTTCTTACTGACGGAACAACTTGAAAGGAATGCGCTTGTGGGGAGGGCATGTGGGGGGTGTCTCCCCAGGTTTGACAGGGAACAGCTATGTGCAGGTTGTTGGACATTGAGATCAAGTCAGGGCAAAAGTGCCGGCGGCGGTGGTGGGGTGTTGGATGAATTTTGTGTGCGTCGTATGGTGTAAATGACTTGATTAGGTCGACATGAGCCCAATATAAACTCCTTCTTTAGGCTACAACCTTTTAGCGCCGGCAGGCAATGGCCACAACAATCTCCCGACCATCATGTACAAGGCCAAAGGCATCCTGTTCTGGCGCCAGCGACTCGTAAAAAAGCTCATCGATCTCAAAGCCCACGGCACGGAGCTCGCGGAGCAACACGCGGGTATCCAACATGTGATAGTGGTCCACGGCCCGCAGGCGGTGCGGCAGCAGCCAGGCTCGCAAGCTGGCTGGGAACCAGAAATAACCCGGGAAAGCACTGCCCAAGACGCGTCGCCAAGCATACAGCCATGACAAGGGCCAGGTCCCTGCCATGTATGGCGTATCAGCTTCCACATACAGGCATGCACCAGGCGCCATGGCATCATATAGGCGTTGGAGCGTGAGGCGCAACGCGCGGGGCGGCAAAAAGTGTAGCACGTTGGAGGCGAGCACATGGTGCACAGGTGGAGACAAACGACTCAGAACTCCCGGAACCGCCCCAACCAAACACTCGAGTCGCTGCTCAACTTCGGGAACGAGGACGACGGCATCCGAGGCTGGCGCATCCCGAAGAAGGGCACTGGCGCGTTCAGCAATGAGGTCGAGCTGAGTGGATGAAAGATCGCATGCGACTACCCGGGCCCCAGCCGCAAGTACAGGCGCCGAAGCCACTCCATAAGCGGCCCCAATATCCAGGTGTGGGCCCTGAGTATCTGCAGCGGCGGCGGCTCGCATCCAGCGCTGCATCGTGGAGCTGGGCTGCGAAAGCATCACACCAAAGCCATTGTCCGTCTCTACAACCTGCGCAGACGCTTGGCGTCTCTCAGCCGTCGCAGCTGCGGCCTCGCGCAGCACTTTCAGGTGCCTTTCCAGCAAGGCCACTCGCCGTCCCGGTTCGTTTTGAGGCGAGGCATCGTCGGCGTCGTCATCCATGGGTGTCTCGGCCTCGGCCGACGCAGCTGGGGTGACTGCGACCAAGGCCTTGAGCCAGCGACCCAACGTTTCATTGTCTGCACCTTCCACACCGCTCCAGCGCAGTTTAGAAAACACATCAAAGCCAAAGCGATCTGGTTCGGCATGTTCCAAAAGTTCGCCGCCTGTCATGGACTCGGCCGCGAGGCGAAGCAGCGTTGCCTTAGACAGCCTCAAGTAATGCGACACAAAGTCTGGTAGCGCATCAGCTGGCACAGCCTCAAGCTGTGCACGTACCAACTTGAGTGACTCGGTCGACAGCGAGGAGTTCTTCTTGCCCGACTCGCCATCAAGCGTCGGCGCGGGCGCACCGTCTGGCACGTGTGGGCATTGGCCATGAGCGACAACGAACAAGCGGGCACTGCAAAAGCATGCAAGACAAACAGCACCCACCTGCCCGAGCGACCCCACGGTGCACGATTGGATCCTCGTCTCCCCGCGTCAGTGCTCGCAGCAGCAACCAAGTTGCCGCCGCCCCGGCACCAAAGTACGCCGCCCGTCGAAGCTCATCTCGCATCTCGTTGGTCCCAAAGAAGAAAAAAGAAGTAAAATACATGTGCCACGCACCAAATGACATTCATGTTGAAAATAATTGAGTTATTGCAGTTTTGTAGGCAAGTTTTATGAAAGATGTTGTGGAAAAATTTAAAGAAGATGTACGAAGTTAACTGGCGGGTGGCCATCAATTTATTATGTTCAAGTCGCTTCCTGCTGCTTGGGTGAGACGATAACATCAACCCCGAACGTGGCCAAACAAGGCGGGGGAAGCAGAAGAGCGCGTTGTATTACATACTTAACATACGGAAAAAAACATCACAAAACTCGCAAAAAAAAAAAAAAATGAAAGGCGAGACAAGAGCGCCTGCAGAAAAGTCGCTTACAACACGGCACAGTGGAGAACGATAAACGCAAAAGAGGTGCATCCCAGTTCAGAAGGCTGGGCACACTCTGCAATCTCTTCGAAAAAAAAACAAAACAAAACAAGAGGAGATCGATGCCTTTGCTCAAACTTGCAAAGATGATGAGAATCAATAAAATGAATGCGATGGCGCAGCCAGAGCATTCAGGTGTCGGAAGTATCAACGGCATGTGAGCCTGGTGGATGGGAACCGGAGAGAGTGAGCGCACGAGGGCGAGGTGGGAGAGCGGCGGGTTCGGCGTAGTTTGCCATGCCGTAAATGTCTGTGGTTTCTTGCGCTTGACCCACGGCCGAGTAGTAGTTGTGGTTAATGGGGGCTGAGTAATACGTGCTGGCCTGTGCGCGCGGCGTTCCAGTGTCATAATTGACCCAGTCGGTTTCCTGTGATGAAGTGACTGGAACAGCAGCATATTCGCCTGTCGTCAAAGATGGCGAGCTATCAGCAGGGCGACCATGGTCGTACGTGGCCATGTCCCAGCCGTTTTGGACGTGGCTGTTCAGTTGCGCCGGGGTCGGGAAGCCACCCTCGGGTGGATGATAAGTCGGATTGGCAAACATGAACGGCTCATGGGGACTATTCAAGACCTTGGGGTCACTGCCAAGATGCGGTCGCGGGCGGTGGTTGCGTCGAGAGCGGCGCACAGCAAAGACCACGACCATCAGGAGCAAGATGAGACCAGCCGCTGCCCCACCCACCAGGGCTGGGTTGACGCCAGAGCGTTGTGTGCTTGATTCACTTTCCTTATTGCCTGGCGGATCGTCCGGAAACACGGGCTCAGAGCAATTGGCTCCGGCAAAGCCGTTATCACATGTGCACGCGCCAGTCGCGCTGTTGCACACGCCGTTGTCACTGCATGTTGGGAAGCCAGGACAGGAGGCGACATTGCAGGCCGAACCAGACCACGAGTCACCGGGAACAGCGGTGCGACAGACGCACTCGCTATTGACGATGACACCATGGTCATTGCACTCAACGTCACACGACACGCCCGTGTATTGAGGCTCGCAGACACACAGACCTGATCGCAGGGGCGTCTCAACCCCGTGCACGCAAGGCACCGAGCAAGAGGGGTACAAGTAGCCGGCATCACAAACGCAATAGGCTTGACCGTCCTCCCAGTCACCGTAGCACACGCCATTGCCCGAGCAGTTTTCGGGGCAATCAGGAATGTGGCACCCAATGCCTACCCAGGAGGGAAGGCAATCACATTCACCCAAGGCATTGCAGTCACCGTGACCCGAGCACTCTGCACCCGCGACCTTGGTCGGGCAGCCCTCAATCTCGCAGCTCGCGCCTGAGCGCCCACTCTCAAAAGTGCACTCGCAAACTCCATCGACAATGCTTCCAAAGCCGGAGCACTCGATGTCGCACGAGGCTGAGGTCCAGCCCGGATCACAGATGCAGATGCCCGAGTTGGGCGGAGATTGCGTTCCATGCACGCATCGTTCCGAGCAGGCAGCTCCCATGAAAACACCGATGCAGTCAACGCAGGTGGGGTCCGTTTCGTTCTCCCACTTGCACGTGCCCTGGTTGTTGCAGTTGGGTACGCCAGGACAGTCGGGGGTTTCACAGCCGACACCCTGCCAGCCGCTGAAACACTCACAAACCCCGCCCGAGCACTCGCCGTTGCCACTGCATGACTGACCCTCTTGCATGCGCCTGTAATCGGTGAAGCCACAGACGCCATCGTATGCACCCTCGGCGCAAGGGCCGTTACCAGGGCAACCAGGCACGTCGCACAGCTCGCCCCAGAATCCCTTCTCGTAATCGCAGGCACAAAACACGACGCCCTGATCGGACGTGCGGATTTTACCGTTGCCCGAGCATTCAGCATCACAGCTCTCGCCACTCCAACCCGTTTCGCACAAGCAGAAACCTGAGTTGACGGGTGTTTCCACGCCGTGAACACAGGGTGTGTTGCAGTCACGTCCCATCCAACCTGCATCGCAGTTTTGACAAATGGGTTCCTCGAGCGTGTGGTTACAGAAGCCACGGCCATAGCAGTCAGGCTCGCCGGGGCAGTCCGGACTCTCACAGCCAGGACCACGCCACCCGGGGTTGCAGTCACAGACAGCCAGCTCCGAGTTGCAAATACCACGGCCAGAGCAAGACTCACCGTGAGCCATGCGTTCGGCGCCAGAGAGATCACAAATGCCCGGCGCACTGGTATTAAAAAGGCACGCGCCGTTGCCAGGGCAGCCAGGCTCGTCGCACAAATCACCCCAGAAGCCTTGAAGGTAGTTGCAGATGCACTGGTCGTCCTCGATGATGCCAGCGCCACTGCATTGGACATTGCAACTCTCCGAGGTCCATCCAAGCTCACAAACGCAGTTGATAGAGTCCTTGGGCGTTTCGGTACCATGAGTGCAGGGCGTGCCGCAATCCAAACCCATCCAGCCCTCATCGCAGTTAACGCAACGGACAAGAGGTGCGTAGGTGTCAGGATCGCAGGTGCCACGGAAGTGGCAGTTGTTGAGACAATCGGGAACGCTGCAGGCCACACCAACCCAGCCGGAGTCACAGGTGCACTCGGCATTCTCCGAGTTGCACTCACCATGGCCGGAGCAGTCTTCATCGGTAATAGTCGGGCAACCAGGAATCTCGCAGAAGGTGCCCTGACGACCCGAATAAAAGTCGCAAACGCACTCCCCCGTGTCATCGTCAAACGTGCCGTAGCCCGAGCATTCACTGGTTCGGCTCGTGCTGGCCAATCTTATTGTTGTCTCTCCTTCCCCTGGGTGAGTGGTATCATCCACCCGCCCAGCTGACGTGGGTTGTGTCGTGCTAGCTGCAGTTGTGGTTGTGGTTGTGGTCGTTGTCGTTGTCGTGGTTGTCGTTGTCGTTGGTTGTAGGGTCGTTGAACTTGTGGCGGTGGAACCAATCCACCGGGTTGCCGATGCGAGCTCTTCTGCCGTGTAGTTATAGACTCCCAACTCAGAAAGAGCAACGGATTGCCCGATGCAATCCGTCTGCTCACAAACTTCAACCAGACTGCTTGGGGATTGCCACTCATATGTGACTGGGGCGCGGACGGCCACATGCAGTGCCACACTAGGTAGGCCAACCAACGAATCGGTCCTGTTGGCAGCTGGAGGCCATAGATTGAAGGCAAAATCTGCGCCGTTTACAATATCAATGACAAACACCCATGGCGTTTGCAGCTTGCGCTTGAGAGTCTCCAAAATAACATTGACAGAGATGCCATCTGCAGACTCCTCTGCTTGAGCTAAAATTTCGAGGGCACTAACTGGTGGCTCCGGTTGTGCCACAATCCAGGTACGAGAGTCTTGCACCGCGTGGCCGCTCGAGTCATAACAAGCTACGGTCACAGTATACGCCCCAGGCATATAGCGCTGATATGGGGGTGCCTTCCAAGTCACAACCGTGGGTGACCCAGCGGGGTCGTCTGTGCAATCATACTGAGGAGGCGTGGGAATGATTCCAAAGGGCAACACGACATTGTTCTGGTTGCCGTTGGGCCAGACTACGTTGAGCTGCGGTACCTTTGAGTCACGCACTAGCAGCAACACGTCTTGCAGAGTCTGCCGGCCCAACGCGCTAAATTGGTAACGCAGGCGAATCAACATGCCAGGTGCCGTTTGACTTGTACTCAGCATGGCGAGTCCACCCGAGACCAGCGCCGCCCGTTGCGGACTCGTAGGATCCCACAGGCTTGACGCATTCCAATCCACGTCCAAGATGCCTGTGGTCGCATTTGAAGGTACGGCAAGCTTCCACCGCTCGACGACCAGGCACGAGGTAAGCAGGCGCATGGGCGCAGTGTTGAGCTGCACCTGAATCTCGGGCAGCTGAACGGCGTCACCCCACTCAATTGTACGCTCCGTCAAGGCCATCTGCACGAGGGGCGCCTCATTTTCAGCCATGGTGATGGTGACGTTGAGAGTGGCCACGTTGTCAGCACTGTCTCGTGCCGATACTAGAGCCACATATGTGCTGCCATCAGGTCCGAATAAGGCGTCCGCGACCAGTGAATCAGTTGCACTAATATTGTATGACGACCAGCTGGTGTTGAGCCAAGACCCGGTGCAGCTACCCGTGGTGGTTTCGGGCGGCGAGGAGACGATTTGCACGGTCACAGAGGCCGACACGTTTCCATCCCGAGCGTCCCAGGCCGTGTACGAGGGTGTCCACTGCTGGCCTGATATCAGCGTGACGCTCGTTGCACCCGTCAACTCGGGTGGAGTGGTATCTGGTACCACAAAGGTCACTGTGCGACTGAGCAACACAGTCTCGGTGGCAATGACCACGGCTTCGACAAGCAATGTTTGAGAAAACGCCTGGGTCATTGTCGTAGTTGTCACCACCTCAACGCCCGTGACCGAGTCGGACAATGTTTGAAAGCGTACGCCCTTGGGTACCAGTTCGATGGCCGCCAATGATTGAACCTCAACGCGCGTGAGCACGGGCGAACCGTCGACCAGCAGTTGAATAGGGTAGCAGGTGGTGGCACCAGCAGGCGAGAAGCCAGCGCCAGTGCAGGCAACACACTCGGATTGTCCGGGCAAGGTTTGATAGGTGCCAGCGGGGCATGCATTGCACGATTCCAAGGCCTCGATGGAGTAGCTCCCAGCGCTGCAATTCTCGCATAGTGGTGCCTTTGTGACATCGCCGATGAAAACATCCTCCTGCCCGGCCAGGCAAGACTCCCGTTCCCAGCAAGCTGGGAAAAGATGGTTTCTATGGCTCATGTACGTGCCTAGGTCAACGCAAATAAAAGCACTGGCATGTGAGCACTGCCATGCATGCTCAAGCAAGTGAGGGGGTACAATCGTCAAAGGACGTTTGCTCAGTCCGTCTGCGCAGGGCATACCGGCAGGACAAGGTATGCACGTGGTATCGGCGCGCGCATTGCTACTGTTGGCAAAATGGCCCGCGCTGCATCGGCTCCGGGTTACGCAGGAGGGGACAGAGCCCGTGTAGGATAGGTATGTATCTACAAGATACGTGGAGACAGCGGGCTGAGCTGATCCGGCAAAGAAAAAGCAGAAGTCGGCCAGAACAGATGCCGTGATGGCCTGGCCCCACCTGTAGCACACGCCTCGCAGGCGTGTGTATCCACTGAATAGTAGCGGTCGGAAGGACAGACATTTTCAGATGAAACGCAAGCCGTCTCACGGTGATTGGACAGGTTCAAATGCGTGCCTGTTGATAACACAACCAGTCGACAACCATGTGGAAAAAAAAAAAGAGGAAGACGATATTGCAGCAGAAGTTGTGAGCGGTACAAAAAGCATGGTGGATCAACGCTTGTGCATGACAGATCGGGTCGCACCACTTGGGCATGATGGGCAGTCCAAGTCACGCGTGCGATCGGCGACAAAAGTTGCATACTCGTCGATTTCACACGTGCCCTTTGTCACACAGGAAAGCGAGCTCGTCGTCGTGCTCGGTTGATAAGTGTCTGGATCAAACAAGTGGTGAAACACACGTTCTAAGGACTAGCGCGTCTGTGCAAGGTCACATAGAATTTCAGAGGCGAAAACTCACTGGTAGGACACTCGACGCAGGTATTATCTTCTGCCGCCGAGGCGGCGACTTCCATGCGAAAGCCGGGACCACAGTTGGGGGTGCGTGTAAAGCACGAGGCGTTGCGGTGGAAATTGAACGCATTGAATTCGTCCGTGTCACAGGCTTCGCACTGATAATTTTGTGTCGTGCTGTCGAAATTGGACACGCGCTGTCCGGCCATGCAATAACCAGATTTCAAAGTACATGCTGTGTGTTTGTGAGCTGCATCCCCTCGAAAAGTCCCTAGTGCCCAAGTGACCAGCAAACGGTGAGGAGTGCAGGTGATCTCATCAAAAAAAAAAACGCCGATCAAGCTGACGACATGGCTGCACAACCCGTACCGGGCGGGCAAGCCGAACAGGTAGTATCTGTGGTTGGGTCGCCCAGGTTGGAGCAGAATTGGCCTGGACCGCACAGGCTGCTTTTGGTAGTGCAAGCACTGAGGCGATGGTCGTTCACGTCAATATATGTGCCTGTCAAGCAAAGCAACGAGATCATTTTTTTAAAAAAAACAGGCAAAAATGTCCAATCAGCGAAACAAAAATGCAAGTCACATTCGGGGTGACACCAAGAAACGCACCGGTCGGACAGATGTCGCAGATGGTATTGGTTGTTTTACTGGAGGGGTTGACGACGTAACGGCCATACGAGCAAGTGGCGCGAGGCGTGCATGCAGTGGCAGTTTGTGTAAAGCTCGGCTGGAAAGACTCCCCAACGCAAGGCAAGCAGATGTAGTCTGCACTTCGGCTTGCTGCATTGCTGACGTAGGTGCCGGGCGAGCACATCGCCGTCTTGTTCGTACAGGCGTGGTTCAGGTGGCCTGAGGCGCCCATGAACGTGCCTGCCCCCACGAACCACAATGATATTAGCTTGCTTTGGGATTGGTGCAGACGAAATCAATGGTCAAGCGTACGTACCAGACGGGCAAAGGGCACACGTGTAGTCGGCCGTATTGCTATCGGGATTGGAAACATATTCTCCAATCCCACAGGTATTAGTCTTTGCAATACATTGTGTTTGCAAGTGTGCGGCCAAATTCATGAAGGAGCCTGCCAAGCCAATGCAAAAGTCAATCGAGGGGTCGTCCAAGCTCGCAAAACAGAGGATCATGTACTTTTTCTTCCCGACCATTGCGAAGAAAAAAAGAGAAAAAGCACTTAACATGTAAAGCGAAAAAAGGAAAAAAAAAAGAGAAAAAGAGAAAACTGGCATCCGATTTAAAGTCAAGCATGCGTACCGCCGGGGCAGGCAACGCAAGCTGTGTTGCGCGTAGGATCCGTCACAAAGGCCGCGTATGTGCCTGCAGGACAACTGGACAGCTTGTTTGTGCAAGTGGCTCCCGTGTAAGAGTTGGAGGCTTGGTATTTGCCTAGTCCATCGGCAGCAAGGTAGATGGTGAGGAAAAGCAAAGGCAAAGACGGGGGCTTGGGCTAAAGAGGCCAGCCGAGGGCAGTTGATGGTACACACCGGCACCACACGTGGCACAAAGGCGATCTGTGGTCAGCGAGTCGGGATTTGAAACATAGTGCCCGGTCGAGCAGGTGACGGAGCGCGCCACGCATGTGGCTTGATTTTGACTAGTGGAAAATTTGCCGCTGACACAACTGGTACAGCTCCGATCTGAGCTGCTCGTGGGCGAAACGGATACATAAGTACCGGGTTCGCAAGTTGTCCACGGGGTGCAGCTGTTCAGAGTATGATTCACGGCGGAGATAAAAGTGGAGCTGGGACATCGTGAGCAGACTGTGTCGCTGGTGGCCGTGCTTCCCACTAAAAGATACTCTCCCGATTGGCACTTGGACACGGATCCACAAGTGTTTTTTGGAGGAAGGTATCCATAGGTATTGGTCGGGCAGTTGCTGCAGCTCCAGTCGGGAGACGGATAGGTTTCCTTGATGTATTGGCCCGGAGAGCAACTTGGTATAGGCTTGCACGAGCTCAGGGTGTGACTCGGCTGATTTTGGTATCGACCTGCGCAGCGACACCAAGGGCACATTGCCTGAGTGATCGCGCACTTTCGACAGCTCGGACTTCTTCATTGTTATTTACCCCCCCTTACCGGACGGACACGGGGCGCAGGTGAAATCGGCGATGGTGGAAGCATGATTGGGGACGAATTCGTGGTAGGTGCACGAGTTGGCCTTGGGGAGGCAGGTGGAATTAAAATGGCTACTTGCGGGTTGGTATGTGCGGGCTGTGGGGGGTTCAGGATTGGGATCGGCGGAGTCATGAGTAAGTGCACGCATGTGCGATGCAGCTAGGCACCACGCTAGGAAGGATGCGACAGGATCAAAACTGATGCATGATTAACGAACCAGGACAACTTGGACAGGTTCGCGCGGCGTCGCGGTTAGGCGGTGCGTTGTAGTATTGACCAGCACCGCAAGCTCCCTGTGCCTGGCAGCCGACTTGGTTCTGGGAGACGCTAAAAGTGTCTGATGTGTGTGTGCGAGTTGTGTGTGTGTAAACGGTGGCGATCATCACAGTCGTTAGCATCCCTGTGCAATCCTGCGTCATAATGTCTCCGAACACAAGGAGCAAGGCAGAGAACATACGAGGGGAACAATCAGCGCAAAGGCGATCCTGGCTGGTACTGCCCATGGTGGACATGTATTTGCCTGGGTGACAAATTTGCCACGGTCGGCATGCATCTAGATGCGGTCCGGGGCCGGTCCAGAGCCCGTGGCTACATGCCACACAGACACCGCTTTCTTGTTTGAAACCAAACCCGGCGCTGCATGCAGCTGTGCGGCGTGGGGGTTCGGGGGTTCAGGATGGTTCAGAGTGAGTAGACGAGTGTGGGCGCAAGGAGGTGCTTTTCGTGGTATGAGCGGGATGAGCCAACGACAAACAGGCCCACAGAACCTTGACAGGCAGAACAAGGTAAGAACAGGAACAGACCGTAGCAGTAATTGTCCGAGTAGGTGAGCTCAGAGGGACCACAGACTGGCAACAGGCAAAGCGATGGCAACAACGTGGTCGTGAGCGAGGGATACTGGGGGTAGGAAGAGTGAGGTAGAGGTCAAGGGGCTGGCATTCAACTCCCGTACGAGCGCAAACGTCGACGCGTTTCGTGTCCTTGATCGAGGAAATGCCGTAGCCCTGCGGACAGCATGTTGGCGCACAGAGATAGACTAGGTTCAGGGGAGGGGGAGGTGAGGTTGTTTGGCGGTCATGTGGCATGGGGTCTGTGCGGCTCAGCGAAGCAGAAGCAATCAGCCAAAGGCAGACCTTTGGTGGTTGTGTCTTCTTTAAGTTCGCAAGAAGTGCAATTGGTACAATCGCCAACAGCCGCAAAAGTGGTTACAGTGCTGCAAAAGTCGAGGTCCTTGTTGGATGCAGCAGGATCCGATGCGAACTGAGCCTGAATCTGTCCAAGAGCACCCGTCAGAATGCAAGTGTCAAGGTGGAAAAAAAAACACAAAGCAGCCAAAAGTCAAACGGCGAGCGAAGTGGGTGTCTTACCAGCATGGCCTGTGGCAGGGCCAGCGCCACCAACAGGGCGAAACTCCGCCATGCCACCTGACCAACATGCGGCCCCGGCAACATGCTTGGACTTGTACAGCTGTGCAGGCGTACCATATGTAAGCCACACTCATCACCAGCCAAAAAGCATTGGCAGAGTCAGGGTCACAATGCCCGATCAAGAAGAGTCTGCCACAAGCACGGACCTGGCGCGATGGCAAGCCAAGAATACCGACGGCTAACAGTTGCCTCGTCCTTCAAAAGCCCATTACCATCCCCATCCTCATCCTCATCATCCCTGCTCAAGACTCGAGCGCCACACAAGCCCTCGGCACCCCCGCGTACGCACAGCCTCTAGCCCCCAAAGCCCCCCGGAGAGAGAGAGAGAGGGATCGACAGAGAGAGAGAGAGCAAATAAACAAGAAGAGTAGAGTTTTTGTGAGAGAGAGAGAGAGAGAGAGAGACAGAGAGAGAGAGAGAGAGAGAGAAAGCGAGCGAGAGAGAGAGACAGAGAGAGAGAGAGAGAGAGAGAGAGAGACAGACAGACAGAGAGAGAGAGAGAGAGACAAACACACACACACACACACAGAGCTCGAGAGACGCAGCGTCCCAGCTCTTCTTAAAACACCCCTGTAATCGAAACTTATCTGACTTTTCTTGAACAAAATGAACAAGACCCCTCGGAGTTGGAGATGTTATTGTTTTGACCCTGCATGCATGCAAATTTCGTGGCATCACACGCTCTGCTTCACGTCAATCAAGCCATCCCGAAAAAAGAAGAAAAAGACACGACGTCAGTCTGGCTCTTCCCACACTGGGCTAGATCCTCTCTTCTTATATTTTTCCATCGCTCCCCTGTCCGTATGGGGTGTCGATTTGTAGTTTTGACCATCTCGCCCCTCTCGGGCGCGAGGACCTTTGTTTTGACCCATTGTGTGCGCCAAGTCGCGGATACACAACACGGGCATTTCGAGGCCAGGCCTCGAGTTGCCGTTATCATGGCACGGCGGCGACTACCAGGGCTGCCGCCGCTGCTCGCCGCTCTGATCCTTTCTCTGGGTTTCAGCGAGCTGCCTCAAGCAGCCGCCCTACCCAGCTATGTGCGGGCCTCCAGCGAGACTACCTGCACCTCGGCGGATGAGGCCTATTGTCGATATACCTTGACACCAGAACCAGCTTGCCTCACCACTGTAAACTGCGCCGAGCCCTGCACCTACTCGGGTGCCGCTCCCAGCTTTATTAATCTTCTGACCACAGCTCGCCCTGGCTTCAACGTACGCGCCCCCTTTGCGTTTAAATTGTGCACTTCCAACCGGCGCGCCCTTGCCTTTCCGTGCTTGTGCAGTTATGCGTTGCTTCGAAACACTCCGCTCATTTTGACGTGCACGTGCGTTTGGGTCGCCACCCATCTCCGTCTGGGTTCACCCCCGTTCATCCGCATTTGCGATCACAGGAAAGCGTCGGCGTCCCACTCAACACCAGCACGCCCCCACTGGCCGTGCCCATTACACAGCAGCCCCATTTGACCCGCGCCAATGGCTATGCCCTACGCCTGGGATTTCAGCTTGAAACGATCACCCCCGACGTGCAGTACGTCCTGCCCCGCTGGACGTTTCCCGCCGCACGTTGCAACTTGAAACCACTCACGCTCCCGTGTCTACGCCGCCTTGTCCACCCGTGCCCCCATCAACCCTTGCCTCTCTGCGGCCAAAAATCAAACTCCGCCCCATCAGGCATTTATTTGCCGTTCTGATTAATCAGGGCTCCACTATTTCCAGTGCCGTTGCCCTCAACGCCTCGGCGGGTCGTCTTTTGGTTCAGCAACGCGATGCTTACTTTCAACCCCATCAAGTGGAACTATCCCTCTCGAGTGCACCCCTCGAAACCGGCACGCGTTACGAGTGGACCATTAGCTTTTACCGTCGGGATCTCGTCGTATATGACTCAGCGGGTCGGGTTCTGGCATCTTGGTACTACGACCCTGCCAGCTTCCCACAAACCTTCATCGATCCTTCCCAGTGTGGTTCAGACCGTCCTTTTGGCTGTCAGGTTGACCAGATGTTGGTGGGTGGCGACACGGCCACGGTGGCTTCATTTACCGGGCGTTTTTACCAAGCACAACTTGCATCACGCATGGCCACCCAATCTGACGTCCTACACGCGCTAGCCGTGGCAGAAGATTTTCCCGTGCACTTTGCTTTTGTGCCGGCCGCCGTCGCTCCCGCCTGTCGCTGTCCACCAACACACCCAGTGCTCTTGGATGAGCTGTCGACTCCCAATACCTGTGTTGAAATACCCACTCGGCCCGCGCCGCGCAACACGCAGGATCGTGTTTTACAAACAGGAGCTGCCTTCGCTCCAGGCTTTGTGCTGGATGGCGATGAACAGACGGCCTGGCAGTCGGCTTTGGGCTCAAACGCAACTCTCACACTCGACCTTCGTGGGCCTCACTACCTCGATCGAATCGAACTAGACGTGCTCTCGGCCTTGCCTGACGAAATTCGTCTCGAAATCGCTCAGACCAGCGACCCAGCCGAGGTGGCCTGGACCCTGCTGGGTGTGCTCCGCGCTGATTGCGCCTTTGCCAGCACTGCACCATGCCAGTCTTACCCGCGAACGGCTGACGGTGCCGCTGTAAGCACCGGTACCGTCGCCTTTCAAACTTCTTTTCCCAATGTGACGGCCAGCTCAGCTGCTCTAGCGGCCGTCACAGCAACACAGCTGCGCCTAAGCTTCGTTGGCCTGGGTGTGCCCGAGCTAGCGCAAAGCCATTACGTCACCATCGGTACTATCGCGGGGAGCATTCGCTGTGCTTGTCACGGCTTTGAACTAGAGTGCGGCCCTGAACCGGTCAGATCGAGCCCTCCCTACAACAGCACCCTCAGCTGCAGCTGTGGTGGCAACACCATCGGCTCCCAGTGCGAGGCTTGCGCGCCGTTGTACAACGCCAAACCCTTCCGACCGGCTTTGGGCCCGGCAGCAGCCTTTACCTGTCAGCCCTGCACATGTCACGGCAAAGCGGATGCTTGCGTTTACAGCGCTGCACATGATCCTCACCCCGACAGCTGGACCGTTGGGGATGGTGGTGTGTGCAACTGCACCGCCCACACAACCGGTCGCCAATGTGCTGCCTGCGCTGACGGCTTTTTCCTTCCCAGCAATCGATCCATCACCGAGGTCGATCCCTGTCGCCCCTGCGTATGCAATGCGGCTGGCCGTGCCACCGCAACTTGCCAGGACGGTGACGGGGCCTGCTCTTGCAAACCCCACGTACAGGGTTCCACCTGTGATGTCTGCGCACGAGGGTTTTTTAACTTGTCAGCAGCCAACCCCGAGGGTTGTCAGGCCTGCGTATGCAACGAGGCGGGCTCTCGACACAACAATACCTTTTTCTGTGGTCAAGATGAAGGAGGTTGTCTCTGTAAGGACAACGTCCTGGGTGCGGCCTGTGATACTTGCCGCCCAGGCTTTTTCAATCTCTCGACTGCGCACGATCAAGGCTGCATCGCCTGCCATGCCCTCTGCGACCCGCTGCAATCCTGCTCTGGTTCGTCAAGCAGTGACTGCGACGCATGCCGCTTTGCTCGCAATGACGACGTCTGCGTGAGCCATTGTCCCGCACATCGCACCTTCAACGCCACATCAGGCCTGTGCACCGCGTGTCCTGACAACGAGTGCATTCTGGTCACGGCCAGCCCAACGCATTTAATGCTACGCGAAAACCTTTTCACCACCACCATCGTGGGCTTTGTCGGTACAACCAGCCTTCCGCGCGCCCCAGCCAATTCCGGTCAGGAGGTTCTAGACCAAGATCCCATCTGGGACGTTGTACCCCTGCCACCTGTGAGCTTGGCGAATGCCGAGGTCTCCGTTCTTGACGGCGCCTTGCGACTGCCAGAGGAGGGCGTGGCCGGCGTATCCGTGGACGCTACAACTGCCGATGACAGCTTCACCCTTGGGTTCTGGCGCTCAACTACCCGATTTAGCGGCTTGACGCGTACCTCCAACTCCGCAGTTGCGGCCACCGACCGAGCTGTTGCGGCTCAGGTCGGCGCCAGTGGGGTTCTTACCATTGTCGCTATGGTCCGGCTCGATGCCTCGGGTTATATCCTCAGCAAGACGCGCGACTCACTCACCTCGAGTATCGACAGCGTGAGCTATACACTCAGCGCCACCACCAACAACATTGTCTTTTCCTATGTTTACCGCCTCGCCAACGGAGACTACGCCCAAACAAACCGCGCCGTTGCCACCAGCGTGATAGATGGCACCTGGCATCGCCTGCGCGTGGTCATTGCTGGGACCGACTTGAGCCTGTGGATTGACGAAACGCCCATCGCCACGGCCCTACAACTCCGCGGGCCTGTGCACGACAACCCCGCCAACCAGCGCTTTGTTGTCGGCGCCTCCCCGGGCAGCTCGCTGCGCCTGCGCGGCGATGTGGCCCTCGTGCGCGTCTACCCTGACCTGGCTCTGACAAGCTGGCCCAGTCATTTGGTTCAACCCAAGATATCGGTCCAAGGCATCAACTTGCTCATGGTGGTTGCGCCCCTGGACCGAGAGACCACGGCCGAGTTTGCATACCGCCTTGAAGTTGAATATGCCAACGGACGTCGCGGGTCGCGGGAGCTAAATCTGACCGTGCTGGACGCGAACGATAACGCTCCACAGCTTGTAGCCACTCGTAATTTCATCAGCCTTGTCGAATCGGTCGCCCCCCCGGTGATCCTCAACCAGTATTCTGCGACCGACGCAGACATTGGCGCCAATGCGCTCGTCACCTTTGCCAATCTCAGCGTGCTTTCGGGTCCAGAGTGGGCACTGGAATCAGATTCGACTCTGCCTTTTGCGCTCAGCGCCAACGGCACCCTGTCCCTGGTTGCGCCTCTAGATGCGGAATCAGCCAATCTCTGGCGTTTGGAAGTGGTGGCTCGCGATGGAGGCACCCCATTCCTCGAGGCTCGCGCTGAGTTTGTGGTCAACGTAGCGGACGTCAACGATGAACCGCCGCGCTTTCTCAATGGCACCAACGTTACCATCAGCGTGGACGAGGGTGCCGCCCCCGGGGGTGTCTTAGCAACCGTGCTGGCCGTGGATGGCGATATATCTGGCCTTCCCGTCAGATATACATCCTCCATGCCGGCCTTCTTTAGCGTCGATGCGTCAGGGCACGTCCGTGCGCTCATCCAATTGACTTACGACCGTGCTGCCGGCATTGAAGGCAATGTCCTCACATTTGGCATCGTTGCATCGGATGGAGCGCAAAACGCGACGCTAACCGTTTACCTTGTCGTGCGCGATGTGAACACCGAAGCGCCGACATTCAGTCAGCCCGCATATGCGGCTGCAATCCCTGAAAACGTTGCTCCTGGAACCCCTCTTGACAATTTGCTCATTGCCGCCACGGACTACGTGGATGGAGCTGCCTTGGCCGACATCCAGCTCGAACTCACAGGCGATGGTGCAAATGACTTTGCACTGCTGCCCTCGGGCCAGGTGGTAACCTTTGCCATGCTTGACCGTGAAGTGCGCGACGTCTATCATTTAGAGGTGGTTGCCAGGGACGCCGTGGATCCCACACTTGCGCTTTCCTCTCGTGCCAACCTGACCATCACCCTCACGGATGTCAACGACAATCCGCCCGCCTTTACACACGGAAACCTATCATGCACGGTCCCAGAAAACAGTGCACCTCTGGCTTGTGTCACGCTGGTGGCCTGGGATTCCGACGGCCCCGGCAACAACTCGGTCGTTCGTTTTCGCCTTGTTGCAGGTGACCTGGACGCCTTCGAAGTGGATGCTCTGACCGGTCTCGTGCGCATGCGCCGCCCTTTGGATGCAGAGCTAACCTCGGCAGTAGCCGTGTGGGTCGAGGCGTACGACCTCGGATCCCCCGTGCGTGTAAGCACGCGCGTGCTCGTCACCTGCTGGGTCGAGAATCTCAACGATAACTCTCCTGTGCTGGACGAGGTCACATCTCGCGAGCTGTCAGAGCTGGTGCCAGTGGGGACCATCTACGCCAATGTCACTGCGTCGGATGCGGATGTCGGCATTTTTGGAGCACTTGAGCTTGCTTTACACACATCGAACCCAGATCCGGCGCTTTCGCTGAACGACGACGGCACTGCGTTGATTATTCGCCGGGTTCTTGATTTCGAGACCGTTGATCGTCAACGCCAGCGTTACGAGCTTTTTGTCCGCGACGGCGGAGGCCGCAACACATCGGTTTCCTTCGAACTGACGGTGCTTGATGCCAATGACAATCCACCCGTAATTTCGGCGCCAGATGATGTCACTCTCACCGAGGACAATTCTCTGGTGCCGAGATTGGTGGCCACGGTATCTGCCTCGGATGCGGACAGTTTTGAAGGAGACATGCAGTTTTTGGTGATTGCGCCGCCTTTGGGTTTTGTGTTCTCGCGCATCTCTGCGGTCTCAGCAACGCTCCAGGCCGCGGCACCGCTTGACCGTGAAACGCTTGGGGACACCCTCCTCATTCAGCTGCGCGTTGGTGACACGGGATCGCCAACCAACTGGGTCACGCACAATCTGACTGTCAATCTGCTGGACGTCTCGGATGAGGATGTGACCCTTGCACCTGCAACTGGCACTGTCGCTCTGCCAGAAGAAGGCAGCGCGATCCGGCCACTGGCCAACTCCACGCTCACGGACTTGGACGTCTTGCCAAGTACTCTGCGCGCTCTCCGCCTCACGCTACCAGTGCGCGACAACGATGCGTGGAACGCCGCGCCCATCACCGCCGAACTTTGTAAGACAGTTCAGTCGAGCGCCGGACCCGATGTTGCCAGCGCAGGCTTGGTAGACTTTTTCGATCAATGCCTCCCCCGTGCCGGCACGTCCTTGCTGACGGCTGCAGTCGAATTCAATGCCTCCAATCTCGTTGTCGTACCCAATGCTCTGGAGGCGCTGACCGGCACGAGCACCGCTCTGAGTCTTGTTCTCTGGGCTGACCTGCTTCCGGAGAGTGCGGGCGTGCTCTTGTCACAACGCGATGCCGATGGCCGCATTCAGCTTCAGATATACTTGGCCACCTCAGCCCTCGTGATTGTTACGTTCCAAGTGCCATCTCTTGACAGCCGGCCGGATGCCTGGTTGCAATATGATGTACATTTTGTCCCAGACGCCAGTCTCTTGGTCGACGATGGATGGGATTTCATTGCCCTGACTCTTCATGCTGACGGCTCGGCGTCCCTTCTCATCAATGAGGCAGAGTATGCACCAACTCAAATCACGCAACGCGAGGTGTTGAATGGTCAAACGCAGCCCGCAGTCGAGGTAGGCCGGCTTGTGCGCCTGCCCGACTTCTCAGGCATGGGGCGTTTGACATTGGGTGGATTTGGGTCCCCCGCTGCGCCGTCCAGCACGGTCGCAGGCCGTGTTTCTGCTCTGCTGCGCTATGTCGACGTTGTCGTAACCTCGAGGACCATTGTTTGTACCAGCCAGTGTGGCCCAAAGCTCGACGTGCCGGCCCAACTGCCTCCCAACCTTACGCTCAACTTTTCAGCCTCCGGCGCAATTGTAGACATCGAGGGGCACGCTTCCTTGGCCGAGTACACGGCCTTGCTGCAATCGGTGGTAATGTCACAGACATACGTTGAGCCCAATCCTGCCGACCTGGCGCTCACCCTCACAGCCTGGCAAGACGATGATCGCCAGGTTGACCTGGGCACGCGCGTGTTACGTCCTGCGCTTGTTCTTGATCGGGCGCCCATCATCCAGCTGACACCCTTACCTCAACCTGGTTTTGCCTCCGAGGCTGACCTTACCGCCAGCCGCCAACGTGCAGTTGAATATATCGAGGGAGATGCTGCTGGCTCGCTCCTTTTAACTCCAAACCAGGGTCGGGTCACCTTGCTGGACTCTAACACAGCCGTGCAAATTCTGCAGGCACGGGTCACGCTTGAGAACCCGGCTGCCGGAGATGTACTTGCGTACGATGTCGCATCTTGCAGTGGGCTCAGCCCCACCGTAGCCCCAAGTGTCAGCACAGACTTGCTGTTCTCCGGGGCAGCAAGCGCAGCCATCTACACGGCCTGCCTTCGCTCCGTTGCTTTTTTGATTTCGGTCCCTGAGCCCGCGTTGCCCAACGTCACGCGTGCCGTACGCTTTGTTGTACAACAAGGACACCTCAGCTCGGTAGCCAGCCGTGCCTTCGTGACGGTGGTACCTGTTAATGACCCGCCCGTCGTTAGCTTTGATGGGTACCCTGTCGCTGCGCTCAGCTATCAGGAGGGATCGGGAACGCTGCCCCTGATTGGACACGCGCGCGTCGACGTACTGCCCGGTGTTGTGACCGCACTGGTTCACCAATTACGCTTGACCGACGCCGACAGCGTCATGCTGAGCAACCTGACCGTCCGTTTTGACCCGACCCCTGCGGCACTCGGCGAGCAACTCGTAGTTCGCAACGCAACCCCCGGCGTACGGGTTGATACGCTCGCCGATGGTGGTCTTGTTTTGCAAGGGCCGGCTTCACCATCGCAACTAAAGGCCGCCTTCGCGACAATCGAGTACAGCAACAACTTTTCGGCTGCTCCTGCCGTCTCCACGCAGCTGCGGATTGCAGCATCGGATGGTGTGGCGCAGAGCATGGAGGTCACGCTTGAGATTCGTTTCCTGGGCGTCAACAACATGCCCGTGATTGCTGTGCCCAGTGGTAGCGAAACTGTCAACTTTCTCGAGGAGGGCGCCGCGTTGCCGTTGTTTCCAGACGGCTTGGATGTGTCCGATCCTGATTCTGATCTCTTCACCGACGTGCATGTGCACGTGAGTGGCCTGCGTGATGGTGATGATGAACGTTTTGTTTTTGATGCTGCCCTCAACATGGTCCCCAGTGGTGTTGGAACCAACAACACGGTGCGCATGTTTGAAAGTAACGCTTCGCTGACCGCCGACGCCCTACGAGCGGCACTGGCTGCGTCGACCTACCAAAACATCTTGAACGAACCCACGGCAGGCGTGCGCACAATCATGGTCCGACTTCACGATGCAGAGGGCGCGGCCAGTAACGCCGTGCAGCTGTCGCTGAACGTACAGGCCGTCAATGATCCTGCCACAGTTGATTTAGACCCGATGACGGGCGGTCTGAACCGTGAGACGACGTACCTTGAGGGTGATGCGCGGGCGTATCTTGCAAATGCCGACTCTCTAACGTTGGCCCTTGAGCAGCGCTATGAGTACTTTTTTACAGCGATGGTGAGTGGCACACTTACCTCTCGTCGTAGTGCCGACGACTATGTCGTACAAGTGTACTTGGGGGATGGCGGGCCACTGACCTTTTTCCAGTCGCTGCCTGTGACGGCCGATGGGACTTGGGGTCCCTCCGACCCAATCGAGCGGCCCGCCGTAAAGTATTTTCGCTTGGTTTCTCGACACAATCTCAATGTGCCCTCCTCTTGCATGACCACGGAATGCGAGTCGGGCGCGCTTGCACTGGTGCGCGGAGATGGTGATCTAGAGTACGCGGGGCTAGGCCTGAGCTTGACCGTGGAAGACGTGGACAATGATGAGGTGATGGGCTTTGTGGTCACACTCTCTGGCGCCGATGCCAGCGATGAAATTGACATGCTGCATCAGCCGAGCTTCGTGACGCGCGAGATCTTGCCCTTCGACCCGATCACTCAGACGCTGATCACCCGCTTCACTTGCACAAGCGGCGCCATCAACCACAGCACTGCCGCTGAATTGGTGGCGTTGCTGTTCTACACCAACCCGAGCATACACGTCGAGCCTCAAACGCGCATGGCTGCTGTTCAGGTTGTCGATTCGGCCAATTTGGCCGGGACACCGGCAATGGCAAAGATCGCCATTGCGCCAGCAAATGATGCCGTGCCAGCGCTGCGGCAAGATGTCGGGGTCATTGCGGTTCTGGAAAATTTGACTGCAGGCGCCGTTATCGCCAACTTGTCCAACCTAGTGACCGATGCAGACCTGGGTCTGGGTGGTACCGTGGTCGACTTTTTTACGGTAGCCGGCTGGGCGCCGAACTTTGCTCTCGTCGATCAGGCCATTGTCCTTCTCGCCCCTTTGGACTTTGAGATGACGACAACCAAACGCATTCAATTGCAATTCACGGCCCGCGACGATTTTGAGCCAGCAGGCGTTGCTCTTCTTACCATTGATCTGGCGCTTCAGAATCTCAACGATAACCCGGTCATTTTGGCACCCTCGGGCTTGCTTGTTCTTGCTATGAACGAGACGCTCCTAGCACAATCACCGATCGTGGAGTTCAACGTCAGCGACCCAGATGATCTAGGTTACACATTGACGCTGGACCAGGATGCGCCCGGACTCTTCCGCCTCAACGGCCGGCGCATTGAGCTCGCGCCTGGGCGCAGGCTTGATTATGAAACAAAAACAGAGCACGCGGTCAACTTGACTGTTGATGATGGTATCTTTACTGACAGCCTACACCTCCAAATCCAAGTAGAAAACGTAAATGAACACGCACCAATCTTCACCCTCAGTCATCTTAGCCTCAACATGTCGGAGGACCAAGCTACACCGGTCAGCTTGGCCACAGTGCGCGCCAGTGATGAGGACACTGGTGCTTTTGGCAAGCTCTCTTACACGATGGAAGTGGCGCCGAATGCGACCGTGCCATTTTCTCTTGATGCCGCAAGCGGAGAGCTGACTTTGGTTCAGCAAGTACGCTACCACGAGCAAGCAAGCTTTTCCTTTCATATCCTGGCATCTGATGGCGGTCAACGTACGGCGCGTCTGCCGGTGACCGTTCGCGTAAGTGATGTGAATGATCATGCCCCGGTTTTCGTGGCGGGGACCGATAACATTACCCTGACTGTCACGGAGAATGCGCTGGCCCAGCCAGTTCAGCTGGTGGTGATGGACCTGGATAGCCCGGCCCATAGCCACGCTTCTTTCGTCGTGCTGTCCGGTGATCATTCCTTGGTCAACATTAGCGCCACGGGGCTGGTCAGCTTTCCACGCACGTTTGACTACGAACAGACCCCAGAACTGACGCTGGTTATCGGTGCCTTCGACACAGAGCGACCCATATTAGGCACAGCCTGGGCAACTCTTTTGATCGTCATTCGCAATGTCAATGATGAGCCGCCTCAAGTTACCTCGCCCCCTTGGACCGTGGCCGAGCATCTCGTGGCTTCGCTAGCCGGGGTCCAGGTGATCGATGCAGATGGTGATGAGAATTTTGCATTTTCGATCTTGGTTGTGAGTCCTGTGGCAGCCGCCACGTTCGTCTCCATGGATGCTGACAACGGTACGATCTACCTGGGTGACGGCCTCGACTTTGAGGCTTACGAACAGGTGTCCATCGTCTTTGCGGTAACGGATGGTGTTCATGTGGTCAACGCTACCGCCACCATCCGCCTCACCGATGTTAACGACAACGCACCCGTGTGGAACACCACTGCGCTTGCCGCGAGTGCTTCGGAGCTCACGTCGCCTGGTACCATACTGGGGCAGCTACTCGCCACTGATGCTGATAGTGGGTCATTTGGCACTGTCGGCTTTGAGCTGCTTGGTCCTGCAGTCGAGCTAAAGCGGTTCCGTCTGTCTGCCACAGGCCAGCTGCAACTGATCACCACTCTGGACTATGAATCAGCAGTTGAGCATCGCTTGAGCGTCAACGCAATCGATGGTGGCGGCTTGATCACGCCGGCCGTGTATGTTTTGACCGTCCGAAATGAGCCCGATGAATCTCCCATTGCCCCAGTCGAGCTGACCTTTAATGTTTCTGAGACAGCCGAGGTGGGACATCTCCTCGGCAGCGTGCTCGCCAACGACCCTGATGGCCTGGATTCTCTCGGCTATGCACTTTCTACACCGACTGTGCCGTTTGCCATCAACGCGTCTGGAGTCATCACGGTCGCTGAAGAGCGTCTGGATTATGAGAGCACGAACAAATCGTGGTCCTTTACCGTACTCGTCACAGACTCGCACAGTACCACGCGCGTGCCAGTCACGGTGCATATCTTGGATGCCAACGACAACAGCCCCGTCTTTGAGAGCACGCGACCTGTAACGGTGGCTGAAGACGCGCCCGCAGGCTCGCTCATTTCATCGATACTCGTGTCTGATGCAGATGCTGGTCGGAACGCCGCCCTGACTTACTCGATCAATGGCTCGGACAACCTGCCTTTCCGCGTGCAAGCATCGAGCAATGCATCTGGAGTCGATCTGCTCACTGCAGGCGCCTTAGACTTTGAAACGCAGGCGTCTTACAATCTGACCATTGTGGCCACCGACGCGGGTGCTCCACCCCGTACGACAAACCACAGCATTCAGGTTTTGGTGCTGGACGTGAACGATGAGGCTCCGGTGTGGACGTCTGCCAACACTTTGTACGTACCAGAGGGTGCTGCAAACCTGTCAAGCCCGCGCCTGGTGGGCCGCGTCACCGCCGTTGATCCCGACTCACCAGACCTTACCTTCGCCTTTGTTGGTGGCGAAGCCTGCAACGCCAGCATGGCATTTGCTCTGGATAGTGCTTCGGGCAACATTTCAGCCTTTGCTGCACTGGACTATGAGCTTGGGGCGCGCGTCTTCGTTTGCGGCCTCGAGGTATCCGATGGGGTACATGCAACGGTCTCTAATTTGACTCTACACGTCACCGACGTCAATGACAATGCCCCTGTGTGGGACGTCAACATGGCATCGTTCAACCTGAGCGAGGCAGCCGACGCAGGTGCCGTGGTGGCCACGCTGCGGGCAAAGGACGCTGACGCCGACGGCCAGCAGTCCGTCACGTTTGACTTATTGGAAGACGAGGCTGGTCTTTTTGACGTAATGGAGGATCAGCTCATATTAACGGCAAGCGACGTTCTCGACGTGGATGTGCAGACTGCATATTCTATTCGCCTGCGTGCCCAGGACGACAGCCTACGGCCCCACTGGACGGATCAAGAGATCATCATTCATGTTCTTGATGCCAACAATCGACCTCCAGTTGTGGTGCTCAACACCTCTTCCAATACGTTTGAAGAAGGATCGCCACCTCTGACTCTCAGCCACGTGCACCTTCAGGATCCAGATGCAGCCTTTCAGACGGTGACACGAGTTGACGTGACTCTTCGCTTGTCCGAGGCCAGTGCGGACTCCTTGGCCTTGGATTTGGGTGAAAACTTGACGTTGCCTCCTGCTGCTGTCTCGGCGATCGAGGCTCGGGTGCAGTACATGGCTACGGCAACGGAGCTCTATCTCTCTCTGAGAGCAATTAACGATGCGCGTGGCCTCTCCCTTGTTGAGGCAGCCACAGTGCTGTCTCAGCTGACCTACGTCAATCCAACTGATGAGCCTCGCCTCGTATCACGCTCGATTGCCTGGCGTGCGTTTGATGGAGAGCAATGGTCAAATGAGACTTTGATGGTGCTGTTCATCGCGCCACGGCACGATCAAGTAATAAAGGCTGCACTTAGCGCCGTGACCGTGGACGTTCTGGAGGGGAGTTTGACTGGCGTGCTACCTTTTGATGCAGGACTTGTTCTTTCGTCGACAGAGAACAGGGCCTACAATGCCACAGGTAAGGCTTGTCGTGTGGCGTTTGTTGATCGACCACTTTTCGTTTTTGATTTGTTTTTGTTTTTTGTTGTTCCCCTTCCTCTTGGCGTGCGCGTAAGCAAACTCATTTCAACTGAATGCTGGCATTGCAGGGGCCACGGTGCAGCTAAGCGCAGCCCGAGAGCCGAACGTTGGCGATGAGAGCCTCCGGCTGCCTGCTGTCTTGCCCGCGGGCCTGGAAGGTGCATACAATCCAGTCGCGGGCCGCTTGAATATTAGTGGATCGGCTTCGTTGGCTGTGTATGCCGACATCCTGGCCAGCGTCGCGTACATCAACAATGCCACAGAGCCGTTGCACAACCAGCGCAACCTGACACTTGTCGGTACGTGTTTTACAAGCAGGGGTGTCAGATGAGCTTCTGTTGTTGTCCAATTCTGAAGCGATGGTTGCGTCCGTTGCTCTTGTTGCCACTGTGCCCATGTGATGGTCACGCCTTTGCCGGTGACCTTGTGTAAAACCTGACTGCGATTGTCGCTCATGCGCTCCTGCACGCATGTCATTCTTGTCGCGCTTTCACAGTCTACAATCAGGTGGGCGCCAGCATGCCGGTTTCAGTGATGATCCACACGATTCGCGTCAACGACCCGCCCGTGCTGGGGAGTCTCCCTACGCATCTGAACTTTACAGAGCAGAGCGGTGGCGTACTGCTGGCTGCCAATGTATCGCTGCACGACGTGGATAGCACACACCTGTCGCAGCTCAGGGTAGATGTGCTGAATCCGGATACCGCTATGGACGAGGCGGTGCGCTTGAACGGTGGTGTGGATGCAGTATCTGGCATCACTCTTCGGTCGGAAAGCAATGGCACGACTCTCTTCCTGGACGGACTGGGGTCGTTAGCTACTTACAGAACCTTGTTGGGCGCCGTGGCTTACAATGCCAATTTCACCGTTCCGCCAGCAGCCTCGAAAAAGCTGCGCCTCACCGTCACGGACGAAGGTGGTGCCTCAACGCAAGTCGTGATTTTTATCACATTTCAAGGCGTCAACAATCCCGTCCAGATTGTGGCGATGGTTGCCGGTACATTCACGGAGGAGGGCCCGGCCGTCACGGTGCTGAGTAGCTTATCGCTGCTGGACCTGGACGACACGGAGTTGGCGGGTGCGGAGCTGACAACTACCTTTGTCGACACGGCCCAGTATGAGCAGTTCACCACGTTGCCCTTGGCTGCTACGAACCCCATCCTGCTGGCCACGCATGGTGACCGGGTCAATCTGACGGGACCTGCGACCCTGGCACAATTTGAAGCGGCCCTGCAAGCTATTCAGTACATCAACCGCGCCGACAACCCCTCGGGCACGTCACGTGTGTTGACCTTGCGGGTCACAGACATCCAGGGAGGCACGGATACTGCTTCGGTCTTGATGCCTTTTGCGATTGTCCCCGACGCACCGGCACTTGTGACAAATGCAAGCCAAGGACTATCTGCAGCTGACCCCGCTCCCACGGCGGAGGATACCTACGCTGCGAGGCTCTTTGCGTCGGAGGCAAACATCGTCGTGACGGATGAGGATAGTTCCATCGTAACTGCCATTGAGGTGACCATCATGGGGGCTGCAGATCCCACCACTGACCGAGTCGTCGCCTCAAACACCGACGGCAACACCGCCGCACGCACCGTAGACGTGATCGGCACCAACAACGTCGTGATAACCTTCCGTGTCACCGGCAACTGGACACTGGACGACGCTGCGGCGTTCATCTCAACGCTGCGCTTCGTGGCTGAGCGTGATGAACCGACGCTCGGCGTTCGCGAGCTAGTGGTAGTGGTCCTGGATGAGACCGCCATGCGCAGTGCCCCCCTCTCCTACTTTGTAAACGTTACACCCGTCAACGACCATGCGCCTGTCGCATCACCGAGTACACAGCTTGTAAACGAGCTGGAAGAAGTAGAGATTGGGACGCGTCTGGCAACTGTTCTTGTGTCTGATGCCGACACCGGCGCCTTTGGCGTGGTTAGTGTTGCCATCGCCTCCGTTACGTTTGCAGGTGTTGATGCACCCACAAATTTGTTCCGTCTGGAACAAAGTAATGCTAGCGTCGCGGTTTTGGTGGCCAATGGGCGCCTGGATCGCGAGCGAACAATCATCACCGCCAGTAGCAACGACGTCCGTGTCGATGTCTTGCTTCTGCTCAGCGACACGGGTGGAGTCACCACACAAGCCAGCATCTCGGTGCGCCTCACTGACGTTAATGACAACCCACCCAGCTTTGCAGCTGCTTCATACTCAGTCGTGATCGCCGAAGGCGAAGTGGGCCCTTTACCTGACCTGGAGATTAGGGCGACGGATCTGGATCGAGCTGCCAATGAGGCGTTGACTCTCACTCTCATTGACGAGGCCAGCCTGCCGTTCTCCAGCGAGGTTGTGCCCGGGCTCACAGCCTCGCTTCTTCTGTCTGTGGACCGAGCCTTGGATTACGAGGCACAGTCTGAATGGCGTCTCAACGTTAGCGCCAGCGACGGTCACCACATCACGTTTGTTGAGGTGCTTGTCACCGTCGTAGACGTGGATGACGAGCCTCCCATTCTCATACCACAGTCCGCGCTGACTGTGGTCGTCCCCGAAAATCAGCCTGCGCCACAAGAGCTTGCGTGCTTTAACGTCACAGATCCTGACACTCCTACATCAGAGCTAATCTTCACGCTCGCCTCGGTCTTGCCCAGCGCAGCTGCAAACGCCTTTAACCTGACCCTTTCGCCTTTTTGCGTGCACCGTGTTGCAAGCCTGGATTTTGAGACCACTCACGCGTGTGAGTTGACTGTGCGCATCAGCAATGCCCACGACGACAGCCTCCATGACATCCAAACGATCATCGTCAATGTCACCGACTTGAACGACGTGGCTCCTGAGTTTGATGGCTTGCCAGTCAACAGTACGCTGGAAGTTCGAGAGAACTCAGTCTTGAATACCACGGTCCTTGTGCGCGATCCAGACTTTTTCGCTCAGCCGACTGTGGAGCTGCTAAGTCCTGCTGCTGTCAACGATTTTAGCGCGTATCTTGAGCCCCCAGCCGCTCCAGGAAATGACTGGCAGATGCGTCTAGTGTCCCGCCAAGTCCTGGACTTTGAAGTGGAAGCGTGGCATAACCTCACAGTACGCGTTACGGACAGCGGTTTTCCAGCGCTAAGCACGGTGCAGCCACTCGTCTTGCAAGTCCGCGATGTCAATGACAACGCACCAGAACTATCCTCACCCCAGACGGCCCAAATAGCCGAAGATGCAGCCCTGGACACACTGGTCCTAGCTCTGTCAGCCACAGACCGGGACACACCGGCTGTGAACGGGGCGCCGGCCTATTTCTTTACTCTTGTTGACTCGGCCTTGCCTTTTGAGGTCGTCAGCGGGACACAATTGCGCGTTGCGGGTGCACTCGACTACGAAAACATTACAGAATATGACCTCGAGCTTGTCTTATCAGATCGGGGCACACCACCGCAAACTCGACCTGTATCCATGACCGTGCGCGTGACCAATGTGAACGACGAAGCCCCGCGCCTAGTTGGTGCGTACCAGAACCAGACGACAGTGGCCGAGAACATTTCTAGCGGCGTGATTGCAACAGTGGAGGCTGCAGATGCTGATCCGCCCGCCGCTGGGGGTCGCGTGTCCCTGGAGCTGCACGTTAGCCCTGTCTCATTGGCCGATAGTTTTGTGCTCCTGGATGGTGAGATACACCTTGTGGCCGCTGTTGACTACGAGGCCTACAAGTCCGTGCAGCTCACGGTCACGGCAACTGACACAATCCCGCCATTTAATGCGGCGACAGCAAACGCCAGCTTTGAACTCGAAATCTTGGACATTAACGACAACGTGCCAAGCGCAGACACCTACGTTGGCGAAGTGAAAGTGGTCGAGTCTTCCCTAATCGGCGAGATTTGGTTCCTCAACTACACGGATGCAGACAGTGCCGAGCTAGGGGATGTGGCTTACGAACTTCTAAGCGTGACTCCGCCAGGTCTTGCGATCGAGGTCAATGCTGCCACGGGCAGCGTGGTGGTGACCCAGGGCCTGGACTATGAAACTGATCCACATCGCTTTGAGGTCATGCTGATCGGTCGAGACGGTGGGGGTCGAGCGGGACTTCCTTTCAACCTGACCATCCTGGTCCAGGACCGTAACGACAATGCCCCACAGCTCGATCAGGTCCCTTCAATCGTGGTGCTCGATTTGTTTGATGCAGTAGGCACCGTTGTCGCAGAAATTACGGCTAGCGATGCTGATGAGGTCGAGAGTGCGCTTACTTTTGACCTCGAGGGGGCGCTTGACACACCGCTGCGCATTGATGCCAAGGGCGGTGCGCTGATCGTTGACAAGATTCAGAGCAATCCCCTTCCGTTGACGCAAATTCGCGTGCTTGTGCGCGATGGTGGAAACCTCACCGCGAGCCGCGTCCTGTCCGTCGTATCTGGTGCTGCACCCGTGCCGCACCTGGCAAGCGTCGATGGTGTGGTACTTCGCAACGGCTCCACATGGGCGCCCGGATCGCCCCCGGCCGTTGTGCGCCAGCTCTCCACCTCGACTCTATCGGACCGCGCGACGACTGTCGCCCTCGATGCAAGCTATGGCGGCGTTCAGGAGCGCGAAATTTTGACTTTGGAAGCATCGTCGAGCAGTGTTGAGAATGTCAGTACGACGTTGTGGTCGGCAGGCGTGCGCTTTGTGGTGTTGGACAGCGACATTTGGGCCGAGCGCCCGGTGATCCGAGTCCATGCCCAGGTAACTCGCACGGACACGAACTCCGACGTGGCCATCGCTCGCAACGTCTCGCTCGAGGTGACTGCTGCTGGTCAAACTTCAACGTTGTTTGTAGCCTGCCAAACCACCAGCAGCGCGGGTTCGTGTTTCATGGCTGCGACGGTACCCTCCGCCTGGCTCGACAGCCTGACTGCAGGCGGGCCCGACGTGACTCTTCCCGTGCGCGGCGGTCTGACGGAGTCTGGTTCTCTTGTAGAAGTGACCAACGTGACGCTGCACACACGCCCGCTTCCGGCTGCCACCAATCGTATCTTTGTGCAGCTGCCTGCACATGCCATCAGTCCTGACGAGACGGTGCGCGTGCAGGTGTACGTGGCCACAGACCGCAATGTGCAGAATCTGATCATGTCTTGCGCCCTGCCGACCAGCGGGCCTCTGGTTTTTGCGGAGACATCGGCAGACATTTTGCCAAGCACCAACGTCATCGATAACGGCTACGGCTTTGCCATCTCATCGCTTAACACTGACGGCTTCTTCGACGAGGCCCCCACCGGCTCGCCCTTCCTAATTGCCGATTTACAACTCATGGCCGGCAAATTTGATGCACTGGCGGGCAGTACCATCAGTCTCAACTGCTCTGGAACCATGAGTGACAATGAGGCGCTGCTACAAGATCTGCCCGATCCCATGGGATTTGTGACTGATACGTACTTTGAGGCCTCGCAAGCGGCGATCAGGCTGCAGGCGCACGCCACAATAGCTGTGGCAGCCGTGCCCGATACCTACGATCTCACTAATACCGAAACTCTGCTACCAAACACATCACCACGCGTTGAACTCAACTTGCACTTGCGCAGCTCATCTGGCCTCTTGACAACTCTTCGAGCGCCCGTGGGAGCTAGTTGTAGCAGCGACATTGACTATATTCAGGTGACGTCCAACTGCAGTGCCCTCTATTTTGACGGGCAGGAAGTGGGTGGCAGTGCCGCCACCAGCATTCTCGTGATCTATGGAGCTGTGCAATCCACAGCCACGGTAAGTGTGTTTGCAGCCAGTCAGGTGCAACTCAGTGCCTCTCGCACCCAGTTGCGGGCTGTTGCGGGCACGGTGACACCCAGCTGCAATGAAACGCTGTATCAAAGCAGCCAGCTCGAGGCGGTGGCCCGCTTTGATCGTGGCAACACTGAGTCGGCCGTGTTTCTGGACGTGACAAATCTTGTGGCACCGCACCTGACCGTGAGCCAACCCTCAGTCCTTGCGGTGGAACCTGATGGCCGCATGGTTGTGCAAAAGGCTACGCTGGCACGCCATTTGATCGATGTCTCAGTACATGGCAGTCGCCTCAGTTTGGAAGTCACGCGTGAGGGTCCGGTTGTGGCGGTGGCTCTCAAGACACGTCTGATCACAGGCCTTGATGTGGAAGCAACGGCCACGACCGTTCGGGCTAGCCTGCGCCAGCGTCGCGTGGAAGACCTGGCCGATCGTTCCGGCCTTTTACAGTCTGAGCTGGTCTATGCTGATGGCAGCGCCGATATTTTGCCACTGCATGCCCCGGGCCTGGCCTACGCCAACCTGGGCCGCGACTACATTGAACTGATCAACGGCTCCAAGGTCCTGCCCCGGAGCGTGGGCAGCGGCAACTTTGTCAACGCATCTCTAACCCGCTGTGAGATCTCACTCACGGCGGCCCCTGACGTGGACGTGTACTTGGAGCCTTTTGAAACAGTGCTGAATCTCTCTGGGGCTGCCCTGGCGTACCCCAATTCCGCTGCAAACCGTGCTGGGGTGCCGACATCCATTACCGTTTCGGTGGGGGCCCATTATTCGTCGTCGGGAACAGCAAAAATAATGACCTGGGATCGCCAGACGCAGTACACGCTCGACCCTGCCTCGGGTGTGGCTCTGCGTCTCAACGAAACGGAAGCACAGGCTGAATTGTACGTGATCCAGGAAGCAACAGCAGGAAATTTTACGCTTGGCGTTGACTTTTTGGATCTTGCTGGCAATGCCACCAGTCAGCTGAGTGTGGTCACTCCGACCGCGCTGGAGGTGCGTCTTCGGCCTTACCCGGCCTTCCCGGGGTCCTCGAACCTTCCGGTGGGCGTGTTGCAACGGCTGGCTCCTTTGGGCCGATACCTCGAGGCCGAACTCAGCATCTGGCTCAAGTTGTCCAATGGCCAGCTCCTTGACGTGACGCGAAATCCAGAGACGCATCTTTCCATTACCTTTGCAAACGGCACCAACGCTTCGACGGCGGTCGAGTTGCAACCGCTGGGTACCGAGCGCTGGCGCATCACACCCCGAGCTGCCTCCAGCTTGCGCTTTGCAGCCACCTTTGCCGAGGCCACGTCGCAGTCGGCCGATGTCGCGCAGCTTGAAGTGAGTGAGGATTCAACCCAACTCACTAGCATTGACGCCTTTATGGTTGGGGACAGTAGCGCCGTCGTGGCTGGACAGCGCGGGCGCTCTTCGGCCTTGGCATCCGTCAACGTAACCTTGGGCAACGGGTGGCAATTAGTTGACGTGACACGCGCAAATGATGGCGCTTATCTTGGACTGCTGGAATTCTTCAGCTCCAATCCCACAGCCTTGGCCATCAACTCCAGTACAGGCACGTGTGCGCCAATGTTCAATGTGGACCCCACCAATGCCGTGCTGCTGCAAGCACGTGGTGTACCCACGGGCGGCCCGACATCAGCGGCTTTGTCACGGGACCTTCGCGTAAGTGTCAATCTGCAGCCTGCACAAGGCGACGTGGATCTTGGAGACGTGACTGGACACTATCTCCAAAACCTTCGCAAACAACAGAACAAGGTGGTGCCTGTTTGGGTGGCCGTTGGTGGGGCATCTTTGGGCAACTTGACAATAACCTTGACATACAACAGCCAGCGCATGCAGGTCGTTGGCACCGCCATCGGTCCTGGCTTCCAAGGAACCATCGCAGTGCCCAGTACCGGACGCCTTGATCTTGACCTCCAGGTCCTCAACCCTATGAACGTAGACGCATCCGCCGCTGGGTTGCTCCGCGTGGCTGAAATCACCGTCTTTCCCACGTCCACGCGTGACATAACCTTTGGCGGCACTGTGCAGCGCGCGACTTCAACTGAAGGTGCACCTCTTGGCTCACCAACGCCGCGCACCATCGTGGCGGGTGCTTTCACTGCGGATGTTTCGGACACGACGGGCGCCCGCCGACGTCGTACCGGTACCGGCACAGTGACCTCTGACAGCTTGACCACAACCGATGTGCCCTCGGCCAATGCCACGGATATGGATCAGGGCCGGCCAGTGTGTGCTGCAAATGCTACGCTGCCATGTACCAACTGCACAGGTGGTGCGCGCGAGCGTGGGGACGTCAACGGGGACTGTCGCAAAAGTGACGCAGACGTGGACTTGCTGGCCCTATACCTGGAGCACGCCAGTTACAATTTTCGCCTGCCCGAGTCGCCGGCTGTCTTGGCAAGCGTCTACGAGCCAGAGCTGGACGTTGACCGCGATGGTCGCGTCACACTCGCGGACCTCAACGCGCTCCGAGACCTGGCTGTGCAGCCACCCGTCTACTTTTCAACTCTGGAGCTGGAGGCGCCCCACTACCTGGATAACGATTGCGAACTCACCGTGCGGCTGGAAGGAGACAAGCCCTTTGCGGACCGCCATCTCTTCCTCGCCTTTTCTGCCTCGTGGCCCAACTTCACCAATGCGCTGAGCAATGCATATGTTGTGAACTCGATGGGTGGGGATGATGACAACGATGTAGCTGGTCTTGCGCGAGTTGGTGATCAGGCCTTGACCCCCACGATGCACCCCTTTGGCGGCGTGTTTCCTATTGTCGTACCCAGCAACACCACAGTGGCTCGCGTGGCCCTAAGAGCAGATTTCCGTGCCACCTTTGGTGTCTCCGTCTTGCAGACTTACAATGCAGCTTACAACGGGGTGCGAACGCACGCGCGGGTGGGCTTGCGCTCTTCCCCCCTCATGTTTCCCAACCCTATCAACCTACCCCTCCGTGATGCTGCGGCTGGCATCAATTTGACGCACTTTGTCAACGGCTTCAACCCCGCCCTCGTCGGCGAGGCCACAACCCCGTACTTGTGGTGCCGAAATGATTTCGCGCCCGTCTTTGCGCAATCTCTTTACGACTTTCAGGTGAACGAGGCCGCCGATCCGACGCAGGTTGCCTTGGCCGTCGCCGCGACCGATGCGGACCCAGGCCCCCACGGACGGGTGAGCTACAAGATACAGCCCGACACTGTCGTTGACTGGGTCATCGACGAGACTGGGGTGCTCCGGCCGACCAGGGGCCTGGATCGTGAACGTGTCGCGCAATATTCCGTCTCCGTACTGGCGCAAGACGGGGCCAGCCCCCCGCGCATCACCACCACGAGCGTCGTCATCACTGTCCAGGATGTCAACGACAATGCCCCTCGGTTTTTGCACTTTCTTGACGCGCCGGCTGGGGGCCTTGGCTCAGTCAGCCTGCGCTTGAACGAATCCGTTGCTGTGGGGCAGGTGCTGATCAACGCTACCGCAGTGGATCCCGATGCGGGTGCTGCAGGTCGCATCACGTATGCAATCGAGGGCATGGATGTGGCGGCTCAGCACTTTGCATTCTCCGCGACGACGGCGACGCTAGTTGTCCGTGATGATCTGGACTTTGAGCGCCTTAACGTCTCGAGCTATACCTTGGAAATCATAGCGCGAGACAATGCAACGCCATTCCACGAGTCACGCCTCATGGTCCATATTGAGATTGAGGATCTGAATGATGTTCGCCCCTACTTTGCGCCCAGCGTGATTCAAGTCAACGTATCGGAGAATCTTGCACCCGTACACCTGAGCCAGGTGCAAGCTTATGACCCGGATGGCAAAGGCGAGATTGTGTACGCCATTCTTCAGGCCACCCCAGGCACGGAGAACATCACTCTCAATGCAACGTCCGGCTCGTTGGACCTTCTGGCGCCCCTGGATGCAGAGGCCGGACAATATCTCGGCCTCTGGATTGTGGCGGCAGAGCGGGCACAGAATGGAACCTTGCTGTTTGGGCCAGCCCTGCAAGTACGAATTTTTGTCAAGGACGTGAACGATAATGCACCGGTCTTGGCTGCCGGGTTTTCAAGCACTGCCAACGTTTCGGAGTCGTTGAGCGTCAATGACACGGTCACCACCGTGCCCGTGATTGACGCTGACGTCGGCCCAGCGGGCACACTACGCTTTAGCCTCCGCAATAGCACAGACCCTCGCTTTGCGATTGATCCCGAGAGTGGGCGCATTTTCATCCGCGCTGCTTTGGATTTTGAGCTTGGGCCCAACGTGGTGCAACTTCTCGTGCGCGCCACAGAGCTAAGCCTATCCACCAGTTATGTGGATGTCATGCTGACCATTCTGATCCAAGATGCGAACGATGCAAGCCCCATCTTTACTCAACAAGAGTACGCGTGGCAAATCCTTGAGCGCGGGGGCACTGACTGGCAGCCCGTTGGGTACGTGGTCGCCACCGACGCCGATGTCTCTCCGGCATTCCAGGCGACCACCTTCAGCCTGACGGCGAGCCCCGCAAGCAAACTCTTCGCCCTGAATGCAAGCACAGGCCTGCTGCTGGCACAAGGGCTAGATCGCGAGGCAACAGCAAATCATACCTTGGTTGTGACCGCCCAAAACACGGTGCCCTCGACTGATGGCAAGATTCTATCGAGCACCTCAACCATTCAGATCGAAGTCTTGGATATAAACGATCGTATCCCTAGCTTTGAAGCGTCCTTCTACGACGTGGCTGTGCCCGAGAATGAGGCGATTGGAGAAACCATCGAGCAGCTGGTGGCGTTTGATCCTGACGCGGGCGCCAATGGCACCGTGTCATACAGCTTGCTGCCCGACAACTTGACAGCTTTTTCCATTGATGCCACCACGGGTCGACTGCGCGTGAATGCAAGCCTTGATTACGAGACGCAACAGAGCTTCGAGTTCACTGTGCGCGCAACGGATGCCGGTACACCGCCTTTGTACAGCACTGTACCGGTGCGTGTGCAGGTGTTGGATCTGAATGATAACGCGCCCGTTCTCGTCGTCAACTCTACGAGCTTGCTGGTGTCGGAAAACAACGCACTGGCCGCGCCAATCGCTCTGCAAGTCATGGCAACCGATGCCGATGCTGCTGGCTCGGCCAATTCGCGCGTGCGGTTCTCGGTGACCACTGAGGTGCTCTCCGCAACCACGGGACGCTGGGCTCTCGCGAATGGGGAAAGCCTGGTCGCAGTTGATGTTGTCACTGGTGACCTTCGTCTGCAGACAGTGCTTGACTACGAAGCCATCCACCGCTTACGTCTAGTCCTGACAGCCACCGACGGTGGTGTGCCGGCACAACGCAGCAACGTGACCATTGAGATTGAAGTGGTGAACGAGAACGATAATGCCCCCGTATTGACGCTCGTGGGCGCCTGTACGGTGCAGGAGAATCGACCGGTACACACGTGGCTTCCGTGCACGTTGGTCGCCAGCGATGCTGATGGAGATGCTCTGACCTTTGTTGCGCTGAGCGGAGTCAGCGTGGCGCCCAATGGCTCGCTTGCTACTACCGCATCCTATGACTTTGAATCGACCCCAGTCACCACCTTCGATGTTGCTGTTACCGATGGCGTGCACCAGATCAACCGCACGGCCGTGTCGCTGGTCGTCGAGGATGTCAATGACTTGGCTCCCGCTTTCGGGCAGCCTAGCTATATCTGCAGTGTCTTTGAGAATGCCACGGCCAATACGCTCTGCGTGCTGGTCAACGCCTCGGATGGCGACGAGCCCGGTACCCCGCGAGCTGCCATCGATTACACGCTCACCGGGACCGGTGCAACCGACTTTACCATTGACCGCCTGGGTGCCGTCACTGTTGCGGCAACGGGCGTGCTCAACCGCGACGAGCGAGCTGTTTATCGTCTGAACGTAACGGCCACGGACCGCGGCTCACCCCCACGCTCCAGCCTAACCAACCTTCTTATTTCCATCCTAGACTCCAACACGCACGCACCAGTTTTTACATCAAGCCCCAGCGTCCATGTGTCGGAGGCGGCCACCGTCGGGCCAACCCCCGTTTTCCAGGTGGTCGCGACTGATGCCGACCTGGGATCCAACGCTTTGCTGCACTACAGTCTGCTGCCAGGCAATGGAGCAGAGAGCTTTACTCTCGATGCGCAAACCGGTCAGCTGTTTGTGGCATCGCCATTGGACCGTGAAGCACGCGATGCCTACGAATTGGTCGTGCGGGCCCGCGACCATGGGTCGCCGCCGCGTTGGACAGACCACGCCCTACAGGTGCTCGTCGAAGATGTGAACGACAACGCGCCCATACTTGCATCGGGCCCATTCTCCTGCGCCCTGGCCGAAACGGATGGCACTGGCGGAAGCCTGCCAGTTCAAAGCTGCGTGCAGGTGGAGGCCACTGATTTGGACGTGGGGGAGAATGCGCGTCTCACGTGGCTGGTCAATGATACTCGCTTTGCAACCGACACGATGGGTTTCATCACACTACAATCGGGAGCCGTGCTGGACTTTGAAACCACCAATCGCGTGGCGGTGAGCGTGACAGTGACAGACGCCGGCGTTCCAGCCTTATCAAGCACCGCTCTGTTGTTCGTTACGATAACGCCCGTGAATGATAATGCGCCGGAATTTACACGCCACGTGTTTGATTGCACAGTGACGGAAAACGAGGTCAACGCCTCCTGCGCAAGCCTCTCGGCAACAGATGCCGATGCCAACGCACCTGACAATGCGCTGCGCTACGGGCTTGTCTCGGACGCTGCCTCTAGCGCTGCTGGTGCTGTTGTGGATGCCGAGTCAGGCAAAGTTCGTTTGACACGGACGCTTGACCGTGAGACGCAGGCCGAGTACACGCTCAACGTGAGCGTTCATGATTTGGGCATGCCGACCCGCTGGGCATATGCCACCCTGATCTTGACCGTGGACGATGCCAATGATAACGGTCCAAAGTTTTCAGCCGTGCCATCGTGTTCTCTCTGGGAGGCAAACGGGCGGGAGCCTGTTGGACAACAGCAAGCTTGTCCCGCCGTTGCTGCAACCGATGATGACGTGGGATGGCATGCGGTGATTGAGTACTCTCTCGACTCGACATTTGACGGGCTTTTTTGGATCGAGCCCGACTCGGGCATCGTTTACACGAACACTACGCGTCAAACCCAGGGTGGCAATGACGCAGGCATGAAACAACTGGATCGCGAAGCACAAGCGACGTATAACCTGACTGTTATTGCGAGCAACCCGCGTAATGTCAGCAACTCAGATGCACCGAGTGCGCGGGCCGTGCTGACGGTGCGCCTGCGGGACCGCAATGACAACGCCCCCCTTTGCGTGGAGCAACCATATAGCTGTGCGGTAGCTGAGCACGAAGCCAACCTCACCTGTGCGATATTGTCAAACTGCCAAGACGCAGACGATGCGGCAGGGCCTGCAGGACAACTCGCCTTTGCCTTGGTAGAAGAGCCGCGTGATGGCCAGGGGCGCCCAATGTTGGCCGTTGACGCGCTGACGGGCGTCTTGCGAACGACGGGTACTAGGATCGACCGCGAGATTGATGCCACCCTCGATGCGATTGTCAACGTGTCCGATGGCTTTGGCTTGCACACGATTGTTCCAGTGACCTTGCGCGTCGTGGATCGTAACGATAATGCACCCGTATTTGATGACATTGCATACTCGTGCCAACTGCAGGAGGATGCTGATGTGGGCGCGCTGTGCACCGCCGTTCGAGCGGTCGACGCAGACGCGATGCCTGAGGCACGCGTATCATACAGCCTGGTTACCTCTTTCGGCGATACGTTTACCGTCAATGCCAGCTCGGGTGAGGTGCGCTTGAGCGGCACTCTGGATCGTGAGACGCGAGATAGCTACGTGCTTGAGGTCGAAGCTCGAGACGCAGGATCGCCGCAGCTGGCAACCACTACACGTGTCACGGTCACCGTGCTAGACGTCAATGACCTGGCACCAGCCCCCCTGCGAACAAACCTGAGTTGTTCAATGCGAGAAGATGCTTTGTTGGGCACGAGCTGTGTCCTCCCCACACCGTTGTTTGAGGACGGCGACTTGGCGGGTAGCCCAGCCAGTCAGCTTACCTTCAGCTTGGAGGGCGAAAGTGCCACCATGTTCTCCGTGGATAACGAAACGGGTGTTTTGACCTTGCAGCGCTTGCTCGACTTTGAGACCGAAGCCTTCCTGACCTTGACGCTGGTGGCTACGGACCATGGCCAGCCGCGACTCAGCGGTCGCGCGTCGGTCGCAGTTAATGTCATAGATGTGAATGACAACGCGCCCGTTTTTGCTTCGCCAAACCCGGTGTGCGTGTTGTCGGAGAGTGCCGCTCTCGGCACCAGGTGCGCAGTGGTAAGAGTCACGGATTCCGACGCGCCCGGCACAGCGCACAGCAACATTTCGTATCGCCTCGCGGCGGCCACTGCAGACCACTTTCGTGTTGATGCGCGCACAGGCCAGTTGATTCTGCGTTCCCTCTTGGATCGTGAGGCGCTGGACCGGCTTGCCGTGACTGTGGAGGCCTGCGACGGCGGGCTGCCAGTGTTGTGCGCCAATGCCACCTACGATGTGACCGTGACAGACGAGAATGACAACGTACCAGAGCTTATAAACCGTCCCAGTGCCGGATACGCGTGCCAGCTGCCCGAAAACACGGCCACTGAGAGTGCCTGTGTGTCCCTTGTGGCGCAAGACGCGGACGCAGGGGACAATGGGCGTCTCACATTTGCTCTGGTGGATGATTTCGGAGGCCGCTTCAGGATGGGGGCCAATGGCACTTTGACGGTTGCACGCGCACTTGATCGCGAGCGCCAAAGTGTCTATGCGTTGGACGTGCAGGTTTCAGACTTGGGCACGTCCCCACTCAGCACCTTTGCTCGCGTGACGGTATACGTGCAGGATGTCAACGACAATGCTCCCCAGACCCAGGCTGCCCTTTACCAATGTACTTTGACCGAAAACGCGCTGGTGGGCTCACGCTGTGCGGTGGTGCAGGCAACTGATGCCGACACGGGTGTTAATGCCGCTTTGTCTTTTGCCTTGGCCCCCAATACAACCAGAGGTAGAGCGCACCCATTTGTGGTCGATGCCACCACGGGAGAAGTCAGCTTGGGTCCGGGCGGCTTGGATTACGAGACGTTCAATGCCTACGAGCTCTTGCTGAGCGTGACGGACGGGGGTAGTCCATCCCTCAGTTCATCCGTCTTGCTGTACGTCACAGTTGCGGACGTGAACGACAACGTCCCCATTTTCACGAAAACGAGTTATAGCTGCGGCATTTCTGAGGTGGCTGGCAATCCCAGTCTGGTGCTCGACCTGGGACCCATCGAATGCGTTCAGGTTGCTGCGACGGACGCTGATGCGCCAGCTACACCAGCATCTACCATCCGTTTTAGCCTAGTCGCCAACGCGGCCGGACTCTTCTCCATTGATGCAAATTCTGGGCTGATCCGATCAACAACATCACGCTTTGATCGCGAGGCTGAGGCGGAATACATGCTGCGAGTGCGCGCGGTTGATCAGGGTGTTCCCCCGCTGGCCACAGAAGTGACCGTCACAGTGAGGATCAAGGACGTGAATGATCACGCCCCCGTTGTCACGACGCCGTTTGCTGAAGTGGACGTGAGCAACGTGCTGCAGCCGAATGACCTTGTTTTGAAGCTCACGGCCCAGGATGCCGATGCTGGATTGAACGCGGCTTTGCGGTTTGTCCTCAACTCGTCGTCATCATCTCACTTCACACTGGATACCTCCGGCAGCCTGTACTACACGGGTGGTCCCCTCGAGGACTTGGTGAACGACCGAGCAGAGATGACCTACTTGGTACATGACCAAGGCGTTCCTGCACGAAGCGCAGCAGGTGTGGTGCATGTCCATGTGCGCCCCTTGCTGCGAGCTCTCGGCGCGACCATGGTGGCCCTGGATTGGGAAGTTGCTTTTGATTCTTTGGGTATCACCGCTGGAGCCCAGGTGCAGCGGCGTGCGGCCGTCAGCTGCGGTCTGGACTACCCTGCAACGCGCTCGTGCAACACGAGCATTGTGACGGTATTTGCCGGGCAGGCTCACACATACGTTGACACCGATGTGCGAGCTGCAACTCGCTACGAGTACAGAGTTTTGTTGGGTGATGCCTTTGTGTCTGCGTGGTACACTGTCGAAACACCCGAGAGCGCGCCGGCGCCGGTGCGCTCTCTGCTTGCGCAGCAATTGAACCAAACGGCCGCACGTTTTGCGTGGGGCCGTCCCACTCCCAGCAATGGTGTCATTACAATGTACGAACTCGTGTTGCAGGCGACAGAGCGATTTGAGACGACGACTGCGGAGGATGGCAGTCTGAATCGCCGTGCTGCAGCTTCCGAGATTACGCCATTGGCTGGACGTGTGATCGTGTACAACGGATCAAGTCTGGAGGTTGTTGTGGATGCGCTCAGTCCCAACTACGCCTTTTCGTGCTTTGTACGGGCTCGCACGGCAGCGGGGTCCACCAATGGCGTTGTCATCATGTATGAGCCCCAGCCTTTGGCGACGACAACGACTGTGGCGGGTGACCAGCTTGGCAGTAGCTCGTCGGACAGCGCTCTGTCCAGTGCTGAGCTGATCGCCATCATTGCTGTACCGTTGCTTTTGCTCTTTCTTATTCTCTTGCTCGTGTTCATGCTGCTGCGGCGTCGCCGGGATAGTGTCAGCGTCAAGCCGGGCCACGACGGCCTGGGTGATCTGCAGATGTCGACCCTGGATCGCCCCGCAGACTCGTTCGGTCTCCGGCATCCAAACGCGTTGTTTCTGCAGCAGCAGGACCTGTACAATTCAACAGCGACGGACGTGACGCTCACGGAAACACGAGTGGACATGCGTGCGGAACATTCTCGCGGTGAACTAGCGTTCGGTGAGCCGGCAGCCATGTTACCGACGCCTTTGCAAGATGGCCCGCCGGCGTCTTTGGAGTCGACCAGGTCCACATCCCCGGTCAACGAGGCATCAGCAATTTCCGTGAAGGGCGGTGAGGCAGCCGCGGAGCGACTACGTGTCATGTCCACTGGCATGAGGCGCGATCTTCGCTTGCAGTCATTAGATGGCAATCCGCGGTCCCATCATCTTACCCTCACCACCTTCGCGGCACCCGCGGTACCCGAACCGGAGCCCGTGGTCAATCCCTTATCACCGGCGGCAGCTCCGTACGTTTTGGACCTGGCCAATTTGGAGGCAACCGATGGCTTTGCGATGGGCACGCTATGGACATTTGCCGACGTGCAGAAGGAGGTAGAACGACTTTGCGAAGATTCGGCCAAGGGCATGACTGCCATGTTCAGGCAAGCTGAGGATTTGGCAGCCGACGCAAGGGTCACAGTGGCCTCAGCCCCGGCGTTGGCCAGTCGTAATCGCTATGCCGATGTGCTACCCTACGATCATAATTTGGTGGTAGCAGAGCCAGAACATGGTGTGGCGTACATCAATGCCAACTGGGTGGCAGGCTATCAGGATGAGGAGCAATACATTTGTGCGCAGACACCCATGCCGGCCACCATCCGTTCTTTCTGGTGCGCGGTGCTGCGGCACCGAGTGGCGGTTGTGGCCACCATGATGGAGGATGCCCGCAACCAGTATTGGCCGGAGCGGCTTCACAAACCGATGCTGCTGGGCGAGGGGTACACAGTCACGCTCCTATCGCAAGACATCAAGGAGCCAGATGCGTGGTGCACTCGAGCGTTTCGCGTGGCGCACGCGGACGGGAGGAACCATGTTGTACACCAGCTACAGCTCCTGAACTGCGAGCCGGCTAAAGTATTAGCACCCACGTTGGCGCGCTTTGCGCTCAGTTGCGAGCTACAGCGGGATGCCAGCGGCGCAGGGCCACTGCTTGTGCACGATGATGTCGGGGCCGGGCTATCGGGCATCCTGCTGCACACCCTTGTTTGCGTCAGTATGGGTTTGGATACGGGACGTGTGGATCCGGCGCGGGTCTTGATTCGACTGCTGGAGCAACGACGGGCCATGCTGCAGGCACCGGTTCAGCTCCGATTGTCATGCGAGGCACTAGCTTATGTTGCTTGGATTGCTGGACGACTCCGCCGACATGATCTTGTCCGCGCACCCGAGGACAAACCCATTGCCGAGTTTGTCACCACCATGCACTATGCTTCTACCCACGACCACGCCAAAGCTGCGAGCCCCGGTTCGGGTGTTCGCGAGACGCTACCGGCGTATGAGGACCATGCACCAATAGCCATCACATCGGCCAGCATGGTTGGAAACGATCGGGACCATTTGAGGGTTTCCAACCCACATGGTGAGCCGGCCGCTCAGGGAACCGAAAGCTCCACCGTCTACGACCAGCCGCGCGCGTCCGATGTCGTTTATGCCAACGTGGAACTGCAAGAGTCGGCGGAGCCGCTCTACGGCGAGGTAGCGCCGATGAATGAACGCGAGGAGTATCCAGTCGACTCGATGGCTTTGGATGCTGCGGCCACCGATGTGACACAGTGGATCGAGCATTTGTCGGCCTCTGGAGCCTTTGAAGACACCGCGTTGTAAACAAGACTTGTTCTCAAGTTCCACATCGGAACTTCGTCCTTGTGCATCTGACTATTCACACGATGACACCATTCTGCTTATCTTTTTCCATTTTGTGCTGGAGTGCACTCATGCTAGGTTCGCGACCCGGCGTGACCCGGGTGTTCTTGTTTTTGTTGTTGTTGTTTTTTTTGCGGTTTCGCCTTTTCATCATCATGAGTGTGTGCTCGGCTTGTCGGCTTGTCCAAGGCCTCTTTTCTGTGCCATCGTCTGTTACGTGCCCTTTTTTTGTGCCTCGACTGTTTGCTTCCTTTAAACCTCTCAGCAGCATATAATGCGACAGTGAATTGACACAACAATTGAAAGTTACAATGGGAACAATGAAGCTCGAACACTGTCATGTTGAAAGAGGGGGCAAAAGAGCAGCCTTGCGCCTTTCCAGCGCTGTAAAATCTGTGTGGATTTGATCGAGACAAAAATGCCGGTCTTTCTCCAAAATGCATCTTTCATTGCGGTCGCGATCGATTTACGGTCTGCGGTTGGTATTCGAAGAACAAGAGAGAAGAGTTTGAACATGCTCTCGAAATTTGAGTAAACCTGTCTAGTCTGGGAGGTGGAGGAGAAAAGTGAACGGGACCCAGGTGGACTTGGACCCATACCGCATCGATGCGTCGCATCAGGATCAGGAGAAACATGGATCAACAACAGTTCCGCGGAGCGGCTGACATGGAAAAAAAAAGAAAAAAATAATTATTTTTAACTTCCAAGCAATAAAATTCAAGTTCTTTCACGTTGTCGTGGGCATGGTGAGCGGCGGCGAAAGTTGAGCAGCCTTGATACAGACCGTCTGTGAACATGTGCATTGAATCAAGTCGACACTACCCTCAGCCATACGAGTTCTGAAGAACCCTAGTCTTTGCCATTCAAGAAGACACACCTCGATGTGTGGTGGGCATGGGATATGATGAATCGAGAGAACGTGTTAATCAAGCCTTTGGTTCGAGCTCGAGGCGTGTGCGAGGCGCACCCGATCCGAGAACAAAGCCAGGCTGGTTTCGATTGAGCTAAGAGACAATAGAAAAGTTTCGAACCACATAGTCTGGCAAGAAGGCCAACCCACTGGTATGACGAGCCCTCGCCATGTTAGGAGCGAGCCATACTCACGTGCAAGAGCGCGCTGGCCAAAGGCGCCGGCGTGTCCGTATGGGTTATGAACCCTTGTCCAGCCTGCCCGTAAGGGTTGTGTATCCGAGGCAAATGAAATGTCGGCAAACGGGATGTCGGCAAAAGGGTGCGACAGGTGCCAAGAACGCCATGCAGACAACGACACGTTAGGCTGAAGGCGGTGCCAGAGGACTTTTCGGAGTCAACGTAAGCGCCGATCGAGGAGTCTCACACCATACAACACGATGCCAGAGATGGATATCCTGTACGATTCTTGTAGACGGTTAGGCTCGACTGAGCAAAGCATCTCTCTTCAAAATGGCTGCCCGCGGCCGTGAGCAAGCGAAACCCCGGCTGGTCGTCGATGAGTTCATTACAGTGTCGAGAAGTTGGTATCCAGTGTGTGGCTTCACACACATCCAAGGCAAGCGAAGAAAAGGTAGCGCACGTGGTGCATTGCAACGCACCCACGAGGGGCGCGAGGACTTTGCGGCTTCTCAGCACTCATCGAGAGAGCCGATTTGATTCAGAAGGAGCTCAGCGAGGTTGCGGGCTGGGCCAGAGAACATTTTGTCCGAAACCATGAATCAGGCTGACAGCGTCTCATGCGGCAAGCGCACAGAATCGCCGCGCATGGAGACGCGGGGCATTTCCACACGCCCAGGCACTCGCGAGTGCCCTGAAGCAATTCACCTCAAGTTTGTGATGTTCACCAAGTGTGACGAGCGAGGTGAAAAAGAAGTTTGGAGGCGACCTTTGGGTTACCGGGAAGCGCAGGTGTTCAGGATACGGTTTGAAGAGGTTTGAGAGAGCATCCATCAAGAGGCGGAATGTGAGGATTGGGTATCAATTGAACCTACTGCGCCTGGCATGGCTTCACAGTGGCCGGATCCAAAGAGTCACTCAATCCCGAAATAGAGAAAGAGCAAATTGCGCCGGCACAGGCAGGACGACAAAAGCTGAGCGCAAGGCGGCGTACAGGCAATGAACCACCAGTTAGTACACAGATGGCGTTTCATTGGTTCTTCTCCTCGGGCGCGGCTGGGCGCAATGCCCGCCAAAGCCAGCCGCCACCAGAACTCAAAAGACCACCACCACCAGCTGCCAAGCTAAATGCGCCGCTTTGAATGCTGGCGATGACGGCCCCACTTGCACCTGTGAAAACCGTGCCCGTTCCAGCGATGACGGTTCCGCAAGTCGACATCAGGGCTGGGACAGCGGCGGGCGCAGCGACGGCCCATCTGACTCCATTTTGTCAGACTTCTCATTAGCACAAGCAACCAAAAAACACAAGGCGAACGTCGGATGTTAGTGCGAGTCCTTGACCTGCGCGGTAGTAGTAGCAAGCCATGAAGCGGCGGCGTCGTTCAAGATAAGAGCCATGGCTGTCTTTTGAACTTTTTTTCTTGTTGGTTGTAATGTTAAGCGTATCTTAAGGTGTATTGTCTCACTCGGCGCTGGAAGCGAAGCGCCCGACAATAGTACAACAAAACTTGAACCCTCCTCGTCTTGACATTATCGTTGCGACTCGACCCGCCCCGTCTTTGGACAGGCTTGACGACTCAAGTTCATCTTCTCATAGCTGATACTTGACAAGATCAATTGTAAACATGGTCAAGAACTCGCGAGTGGCACACATTTGGGGATGCGCTTTTTCTTAGCTCAGATCCCGGACAAACTTACGCAGCCGAGTGGCATGTATCTCACGGGCAAAGCCCACAAACTCGTCCCATTGGAAGCTGCCTGCCACGTTATTGGTCGGATTTGCTGGATCAACCACCAAGGGCCGCTCATGTGCAATCTCAGCATGCACCGCTGAACCGTGAATGATACAAAGCGTTTCGTGGTGCCTTACGAGTTCCCAAAACTTATTGAGCAACGCCAAGTGATCCGCCTCTATCCTCGCAGCAGAAACAAGGGCAAGGGACTCCCCGTGACGAAGTGCGTGCAAGTAGGGCACGGTACAAGAATGCGCTAGCCTTACCGGGCAGGCGCGATTTTGCTTCCAACACCATGAGCTCGATCAAAAATGAGGGAGGCTTGGAACGCCATTTTTGGGTGGCCAGCCATCGCTTGATGAGTCGGATGATGCCGGTCACGCCAGCAGTTTCTTTTTTTTCTCTGACGTACTTCACCTAGTTGATCACCAAAAGACAAGAAATCAATCTGATGAGGCGAAGTTCCTTACAAAAAGGCAAACGATGCATTGTTCCACGCTGATGATGTTGGATTCTTATGTCAGACAGACCTGCTCTTTGGCAAACGCCACGGAAAGCCAACGCCGGTCTTCAAGGGCCGCGCTATTCACGATTTTCATGCGTTGGTCGGTCGAGCGCCATAGGGCTGCGGGGACGGGAAGCAAGTCAACGTTCACGTTGTCCACTCGCAGCTGGACCGCAAAGCGCGTCACCTTCACATCTTGACAGTTGCCTAAGTTGCAGCGTGACCACGTATCAATGCCCCACACCCGAGTCAAGGTGTGGCTACATTCAATGGCTCACCTTGCAGGCCCAGCTCCACAACGCGGCGCAATTCGGTCAGCACCATGTACAGCCAACGTGAATGGTTCTCAGTCGGGATGTCGTTCAAAACAACGAGCAAATCCACATCGGATTGTGCACCCGTGCTTGTGCCTTTGGCATAAGAGCCCCCGGGATAGACCTCATCGACGCTCAGCATAGGATCCTGGCCCAAGAAAAATATCGCTAATGAGTGTACATTCAAACCGTGCTTGTGCCTGCAGCAAATAGCACACCGACCTCATGAAGCGTCCGCACCAGGCGATCAACGACTTTTCTGTGGTCTGGTGGAACGGCATCTTCGGGACTGAAATGGTTGATGAGACGATTCACTTCAACAAGCGTCACTGGTCCAGACTTATCGTCCAGGATGCGATGCGCACGATCAGAGGTGCAGGCGCGCGCGATGGAAGTGGATGCAGGCGGAAGCTTCGCCAGCTTAGCAAGTTGTGCCAAAAACCTTTCGGCGGGCAGTGGGGCTGATGCGACTGGCGGCGCAGCACGGTATAACAAGTTGGTTGATGCTTGAGGCTTGCCATAGGAATGCCGTGCAGTTATTCCCAGTCCTTCGAACTCGGTCCAAGCAAGTTCATAATGTCCCTTGTTGTCGCGATATTTCGAGGTGTAAGCCTCTGCCAATTTCGGCTGCCAAAGATTTTCCACTGCAGCGATGATAGCAGCTCTAAAAGGTTTGAAATAGGTCACATGGTGGTCACGATTACAGCATTCGTTCTGTTCTTGCGTGGGTGAAAGGATGTTGTAGCTGAAGAAAAAGGCACTGCTCGTTGTCATGGCAAAGCCTTTGACAAACAGTGAGGTATGAGAAGCAGGCTTGCCATCTGACTTCGAAAAGACCTGCACGCCGTCGTACTCGCCCAGGAAGGTGTAGATTGAGGACAGTCGCAAGAACTTGGTCTGCACCTCTGTCACAAGTTCTTGTGCAGCATTGTTCTGCAAGGACAGGGTAATCTTGGTCCCAATGTCACGCGAGCTGGGGGTCTGCTGAACATGGATGGTCTCGACTAAAGTCTGGCCTCTTTTCTCTTTGAAGTGGTAGTTGCCTTTGCTCGATTCAATCTGAACCTGCACCTTCTCGCGCATGAGAATTGCCATAGCATCCTTGAGGCCGAGACCAAAATGGCCCATGGCTTTGCTGCTTCGACCGACGACCCAGGCATCAAGGGACAAACCAGGCCCTTGGTCCTCCAGCTCGATCTTGTTCGCGGCTACAGCTCGAAATTGTGGCTTCTTTTCGCTGGCGTCCAGGGCATTCGCAACAAGCTCACAAATCGCATTCTCGAGTGGGTGCTCTCGAGCATGATCCTTGGAAAGATTGAGATCAATCCATACGTCCTTTTCTTCTTGCGCCATGTTTGCAGGAATAGTCATCACGGGCAAGACGCGCACAGCCTTTCACTGTTTCAAACAAGGCGCGAACGCCAAAAAAATGCCACTGAGCACATTCACAATCCACTTCTGCGCAGAAACAAATTAACTGTAAATTTTTTCTTGTGAGAAGTCAACAAGCACGACTTCTCACAAGAAAGAACAAACCTGAATGGTGGGGTCCAGACGCAGCCGCGCTCGATGACGTTGTGCCCTGCGCCTGGATTGGTCGTTGTCTTCTGCATGGTGTTCACACACGGGAGACAACACATACCTGCCATCCTGTTGTGTCCTCCAAGCCTGATCAGCGGACTCGCTTTGAAGTCAGCAAAAACCAATTCGACGCTGATGCGCAAATATGCCTTCAAGATTAACAATGTCATTGCAAATGTTCGGCAGGATCTGTGCTCAGCTACAGCGTGATGATATCGCAACGCATGGTTCAAACACTACATCTCCACCTTTGCTTGTCACAAAGAGGAGGGACTCGTGCGCTGATTTGCAATGACTTGAATGCTTGAGACAAAAGGAGAAAGAGAGAAACTTTTGTGATTTTTGAAGCGTCCAGACGTCAATTACAAGTGGATGGCACGCAGAAAGAGACATTTGGACGGGTAGAGCCGGCAAATGGGCGCAACACGCCCGATTGCTCTTTCTGGTTCCACTTAGTTCATGCGGCGGACCAGGGGGTTGATCTCATCCTCGCGGTTGCCAAAGTCACCACCCTCGGTGAAGTGGTTGCCCTTCTTGACGAGACCACCACGGGGGCTGTTCAGCTTGAAGGGCCAGAGGAAGTTGCTGGCGGCCTTGAAGTTGGGGCCAACGGTGTAGATCTCGTGGATGAGGTCCTCAACGCAGATGATGCCCTTGCTGCCGAGAGCCTCCTCGACAATCTTGTTGTCGCTGAGAGCGATGCGGCTGCGGTTAACCTTGCCAAAGCCACGCTTGTAGACGAGCTCCTTGACGGTCTTCAGGTTGGGGTAACCGTAAGCAACGTAGGGCTCGATGATGCGGAGCATGTTGATGGTGGCCTTGTTCACGCGCACAAAGACGGCGTTGTTGATCTGGAGCAGGCGGAAAAGCTGCAGCACCTTGCGGACCTTGGGCGAAACGCCGTTGATACTGTGGGAAAACACATTAGGAACAACATTGAGCGAAGCATGTTTTGACTCGAGTGCATCAAGTCTCGAGATGCATAAATAAAGCCGAGCAGTGTCAAGAAGACCGCGAAAACCAACCCGCGGATGCGAATGACGAGGAGCAGCTTGGGCTCAGCGGGCACGTAGAAAGAGCCCGACTTCTTGGCGAGGCGGCGCAGACGAGTCTCATCGGCCTCCTGGCGGCGGTACTCCTTCACGTACTGCTCAGCGCGCTTGAAGATGTCCTTGCGCTTGCCCTTGTTGACGGCCTTCTGCTCAGCGCGAGCCTTGGCGGTCTCGGCGGCCAGGCGCTCATCGCGCTTGCGGCGCTTGAGGATAGCCTCAGGAATGCCCTTCGTCCTAAACGAGACAAAAACAGGTGGAAAAAAAGAGGGGGCGGACAACGGGGGAAAGTTGTACTCGTGAGATCGGAGTGAGCCAACAGAGGACTCATCCGACAACTTGGTCACGAGAATGCTCTTGGAGAAGAGCATCTCGCACCCGCGTTCACCAGCTATGGCAACAGGTTGCTTTCACATCCCGGAAGCACCTTCAAGTCCCGAGCCTTTGAAAAGCCCGGGCTCAAAGGACGGGAGTGTGTGCGTGAAAGCAGAGCCTGAAGCCCAGCATGGTTGCAGCGATTCATCCCGCGAGAGGGCCATTCCACAACCAGGAATGCAATCCACGTGATCAGGGCTTGATCAAGCAAGCATCAAGACATTGCACGAGATTCAACCCCAACTGAGTCGCGAACCCTGGCGGATGCGCGCCAGCGGGGAAACCCTCTCACGGGACCAACCACCCGCGTCGAGACAGGGGTGCCCCCGCTTCCTTTCGGAAGAAAAGAAAACAAGGATACGTTCATGCCTCGACACAGGAACGGCGCCACGCGCATGGCCAGCCGATGGAAACAACTCGCGGCAAGCGAGGACAGACAAGACCAGCCCTGGCACAGAGAGCTTCGTGTCGAGAAGCAAACGACAAGTCATCTCCTCACTCGACACCAAAAGTTCTCCAGCCAAACTGCCTCCTCCGCCCTCGCCTGCCGCTGCCGTTCCATGCCCCAAGGGAGCCACGGGCCTCAACCACGTTGTAACAAGTTTTGCAGAGCGCCGGAAGCAGATGGGGCGCCAACTTACTTGTCAGCCATCCTGTCAAGTTAAGGTTTGAAAGAAAAGTGCAGGTGTTGAAGGTCCTGTAGCACGTTGAGGTCTTGTGCCTTGCCCCGTGTGAGGAGAGAAGTCCACCAGGGTTCAAATCTCACAGTACGCATAACGTTATCGGCTTGGTGTGGCTGGCTTGCAAGCCAAAACTTTTATATTGTCAGATGCCACACGGTTTTTTCGCCACACAATGTCAGAATGTCAGATGGACTCCGTCAGTCTCCACGGGGACCAGCCTTGGTCGACGCGCTTGCTTGACAGCAAACTTTTCGCGCCCTTTTTGCTGCTTGAGTATTGTAGCTGGTCAAGAATGGCTTGGAAGAAAGGTCACTCTATCCATCTTCTCTCTGGTCGTGCTTGACATCTGATCGACACCTTGCGGTATCCCTCAGCAAGTGGTGTGTGGATTGTGTGCCCCTTGCCTTTCCTCTCTGCCGACACACCAATCCCCAAAGTTGGTGCCCAAGCCAAACCAGGGTCAGGGTCAAGCTTGCTTGTTGTGCTTGTTGTTGTTGTTGTTGTGTTCTTCTTTACTGTTCTTCTGGTGTTTTTTACTGTTGCTACTCAACAAAAGAATTTCAAGGTAAGCTGCTTGGAAAAATATGGCACAGTGGTTTATGACGTACTCCATGAAACTTATCGTCGTAAAATATTTTTATGATAATGTAGCAAGCTTGTGGGGTAGGCAAGTTGTTGTAGGTGAGAGGTGTAGTTTGTGACTAAACAGCAGTAGTCTCATTTCACGACGACGACGACAACGAACGAGTCGACGAGATTGACAACACGACAAGGCAGAGGGCTGCTCCTGCTTCTGCTCCTGCTTCTGCTCCTGCTTCTGCTTCTGCTGGTGTCACTGGAGCTGCTGGAGCTGCGGTACCTGCTGCTTGGTGCCACTGTTGTTACTGCTCAGGCGCTGTCTCGCTGTTGAAAAAGAGCAGGTGAGAAATGCTTGCAAGTTTGACTGTGTGACTTCGGGACGCCGCCAGCCAGCTTGTGATGGCTTGCTCGCAACCGACGACCAGTGGCAAAAGGGAGCCTGGGCTGCGTGCATTCAGCAAACGAGTTCTCCCTGGCAAAGCCTCTGCGTGTGTCCTCGAGCTTGATCACCTCCTTTTTTTTGATTTAATTTTGGCCATGAGCTTGTTGCATGTTGCATCTTGGCACCATCTGCCAGCTCCTCCCACCTCGTGGCGTCTCATTCTCCACTTTCTGCTCTGTGGGCCTTGCCTGGCATGGTTCGTCAATTCCTAGGTGTATTCTCGTCTGCTGTTGCACATCTCTACCGCACCACCGGCACAATGCCGTCCCAGACCATTGAAGAGTGCTGGGAAGGGTTGTTGCCAGTGGTCAACGTCATCTTTCAATCATCCAACAACACGGTCAATCTAAACCATAAACGCTACATGGAGGCATATGCGTACGTCCTCTCTGCGGCGGCACCTCAACCCTGCTGCAAAAATGCATTTACAGATAGCATCCTATCTGGTCTACTGTCATCCTTTCCGTCACTACACCACTCACCCCCCGCTTTTTTTTTTTTTGCCGTCGGCGTACGCTGGTTGCCACACTGCAGGGCTGTTTACAACTTCTGCACTACCAACCGCCCACCTTCATCCAACAGCCATCGTGCGTAGACGCCCTGTGGTCGTTTCTTCATAGAAAAACCATTGTAACTCCATGGCCACGAAGCGCGTTTCCACATTTTTGTGTTTCCTCACCCCGTTACTCTTGATCTGCCAGGTGATCCAAGCCACATCGTGGGTCATGACATGTACCGCAAAGTGGCCGACTACCTGGAACAACGTTGCATTAGCTTGCGCAAGGTATAGCCCTGCGCATAGCCTAGGCATCGTGTCGCCTCTTCATGCCGCCTTTCCCTCCTCGTTGATCAAATCACTCCTGTGCTGCCATCAATTTAGGAGTTGGAGGCGTACGAGGGAGTTGAGCTGCTTGAGAAGCACCGGCAATTCTGGGAAGATTTCCTTTTCTCGCGTCGCGTCTTGAACAACATCTTCATGTATATCAACCGTCACTGCGTTGCCCGAGCCCTGGAGAACCCAGATCACAAAAAGAACAAGATGTTTGAGCTCGATCGCGTACGTCCACCTCTGCCTCCCGCTGGGTTTCCATCCCTGCCCACAGTGGTGATGCTCACCACACCTGACGCTTGCTTCTGCTGCGTGTCGTGTAGTTGGCTTTGCTCAAGTGGCGTGAACATCTTTTCAAGGCGTGCGAGCCAAAGGTTAGCATTTTTCTCCACCCACGACGCTTCTTTGCCCGTACTCGCCTCCTTTGGCCTTGGATGTCTCACCCAAACTTCTGGTTTTGCTTCAGCTCATCCGGGCGATGCTTGACATGGTTGAGCGCGATCGTAACGGCGAAGCTGTGAGCACCAATCTGCTCCGCTCAGCCGTCGATTGCTTGTGTACGTCACTGGTGCTGCTGCCACCGAGGGTTGTCGACAGTTTTGTGCCATGGCAACGCGGCTGTATCCTGATTGACATCATGGCATCTGGTAGGTTCCCTTCAAGCTGAGGCCATGGTTGCCCTGCGCCCCACCAGCAACGCTGCCAGCCGCACCTCCAGCGTCGATACCCGTCAACACGAGCAGCAGCGCCTCGAGGTCTACGCCAACTCATTCCAGCAGCCGTTCCTTGATGTGCGTAATTCTAGCATGCAACGCACAACATGCACAGCGTCAAAGCCAACGTTTGTTCAATTTGCGTGTGGCGCGGCCCTGACCACGTTGATTGTTTTTTTTTTTTTTTTTTTTTTTTTTTTTTTTTTTTTTTTTTTTTTTTTTTTTTGGATAGGCCACTCTCAAGTATTACAAGCAGGAGTCAGAGCAATTCTTGGCTGAGAACAGTATTTCCGACTACCTCAAGCTTGTTACCAAGCGAGTCCAACAGGAAGAGCAGCGTGTCCAACAGTATCTTCATGCCTCCACCAATGAGCCCCTGGCTGAAGCTGTGCGTTGTCGACCCCCCCTCATCGCTTGCGCCGCAACTGCCCTAGGTGTAGGTTCTCACATTGCTCTGTGGAAATAGTGCAACGATGCTCTCATCCGGCATCAAATCCCTCTGTTCAACGGCGAGATTGATACTTATCTGCAACAGGAGCGCAATGAAGGTCAGTCGTCGAGCAACGATATCCGACCGCATCCTTCTGCATGTGCCACTTGCTTTTTTCGCCTTCTCGTTGCCCATTTTAGCCGGGTTGACCAGTTGTGCTCATGCACTGATCCGAGTGATAGATTTGCATCATTTGTATGTGCTACTATGCCGCTTGCCGGACGGCGTCAACGTCTTGCTGGAAAAGCTCGAGGCTCACATTATTGCCAAAGGCCGAGAGGCCATTGATGCCCTGGGCAAAATCTCCATGGTATGTTCGCCAGGCGGACATGATAGTGTGGGCTGCGATGCATATTTCTCACTTGTGTCTGGTTGCTTGCTGATAATAGTCGGGCGAGGACAGTAAGAAATACGTTGAAGCTCTGTTGCAGGTGTACGAGCAGTTCAACGCGCTTGTGCGCAACGCCTTTAACGACAATCCCCGCTTCATCGAGAGCCGTGACAAGGGCTGCCGTACTTTTGTCAATTCAAACAGCGTCACCCAGGCCACCAAGCTGGCTCGCTCCCCAGAGTTGCTCGCCAAATACTGCGACAGCCTGTTGAAAAACTCTTCCAAGCATCCCGAAAATGTGCTTGAAAACCTCTTGTCCGAGCTCATGGTCATTTTTAACGTAAGCGGACAAGATCGGGTCGCCACTAGTGCATTTGGGGCATCAATCAGCCACGCCGAGGCTGCGAACGCGACTCGACTCATGATGGGTTGGTGTTCTCTTTGATTCCGTACCAACAGTACCTTGATGACAAGGACGTTTTTGAGCAGTTTTACAAGAAGATGTTGGCCAACCGTCTCATCCAGGACAAGTCGGCATCAGACGACGCCGAGGCCAGCATGCTTTCCAAGCTCAAGGTATCTCCGCGCGCAACCCACTCGCCGTGTTGAACAGAGGGCGAATGCGCCTGCTCAAATCACGTTGGACGTGATCGGTGGTCGCAGGACGCTTGTGGTGGTGAATACACCAACAAACTGCAGCGCATGTTCCAGGACATGGCCACAAACAAACAAACAAACGCCAAGTTCAAGGAGCATCTGGATCAAAGTGGACACATTATGGGTGCGTCCTTGGGCACCACATCTGCACTTGGGCTTTCTCACCTGCTCATCGACATGTGGTGTATCCCTTTGCCTTTGCATCTGCTGTTAGTTAAAATCCACGGTGAAGAAAAGCCGCTGGATTTCAACGTGCGTGTTTTGACTACCACCACCTGGCCTTTTGCTTCCAAGCTCAAGATGGTCATTCCCACCATCCTGGACAATTGTATCAAACGCTATGAGCTCTTTTACGCGGTCAGTCTAGATGCTGTGCTTCCTGATTTCAATCTGTGTGCCGCCGTTTCCTCGGCCTCCACTCGAACCTGGACCAGGTTCTTATTTCTCATAATTTGGGTCTGACCGATTTTTACCCACGGCTGCAATGCAGCAAGCCCACACCGGCCGCAAACTGGACTGGGTGTACCACTTGTGCAAAGGCGAGATTTTGATGCTCTACACCAAAAAGGAGCGTGTTCTGGAAGCCAACACCGTCCAGATCTCCCTGCTGCTGGCTTTCAACGAAGGCGACAGTTTCACGATGGAAAACTTTATGAATCAGACGGAGCTGCAGATGGTGCGATCCCCTGATTTCTCTACCCCACACAATACCCCGCACCGCTCCATATCAAGGCCCTTTTTGCATGTTTGCTTGGCGCACGGCTCTTGACTCATTTTTTCTTGACATGGTTCCTGCCGCAACATTTGGTTGCATGCAGGATATCATTCAGCCCCAGCTTGATTTGCTCACCAAGGCCAAAATCCTGCTTTTGGAGGTGCGTGATCTTTGCTCATGTGTGGTGTTGTGCTTTTGACAAATGAGAGCGAGATTAATTTTTCTTTCTGTTGAGGAGAGCCTAGCTCATACTTGTGCTTGGTGGGACTGACATTGCAGGATGGTCGATACAGTCTCAACTTCAAGTACAATTACAAAAAGTTGCGCGTCAAGATCGATCAGCCCGTTCGCTCGGAGCAAAAGGCGGACACCGAGAGCACTCACAAGGCTGCCGAGGAGGATCGCAAGTTTATCATTCAGGTAGCGCAGCCATCCTCGTCTGATCTGATGAGTTGGCTTTTTTTTTTTTTTTTTTTTTTTTTTTTAAAACACCATCAGCTCATTTGCTTACGCGCATTCGATGTGCCAGGCCTGCATTGTGCGCATCATGAAGACGCGCAAACACATGAAGCATCAGCAGCTCATGCAAGAAACGCTGGAACAGCTGAGCCGCCGCTTCAAGCCCAAAGTTTCTGCCATCAAGGTCTGTGCTTTTCTATGCTCCTTGCGATTTTGTGAGCTGAGGGGCACTGGCGTGCCGGCGTTGCCTCACAGCCAGTCATTATTACCCATGGCTTAGCGCAACATTGAGTCACTCATCGAGGCAGAATACCTCCGTCGACGCGAGGGTGAACGCGAGGTGTACGAGTATCTTGGTACGTTCTCGAGTGCTGTTCCAAACATTTCATGCATTGTCACATTTCCAAACTTATGTCACGCTCGCTCACCCCGTGTTGTGTTTGGTTTGGTCGAATATAGCATAAAAGATGCTGGCGGCCATGTCGCCAGCAAGCCGAAAGCATGTGCGCGGCTTGCTGTGTTTCCATCCCTCGCTTTGTGCACAATCTAAGAAGGAAGGCGGCAGTCCCGACCACTGCGTGGGCAAGGGCATCGCATGCGTCACATTGGTGCTGGACATTGTTGCATCGAGAAGGGAGCATTCTGTGGCTGCAAGCTCTTTTTGTGTCTCGTTGTCATCTCATTCCTCAGCTCCTGCCAGCAATCCTTCGTTGCTCAGACTGCCACCATAGTTTGCAGCAGTTTCTCGACCACCAAACGCAATTTACACCCAGATTCACTCTATTCTTGCCCCTCTGCAATGGTAAGCTTTCGAAAAGGCACAGCATTATCGAGGATCTTGGCAAAAAAGGCACCGTTTGAGCGTCCGAATAGCCTTTTCGCAATCAGGGACAGGGATCGATTGGCATGCGAACACAATATTGGGCTCTCAGAGCCTGATGCTGGGTCAAGTTGCTCCAAGTTCATGCAAACGGTGCATCATCATGGGGCACCAAAACGTCCCGTTCCAGCTCCATTCCGGTCTGACGCAACACAGCAAACAGCTGAGTGCGCTCCTCATATGCTCTACAAGGCGAATGCACAATGCACACGAGAAATGTCAGTCGCACTACCCCTCCATTACCACCAGGATGATGACGATACGCTGCCCCTTCCAAAGCTCTGCTTCATCTAACACCGCCCCTTCCAAAGTTCTGCTTCATCTAAAAAATGCCAAGTGTTCTTGAACGCTGCCTCAGGCCATCGGAACTTACAAGAAAGGATCCTCGAGGCTAGTGCAAGCCTGTAATGACCAAAATCGGGGAAAGGGACAAGGCAACACCAACGCAGCCGGGATGCCGGGATGAGACTGCGTCCTGCCCTAGGCTCGACGTGTGCAATCGAACAGCACTGACCTGCTTCAGAACATCAAGGCATGCTTGGCGCAGACGCGGAAAGGCTTCACACATCAGCCGAAAGCAGGGGCAAAGTCGCTCAAGTGCCAATCGCGTGGCTTGGCGTTGCGATGCTCGCACCAAAAGATAAGGCACCTGACCCAGTGCCTCGTTGAGTAGCTGCAGGGCACGCGGGAGCCGATACTTGTGCGCCAACAGAGCAGCCAAGTGTACGGCCCCGAGCTGAATGACGTGGTCCGCCTCTCCCAAAAGCTCGCTCAAGTAGTCAAAGGCCACGTGCGCCGCAGGCACGTGCTCGACAAAGTCAGGCAAGGTGGTGAAAGCCAGTTTGCAGTACATCAGCTGGGGCAGAAGGTCCTTATGCAAGATGAGTTGCCGATGGGTAAAAAGGCCAATGTCGTGACACAAGGCCGTGCGCTCCTGTGCGTCGCGCACGCCTGGCGCGTAGGGGAGCTCCCAGAGAAAGAGCAGCAACGCAGCGACGGTGTTCCACTGCAAGGTCTTGCAAATCTCACCCACGTCCTCATCGGGCTTGCGCCGTTTACGCTGCGGCTGCTGGGCCAGGGCGTCGGCTTGACCTTGCAGCTGCGATGTTGGCCCGGTGGACAAGCACACGTGTATGAGTTGGGATAACCAGAGCTGGCTGCAAAAAACGATATCTCAGCTGAACTACAACGTTGCGACGGCAGGCGGCCAGATACTCACCATCTGACTGTGATTGATGAGCGTCGTTTGCAGAGCAGCCAGCAGTAGGCGAAGCAGGGGCGGGCGAACCAAAACCGCTGGGGCAAGGTGCAAAAAGAGGAGCGGATCCGAGCTCAAGTCTTCCTCGGGGGCGCGGATGAGGGTGGCATTGGGAAGCCACGCAGGCAGAAGCAACGAGCTCAAGTCAAGATTGATGTGAAAGCGCTGCTTCAGCGCAAGGAGCGCCTCCTGAAAAGCCTGAAGCACTGCCGACGTGGCTTCATCAGCATGCGCCTTGATCCATTTGGCCACCCTGGTGAGCAGTCCAACGTCGTCAAGAGTGCCATGGGCCGCCACCACTTGCAGCGCGTGCAAAACGGGGCCCTCGTCTTCAAGAGTCTCAGGCAGGGAAAGCTTGGGCCGCGTCGTGAGACTCAGAGGTCGGGGTTCCACGAAAAGGGCAAAATCGTGTGATGCAAGGGCCGAGAAGCGAGTTTCGATCAGGGCCAGCAGCGGCGCACGAAGGGCTGCCAGTTGCGGCTGCGTGCGAACTTGGCGATAAACAGCAGCCACATCAAGCGCCAGCAAATCCGCAAGCGTGTACGGTTCGCGACGGGCCAAGGCTGGATTGGTAGCCCCTTCATGATGCGCACACCCACGAGCGCGCAACTCGCTGATTGCATCGTTGACAGACAGGGCGTACAGCAAAGCGCATGCCCGCGCCACGGCATTGAGCGAGGCAAGCTATTGCCCCCAAAGACACATTGGGGTTAATGATTCATCAGAGTTGCGAGCGCACGGCTTGCTTCGGCAAGATGAACGAGGGGTCGACATGGCAAGAGATCGACCGACCTTTGTCAGACGGGTTTGCGGCCAAACCGTAAGTGGTTGAAGGCGGCGACAAAATGCGGCGTGCTCCATACGAGGAGGCTGGTAGTGGCCTGAACGTGGTGTACCCATGGGCTCGACGCACATGATGGACCATTGCTACCCAAGACGTGAAAGCATGGGTGTCAAGTGAGCCAGGTGACCAAAGGAGGCGCAGGCGCGCCGGCGCGCCGCATCAAGAGGTCAGTAAGGAAAGGCGGCGTGAATGCGCATACGGACGACAGAAACCACTTGACAGCAGCAACAACACAACAGAAGCGACAGGAAAAGCGGATCCAACAAGCGACACTCACCACAAGAACCTTGACGAGTGCGGGAGTGATGCGGCCGCAATGGGACTCAAACCACACCTGGCAAGTCAAAGCAAGGTCAGTCTACTCAAAGCTCAAAGAGAGACCAAGTCTCTGGAAGGGACGCGTGGAAGATGAGAAGGCTGCCAACAGAACGAGTCGCACCTGTTGCTCAATCCAGGGAAAGACGAGGGCATCGACGGCATGGATTTGACGGGCTGCAAAGGCTTTGCTCACAAATTCCACCTCAAGGCGTCGCAGTTCCGTGTCCAGTTCGGACACGACCGGGGCGGTGCGCGTTGCCGTCTTGTGCAAGCGCCCACGTCGGCCGAGGGTGCCGCGTAGCAATAGTTCATGTTGCTGCAACAAGTCCACCTGTCGAGCAAAGCGACGCACTGCATCTGTTGTCACCTGTCCCACCGTTGAGGTAGGTGGACAGCCACACCACATGCATTTCGTGAGGTTTAAGGCTTTGGCTTGAGCGCGTATGATTCCACACCGCCTGCACCGCTTTCCTTCAGCAGGGCAAGCGAGAAGGCTTACCTGAGCCACGGCACCAAAGGCTTGCTGACACCACTTGACGATGGTGGCGTACTCGTTAAGATTGAGAGCAATGAGAAAGTCCAGGATCGGTGCAAAGGTCTGGCCCGTCTGGGCTTCACCCGCGGTGATATGCTTCAGATTTTGCTGGAGAAGGTCTGCATCAACGAGGAGGCTGCTCCGTCCCCCAATGAGGGTGGCGAGGAGGAAAAGAACGCGCATGCGATCTTCTTGATCATTGTGTCGCGTGTTGGTAAACAAGTCTTGCTTCAAACGGTGTGCCTGCGCCATCGTGTCCTGTTTTTGCCATGACCAGTCAATTCAAGATGGTGTGCGTGCGGCCTCGAGCGCCAAGGGTTGAGTGGGCAGTTGGCCTTTTGCGAGGAGACTGACCTGCGTCATATCCAAACCGTGGTGCGCATGCAACAGTAGAAAGAGCCGGAGAGATTCTGCAAGCGTGGGGCAGCGTGGGGCGGGCGCAATGTCAGACATGCGTGATTGAGAGGCGCGGTGTGTCCATGGGCGCAAGGCGGTGCAAACAGACCGGGAGTGGCAGTGGCTGGGTCCACCGCTCGGGTACAAAAGTCAGCAAAGGCATGCCAGGCTCCGCGATCATCCGAGTGGCGATCGTGGTGTTTGGCCAAAACTTGCGCGTGGTGTACCAGTGCGGTCCAGGTGGTGGGTGAAAGTGACGCTCTAATGGATCAAAGCGGTCACGCGGGCAGGCACATAAGGTGGTTGGGTGAGCACGAGGTCGTTGTTGTTGTTGTTGTTGTTGTTGTGAGCGATGGCGCAAAAAGAGGTCGTACCTGGTCAAGAGATGGGGGAGGCGTAGCATGTGACGCCCAGTCAGGAGCAGTGTTACTGGCCAGCAGGCAGGCTCTTTGAGAAGGTAATATCTGGGATTCGATGAACCATGACGAGCAGATGGGGGCATGAGAGGGATGGAAAAGACGGGGTGGCAAGCAGCAGACAGGCGAGGCTTTGTGGTCATGTGGATTCAGCACGCTGGAGCCAACATACGCAACAACGGCTCGCTGATCGGGGTGAAGGGCAAGCAGATCGCAAAGCAGCTGCACAATGGCCGGTTGAGTGTTTTTGTTCTTGACGAGAATGGGTATGATGGCCTCGAGCACTGCCAAGAAAAGGAACACAGAGAAGGAAGAGGAGGGGAGGGGAAAGACCGTGAAGTGAGGGTGTATGAGTGTGTGAATGGAGCAGGGGCAGGAGGCGATGAGAAGAGGCAAGGGTAGGGCTCGGGGGCATACGTTCGCTCAGGGTCAGGGCCCGGTTACGGGCCATGAGAAGCACCATGGCGTGAGCACGGGGCCCTGCCGTTAAAAGTGCGGCAAGCACTTGGACGTTGTTCAATCGCAGTTCGGCATCTACACCGCCGCGAGGCAGCGGAGACAAGGTGGGGTGAGCACACTTGGCATGCATAAGGGGTCGGAGAGCAGCAGATGACTTGATGGGTGACATACTGGAGAGGCCGTGGGCAAGAATGAGAGCAAAGGTCGCAGCGACGTCATCAGAGGCAAGCACACGTGCTTCCAGATCAGGCAGGTTTTGGTCAGCCAGAAGAAGGCTCACGGCTTTGAGCCGCTGAGCCAGCGTGCCATTGAGGAGTACTTGCAGTGGATCCTCTGACGCTTCTTCTGTCGCATCGGCAGCATCCCCGAGGATGGGGTCCACGGCGCCCAGCAAAGGGCTTCCAAAAGCCGTCTCCAAGGCCTCGTAAATGCGATCGTGGTCGCTTTCGGAGAAGCGGGGCATCAGCTGGAGGCAGCGAAATGCAAAAAAGGGCAACTCGATCGACCGCAAAGCCGCCAAGTGTTTGACACCCACTGCCCCCTCGGCATATGTGGCCGCCACCAAGCCCTTGGGACCCTCGGCGCGCCCCATCCCAACCGATGATGCTCCCCCGCTCGAGTCTCCTGTGCCCTCCATCCTGCACAAGCTCCAACAGCCCCAGTAAAAACCGCCTCCCCCCCCCCGCACACTCACACTCGACCACACACACACACACGCACACTGATATGAAAAAATAAAATACGAGAGAGAGAGAGAGATTTAGAGCGCTCAGAGCTTGAGAGAGAGAGAGCTTGAGAGAGAGAGAGCTTGAGCGCTCAAAAAAGAGAGAGAGAGAGAGCTTGAGAGCTTGAGAGCAAGAGAGAGAGAGCGTGCTTCAGAAAGAGAGAGAGAAACAGAGCTTGAGCTTGAGAGAGAGAGTGTGTGTGTGTATGTGAAGAGTGAGACAAAGAGAGAGAGAGAGAGAGAGAGAGAGAGAGAGAGAGAGAGAGAGAAAAGAGAGGAGAGAGAGAGAGAGAGAGAGAGAGAGAGAGAGAGAGAGAGAGAGAGAGGAGAGAGAGGAGGGGGGGGGGATCTGTCGCGGTGTGCTCGACCATGGGGATCTATCTAGGGAGCTGGGCGCCAAAGCCGTCGCCTTCTTCTTTGAAGCTGGGGACTTGGGGCATTGGACGGAGTACTGTGAGGGTTTGGACCATTTTCACCACAACTCGGCTCACATAGAGGAACAAATGTGAGAGGCCGCGGCCCGACAAAGACGTTCTGCACGCGTTTGTCCTCCTGTGCTTTTTAAAGGTGGAGAGCATCTGTCACACGGTACGTTGCATTCAAGTCAAAGGCGCATTTCTCAATTGGGGGGCCAGCGTCGTGTGAGACAAGACGCTTGACCGGTGCAGGCTCTGCCTGATGAACGTCCGCGTTCCACGCCCGTTGCAAAGAACAGGCTTTTTTAAGCATCGTTGGGGCTTGCGCGCTGGACGCCTTGCCATTTGGCATTGATGTAATCGCCAAACTGGCGGAGAGACGTCATTCCGGCCAGACCGCTCACCTGGCGCGTGCCACTATCAACGTCCAGGAGCGTGTTGTGCGTGGAAGCAGCGGCAGCTGGGGCGTCCTTAGACGGGCGCCATTGGCGGCCGTCCACCTCCGACTCATAGCCCGGGTAGTAGAAGAACACAAAGGAGAGGCGCGACACGGGCGGGCATTGTACACGGTGTACCGGGGACACAAAGGCCCCACCAGTCAAAAGGGCGAGAAAGTCGCCGCCGTTTACCACCAGGCTATAATCCTCTCGTGCTGGCACATCATACCAGCGTCCCTCAGACCCGTGCTGAAATTGCAAGCCGCCCGTACCGTCTTGCAAAATGAGCGTGAGGAAACCCCAATCAGTGTGTGGCGATGACCCCAAGCACGCGCGGTCCGCTTCGGCTGGATGATAGCGAAAGAGGCGCATCAGCGAGATGGTATCACCGCCTGCGCAGACCTCCAGCAGGTCGCGCGGCGCCTGGCCAAGTCCCAAGGCAATGGCCGCAACTACCGCGCGCATAATAGACACCGACCAGTCAAAGTGTCGCGTGAGGCCGGGCCGCAACCCTGGCGCTTCCGCCGGCCAAATGTTGCAGCCTTGCAGTGCATTCTGAGGCGGCTGATCATCAGGCCACTCATAACCATAGGAAAACCCTTCTTTGGGCTCAAAGTACTCTTTGCGTCCAGACTCTTGACCATAAGCCACATATCCCCGAATAAAGCCGCCGCGAGCTACCGCCCGCCCCGCGCGCTTTTGTGGCTACCGAAAGCACCCATGCGCCCTTGTGAGTCAGCGACACAATTTAAGCGCTAAACCCCCCCCAAAAAAACACATAAACCATTAAAGCTCAAGATGCCAAAGACGGTCCACGTACCTCGGGCAAATCAAAGTAAGCGCCCGCCTCGGTAAACAGCTCGCGGGCTTCGCGGTCCTGGATACAGTTGGCGGCCAACGTAAAGCACCCCGCCTTTTGCAAACTTGCCACGACGCGCTGACCCACGGCCAACTGCGCGGCGGTCGCCTCGCTCAGCGCCAACGAATCCAGATGAACCGTCGACACCTTGCCATCTAAATCCCGCTCCAGCAACGCACTCAAGTCCACCTGCATGATAACTGGCTCCTCTGCCTCTGCCTCGCTGCCAGTGCCCTTGGGCACTTCCGCCACCGCCGCCATATCGCCACGAGGAAGAGAGAGAGAGAGAGAGAGAGAGAGAGAGAGAGAGAGAGAGAGAGAGAGAGAGAGAGAGAGAGAGAGAGAGAGAGAGAGAGAGAGAGAGAGAGAGAGAGAGAGAGAGAGAGAGAGAGAGAGAGAGATGGGGGTGAGATTAGATCAGAATCTAGAGAATAAGAAATGCAAGCAAATTATTCGTCTCCATTCATAACAGAAATCCTCTAACCCTTCAGAGAAGACTCCATCCACGCGATCGAAGGAAGAGAATGAACAATGTCATCCTTTTTCAATTTTGTCTGACACTGGACGGTTATGGCGGCGGCGACGGCGACATCAGAGGAATGGGACCGGCCCGCCTTGGACGACTCGCCATTGAGATGGAGCGAGGTGGTGGCGCGGTTGCCGGTGGCGGATACGCTGCCAAAGGGATCTGAAGGGTATGTCAGCTGGTTGGTGGCGGCTGGCTTGCCGCTACAAGGCTCGCTCCCGCATGGCGGTTTTCATTGAGTTGCCGTTCTTCGCGCTTCCACCTGAGCTAGGAGGCGTCCAGCCACATTGGACACCATGGCGGAGCTGCTCCACTGCTTTGCCAGGTCGATTTGGAATTGCAGCATTTTTGACGCGCCCGAGCCCGAGCCCGAGCCCGAGCCCGTTCTTTGCACCCCTCAATCACCGCCATCCAACGCTAATGCAAAGACCCTTGCTCTGACTGGGACTCGCACCCGCGCCTCCTTCTTCCTGTTCATGGGTGGTTCCTTGTAGATCCTTCGCTGCGCACGAATGCTCGATCGACCATGTACGACTACCCAATGGTGCCGTGGAGCAGCCCGATCAGCCACCTCAAATTCGAACAGGCACAGCTGAGCTGGGTCTTCTCATCTCCTTGGCCTCCTCCACTGAAGTCTGCGAGCGCTTTGCCAAGCAAGGAGCGCCCTTTCGACGCACCCCCATTCGTTTGGCGACTAGCTTTGCTTCGACCGTGACTTTAATTATTAAGGTAGATGACTGAGTCACGACCCGCAGTCACCCAATGCCCTGAACCCCGATCATCTCCGTGCCAAATGCCTGTTTCTAGTTCTCACTCGGTAGCATCTTGTGTCCATTGTTCGACGTAGACGGACCTCTACCTTCGCGTCAACCTGTACCACCGCAGTGCCCTTGTATCGGCCTTTCAAAATGACGTAGGTGATCATATTTGGCCGTGCGCCTGATCTTGATCACGGCATAGCTCCAACACGATCCCACCTTTCAACCTCCATTCACTTGCACCCCACACTTGTCCAATCCGGCCACGCTGTGTATTTACTTAGCCTCGTCTCGAACGAATTCACTGCGTCTCCTTGGCCTGGACCCTCCCCAAAGGTGAGCAAGTAGCACAACAAACCTGTGTGGCTCTTGTCACCTCACGATCCAGTCCATGCACCACAGTTTGGCTGGCATCTGCTGACCGCCCCCTCTCTTTTCGTGTTGTTGCAGCCCACGGGACGACAAATGCTGCCTGGGTGCCCTTTGCACGCAACTCGCCCACGCACACTCAAATTTTGCTGGCCCTTGGCCCCTTTCACACCATGGCCGAGCTTTTTCGCCAGGCAGAGCGCCTCACCGGCCAGGCTGGCGCGTTGCTCATACTCTCAGACCTCCACACCCCTTCCAACCCAAAACTGGAGCACAACCTGCCTCCTTGTCCCACCATGCCCGGCCGTGCCGGCACTTTGCTACCTGTAAGCCAAAGCCTCGTTTCTTGCCCGCCCATTCATTTGCAGTTGCAAGTGCCCCACAAGACCAAAGATGGCCCACATCGTCCAAGAATTCTGATGTGCACTTTGCCAGTATGATGACCTTCGCAGCACCTTGGCCAACATGTATTGGCTCCGACCTTGTCGCTTCTGGGTCAACGGCCACCCTGTTGAGCCCATTCATCCCACACTTGGTTGTCAAGGGTAAGCTTGCCCAAGTCTTGTTCGGCAACGATCGGCCCGCATTTACCTCCTGGGCCCTGTCGCCTTCACACGTAGACTTGTCACCGTCTCGCTTGCTGAAGCAACTAAAGCATGTGCTTTGTACGTTGACGTCTCCTTATCCTCCTCGATGCCTGACAATGTTCGAACCCACCTCTCTCGCTTGCGATCGTGCGAAATCTCACTGAATTACCATATGCACCCGCCACTCGTGTCCGCAGCATGCCGGTTCGTTTTTGTCGAGTTTGAACTGAATTATGACCTTGAGCCCGTCTTTGTAGCCTATTGCCAAGGCAGTCGTACTCTTTTCCAGCTCAAAGGTTGTTTTCAACGGCAGGAAGCGCGGCACTGGCCCTTGCAGTTCTGTGAAGCCTTTGTCGGTCGGGTGGAGGATGCTACACACTCTGGACTCTTCATCTACGTGGGCGGGACCTGTGTTGCCGTGCGTCTGCTCTGTCTTGCTTACCATGCTTTCAGGCCGGACCGGGCCGGGCCCGATAGTGGAGACAGGTTTACCAGACTTGTTCGGGTCGGTTCTTCATGGCGCCACCTGTGGTACTATATGTAGGCCCGTCTACCGCTGATGCAAGGCGTGACTGGGAAACCGTGGTGCGGGCCGGTACGTTGCATTTGATATGACGTGATGCTACACAAAACACTGTTCGTGGCTCAAGTGTCTTTCAATCACTCGCATCGGCCACGAGGGGTGTTTTAGGGCTGGCTGGAGCACATGAAGGTCATGTGGATCTGTCGTCGAGAGGCACAACTGTCTTGGTCGTCTTTTCCTCACGGGGCGGATGCAGTGGAGGTATGACCTTGGGGTGTTGGGATGGTTCAGCCAGCTTTGAGTCTTGGCCGTGGTCTAAGTTCTCGCAGTCCTCTTTCACGTCTTTGCGTGGATAATGCCGCAGGCCATTCGGTTTGCGCTCTCTGTTGCGGCACTGGTGGCGTCCAGCGTGGCAACAGAATTTCAAGCACAGTCGCCCCTCCCCAAACCACAGCGACACCTGGTGCCAAGCGCCTGTTGCACCAAGTGGCGAGTACGCACGGGTGAGGTGCTCTGCCCCCGCGATTGTGATCCTTGTGTGGCTTGGCACGCTTGAACCTCCTGTAAACATCCAGTAGCTCACACTGGCATTATCGCAGGCACATGGACTGAGGAACCTTATGCCTGTAACATGTTTGAAGAGACCTGTTCGGTTGATCTGGTAATCATGCACCCGTGGGCAGCGTGGGGTCGCCTCGTGAGAGGATGAGCATTTGTTGAGTCGCCATCTCATTTCAACTTTGCGCAAATCAGTCTGTGGCAACGGCTCTAAACCTGTCTCGGATCCACCTGCCAGAGTGGCTCTGGCCCAAACTTCAGCTCTCCATGCAGACCATCACTCCGGTACGTCAGGTGTGGTCTTGGTGAAACCTGAATGATGCATTTATGTCACTGGTTGCTGACTTGATGCCGGCAGGTCCGTTCGCGAGACAGTCGACAGCACTGGAGCTCTTTTGGTGCGTATGCGCGACCTGTCCCAGCTTCTCTCGCTTTTTATTTTTTTATCCTTTCGTTTTGGAAGATCTTGGCATCTAACTGCTGGTGAGTGTTGTAGCTTTCGAGCCCGAGCCACTGTGTCTGCCAGAGGATGCCTCGTGTTTGGGCCATTATACAAAGCTGCTACCGATTTTGGCCTGTCGTCCGGCAGTGATTCGTCTTCTCATCAATGCCGAGGTGAGTGTTGCCACCTCGTTTGCAGGCAAAGCCATGTGCAGGTCACGCTTCACTACCACCGGTGATACAGGCGTGCGCTGCCTACGTGACCGACGCACCCGCCTTTGAGAAAGAGATGACGGTATCAACCCGAGCAGCTCGGCTACACGATGTGTTGTATGCGCATGGGCGGATGCAGCAGCAAAAGCTTTTGCTTGCAGCAGAAAAAGTAAGCGTTGCACGGCCAGGGTGCTTGGTTGGCTTTCAACCATCAACCTTCACCCTGTTTGGCCGTCAGTCTTCAAAGCAGGCGCGGCCACTCGCCGATAAAAAGCAGGTCGATGTCTATTTAAAGGCAGTGATGCGACTGCTCGGTCAGCTGCAGCAGCAGCAAGCCTTACCAGACCTTGAACTGGGCCACCTCACAGTCTTAGAGCGGCTGAGTACGTTTGCATACTTGCCCACCAACATAAGCTCCATGTGGTGCCTGCGTGCCTGACCTTTCAATCGCTGGAACCTGTACGTGATAGATCATGTCATTGCCGTTGTTCGTGATATGAACGCCATTGCAAAAGCAAATCTGCCCACAGGCTGGCTCTTTGATGCGCCTGGGCAAATTTAAGCGTGCTTTGACATGCTGATGGATTCCGATGGCTTCCTCGTCATTCTTGAAAGACCCTGTACGTCCTAGTGAATTTTTTGAATCGTGTAGTAATAGAGCTCAAAAGCCACCGACCACACCTTGAAGCCAGTCAGCTCTGCTCTCTTGTCCCCCTCGTGTGTCTCTCCGACGACGACGAGACCCCGAACATTCCAACACACGAGAAAGAGAAGAAAAAGTATTGAGACAGAGAGACGGAAAGACAGAGAGACAGATGAATTGATTAGAGAGAGACAGAGACAAGAGAGAGTGTGTGTGTTTGAATTTGATTTTTTTTTTTTTTTTTTTCAAAAAAAATTTAAATTTTTGACGAGCAAGCTCAAGTGAGCCGGATCAGCTGGAGTAGAGGCCTTGCGCGCGGATTGTGACCGGCAAGGATGGCCGAGGGCAAGGCCGGGCCTGTGGCTAAGCTGAACTTGGCCAAGCTGGGGATTGTAGCGAATCCTCAAGCTGGAAAAGCGACTTTTGATCCCAGCTTGACGACGGGCCTGTGGACTGGTAAGGGTGGGGCAACGGACCCGGCGCCAAAGTCGAGCCAACCGCCGCCTGCGGCAAGCAAGGCACACGCCCAGCCCGCTGCTCAAGCTAAAGCTGCTGCTCCTGCCCCTGCCCCTGGCCCTGCCCCTGCGCGAGTGCAAAAGTCAGCGGTATCAACAGTTGCCAAGGCCGGGCCCGCCCACACGCCAGCTCCTGCCCCCGTCTCGGCAGCGCCTCCCATCCGCCATGCTGGCCCGCCGCCAGGATGGAGTGTGCGTGGGGATGCCAGCGGGCTCAGCATTCCTGCCACGCACGCACCAGCGCAAGCCAGTCTCGCCAATCGTGAAAAAGCACATGCAAGCCATATTTTTGACAGCGCGGGAAGCACTGAAGTGCCCGGGCGGCACGCTTCTGCCATGCCGCAACACGCCTCGTCAGCCTACCAACCCTCTCGCCGGGCTGCTGCACCTGCTGGCGCTGGAGCTACACAATTGTTGGGCTTGGATCCTTCGGCGCCTTTTGGTGGAGGCCCTTCTTCGTCCCAAGCAGCTCCTGCATTGGTCAGCTCGGCTCGCCGCGGCCAGGCTCGTCCAGATTCCATGGCTGATTACTTTCACGACCCCCAAGGCGAGGCTCGCGTGGCCAGGCCCAAGCCGATTCGATCCGTTCAAGAGCGCCGGAAACAGCAACAAAGTTTTGTTGATATTGGTGCGTGCTTGACATCCCCAGGACAGCTTGATGGGCTTTGTCAATGTCCACTGAAGCAGGTGTCTGGTGAAGCATACTCTTATTGTGAGCTGAGAAACTGATCCATGTGTGGCTTGACAAATGTGCACAGTGTTGGAGGAGCCCCCACTGGCTGCGCCGCCTCGAGCCAACAAGACGGGTCGCACGAGCAAAACGCGTGCCGCATCATCCAAGACCACTGGGCTGCGTCACGCCCCCACAGGTACTTGTTGCAGTCACTCATGCCCGTCGCTGGCCAACCCTGCTTGTGTTGTTTTGTTGGCCATCGCATCACGTGTTGGGGCCAACAACTCGATAGGATCCACATCGACCGGTGGCAGCGGGCGGGCAGGTCGAGGTATGGTCTTTGTGCCCGAGGAAGATCCCCGGGCAGCGGCTCGGCGCCAGAAGGCTTGGGCGGCGCGAATCAAAGGCGCGCGGTCCACCATCGACAATCGTGTTCCAGATGCGATGACCAAAAACCCGATTGGGCGGCGGAGGCATGGCTTGGAAAAGCCCGTGCGTCGAGCCCCTGCACCTCGGGAGAACGCTGCGTCGGAACGCCGCCTTCAAACGCGGCGTGAGGCACAAGAGGCAGACCTACGGCATGAGCGGGCTGCAGTGCAACCTCGACGACCGCACAGCATATCACGAGCCAAGCAAGACGTGTCGGACGCATCGGGCGCAGATTCTGACGGAGAGCGCTTGGATTCGGCCGTGCAGCGCGCAGAAGCGCTGCTGGAAGCATCCCAGGCGCCAAATGCTGATGCCACAGGCCCTTCTTTGTCGGCCAGCCAGCACGATCTGGGCTTGACGCAACGTGTCAATTTAGTCGATCAGGAAGATGCTGCTGGGGAAACGATCCGAGCCTGGGCCAGTGGACCAGACGACGAGGATGATGGCCATGACAAAAGCTTTGAACAGGACGCTGCTGCCTCCGAGTCGGCGTCCCACGACTGGGCATCGCACAGTGATGCGGACACGGACTTTAAGGGCACCGCGACATTTCGACGCCCTATTGATCAGGATGAGGACCAGTCGGCTGCGGACTACCACGCGCACCGCGTTGGGGAGGGCACCCTCGACGGCGGGGCAACCTTGACGCGCCCGGGCACGGCATGGAAACCAGAGACAAGTCGAGCTGCGGCCTCTGGCGAGCGATGGGCATCACCGAAAGCAAACATGAGTGGAAACTTTGCAGCAGACGTCGTTGAGGATGCACCCGCCCTCACGAGCCGCTCGGCTTCGCTGCTGGCACGCGCTGAGCGCCTGCGGCAGCGACGACAGCGACAAGACCTTGATGCGGACGCCGAGGCGGAGGACGCTCGAAGCAAGGCATTACGTGGCATGGATCTGCTGCAAGACGTTAGTCAGGACTTGGCCTGGCAAGGGGCGGCGACTGAAGGGTAAGAGCTTGCCCCGCCAGCGTTCAATCTGCATTCATGCGCACGAAGATCAGGGGACGATCCCAATCGTGTTTTTGCTGTCGTTGCTTGTCTTGCCCCATCTGTTCACGGCGTGCGCGTATTTATTTGTGAAATCCAGGGCCATCGTCGAGGTGATGAACAGCCATTATCGACGCAACAAGCATCATTTGGACTCGGCCACGTTGGAACGCCAGCTGCAACGCCTGGCCTCAGATCTCCGCATCACATGGCAGCCCCCGCCCCCGGCTACGAAACTTGCCAGCGTGAGCCTGGGAGATGGCGCGGACTGAAGCTGGAACTCTTGATTCGCCTCGGGCCACCTTATCTTCCCTGCTCTCAAAGGAGACCGGACAAACCCCCAGCGCCATGATAACATTCCCTACACGAACATGATAATTAATCAACCCCACCATCTGTCTAACCCAGCTACTGCACGTCTATTCATAGTGCACGGTCCAGCTCCTGCGCATAACCCCATAGCAAGTGGTGGCCGCACACAGCTACTGCACCTCTAGCCATCGTCCACGGACCAGATACTGCACATACCCCATAGCAAGTATAGCAAGTGGTCACACACACACACACACACACACACACATCAAGTGTTGTAGTGATATACAAAAGTGTGAGAAATGTGTCTCTTTCTTTCTTGGCACGAGATTTTTTTTTTTTTTTCCGAATTTTTGCATTTTTCTCTCTCTCTCTCTCTCCCTCTCTCTCTGTCTCTGACTCGCTGCATGATGGCGGGATCAGTGATGCACGCGTCGCTCGCCGCGACGCTCTTGGTCTTGGGCTTGGCATTGACAGCCTCGGCGGATCAGCTGCAGGCATCTCCCACCAATGTGACCCTTCGTGCGTGCTTCATCAACGGTCCATCGGAGGCAGACGCCATCGTTGATGTCCTCGTCTCGACGTATGGCGGTCCTGATTCCAGCCCGCTGAACTTCAGTCATGTGCCGGGCGATGCCTGCACAGACTACCTTGCCGGGTTGCCCATCTTGACTGGATCCTACAACGTGACCATCTGGAGTCGGGGGGCCCTCAAACCCACCTATCGCTTTGACGATGTTGACCTCGCCGTCCCCAACAGTTCCTGGACTCGCGTCTCCCTCTGGTTCAACTGGGTGAATGACTCTGCCACCGCTCCCCTCGTCTCGGCCGATGGCCTGCGCGTGCCCAACGGTGGCGACATGAACCTGGCCTATATCCGCCTCCTCGACTTTACAACCGGCACACCAGCCGGCACCTCGTGGTATCTGTACTTTCGCAACAGCAACTGCTACCGCTGCAACAACACCCTCATTGCTCCCGCTCCGACCAGCGGCATTTCCGATTACGTCCTTGTGCAAAGCGACTTTGATTCAGAGGTAAGATCAAGCAAACAAGTCTTTCTTCCCTGTGCCTTGGAACCCCCCCCCCCCCCCAGCAAAACTCCCTTGACTCACCTTTATGTTCCTTGATCATCCGGGATTGCAGTTTAGCGTGTCACCCGGTATTCGCCGACATTCCCCTGTCCCCGAGTTTGGCAACCAGTCCTACTGGCTCGGAGAAAAGGGCTTTTACACTGTTATCGTATCAGGCTCTGCCTCCGACCCCACCGTGGTGGTACGTCCCGCGTTGGCTTCGAGCGTGTGCCCTGCCATGTTTAGCCTCTCGATTCATCCTATTCTGTGCCTCCAGATCCGGCGCGATGTGCGTGGTGAGGCCGAACACGGTCCTTCGATGGCCCCCATTGGCTTTACTTTTCTGGTGCTGTTCAGCATCGCGCTCCTCTACTCCCTCTCCAAGGCCTGCAGTCCCCGTGTGGCCGACTGGTGGAAGGATGCCCCAAAGAAGGAGGGCGAACCGGGCGAGACAACGGGTCTTCTTCTGCAGCACGCCACCGTCATGTAGGTCGCCTCATACAGCCCAAGCTCTGATAGGAGTCTGACATGACGCGCTTGCTTGACGCTCACCGCATTTCGCTGGTTCATGCCTCTTTTCCCGCAGGCCCTCGGATGCCGGCATGCACGCCATCCAAGACATGAAGCGCTCCTCGCAGCGCTTGCGTTCCCTGGACAGCTTCCGTGGCTTTGCGCTCACAATCATGATCTTTGTCAACTTCAACGGTGTGTTGGTCCCGGCAAGCTCACATTTACTTCTGCTTTTCAGCACACACGGCGCCTCACCGAGTTACATGTGTGCGAATGCAGGTGGATTCTATTGGTTTTTCAATCACAGTGCCTGGAACGGCTTGACAGTGGCAGATTTGGTCTTTCCCTGGTTCATTTGGATCATGGGCACCAGCATGGCCATTGCATTCAACTCCCTGCTCAAACGCCAGACCCCAACCACCACGATTCTGTACAAGGTCCGATTCGGCTCGTGGCATCCCTGGCCTGCCATGCGCGCCTCACCCTCAACTGATGCATGTTACCTGGTGTCCCTGCCGTGCTTTTGCCCCCAGATTTTCCGCCGCATGTTGATTTTGTTTGCCTTTGGCATCTTTATCATTGGTAACTTTCACGACTTGCGCAACGGTCGTATCCCCGGCGTTCTTCAGCGCTTTGCTGTCTCCTACTTGGTTGTGGCGCTCGTCATGTTGTATGCGCCCAAGATGGAGAGCTGGTGTGCTTCTGTCAGCACCTCCGACTCGCCAACCCCGGCTCTCGTCCGCGGCATTGCCAAGCCCGGCTCGGGTCACCAGCTTGACGTGGCTGCTGACATTGCTGAAATGAAGCCCTGGGTCCGCACTTTTCTGCTTCACACCCGCGACCTCACGCCCTACATTTGGGAATGGGTTGCCATGTTTGTGATCATCATCATCCACACTTGCATCACTTTCCTTTTGCCCGTGCCCGGCTGCCCGACTGGTGCGCAGAACCACCGGCATCTCGGTCCTGCGTTGTTTCGTGACTGGTACCCTTTTGCTCACCACGTTTCTCGCTACCTCGTCTTATCTTGGGCTTTAGGCTACATCGGCCCTGGTGGTGCCTTGGCTGAGTATGGCCAGTTTGCGCCACCCGAGGGCGAGGTGTGCGGCGAGTCGACCTTTTGCTGCGAAGGTGGAGCATCGGGTTACATTGACCGTCAAGTCTTTGGTTGGCGCCACATCTACGATCAACCCACAAGCCAGCCGGTGAGTTTTCAGTCGAGTGGGTTCGGCCCGTTTTCAAGGAAAGTTGTAAAGTACGATCATGCCATGCTGACTCCATCACCTTTGCTCTAGATCTACGAGACTGGCCCATACGACCCGGAAGGTCTGCTTGGTAGCCTGACCTCCATTGTGATGTGCTTCCTCGGTCTTCAGGTTTGTGTCCCTTGCATGGGACGGATGGGGGTTGCCGCATGATCGTCATTGACCCTGGCAAGGGTTGTGCTCACTTGGTGACGTGAAAATATTATGTAGTCTGGCAAAATTATTGTCCACTACAAGTCACACGCGCAACGCAGCCGCCACTGGTTGATGTGGGCGCTTGTTCTGGGCGTCATCGCCACGGGCCTGTGCGGCGCCTCGCAAAACAACGGCGTCATCCCTGTTTCCAAGAACCTGTGGTCACTCAGCTTTATCATTTTGCTGGCCAGCTTTGCTTTTTTCTTGTTGACCGTCTTCTACTGGGTCATTGACGTGTGGCAATTTTGGGACGGTGCGCCCTTCCGCTACGTTGGCATGAACTCCATCTTTATTTACATCTTCCACGGTATGTCAAAGACGTTGTGTTTCACGTGATCCAGCTGGACTTACTCCTGGCCCCGGCTCATTGCCCTGCCCTGTCAAACGTCGACGACTTGAAACAGAGACTTTTGGGGCGAATTTCCCCTTGAGCTGGGCCTGGATGGATGGAGACAACAACCACGGCCGCGAAATTTTTATGGATACCTTTGCCGTCGCCCAGCTCTGCCTTCTCTGCTTCTATTGCTACCACATTGGCTTTTTCATGAAGGTCTAATATGGGCCGAGACTTGACTTTTTCGAGTTGGTGTTCAGCTGCTCTCCAGCTTCACGCATGTTTAGGCTTGACTTTGTTCTTCGTTTTTCTTTCGTTTCCTTTGGTTCTTCTCTGCTGCGCCTTGCACATATACTTTTGGACCGCAAGTGTACGGGCTATGCGCGCGCGCGCGTGCGTGTGTGTATGTGTATGTGTATGTGTGGCACACTTTTTTTTTTGGTTCTTCTTTTTTTTTAGCTCTCCTCTGTGCATCTGGGGTCTGATCTTTTCCCTTCCGGCGTTTTTTGTTTTTTTTTTGCTTTTTTCTTTCCTGTACGTGCTCGTATTGTATTGGAACGTTGTGCGTTGCGCTTGGCTCTTGCTTGGCACACGCAAAACGAGATTGCGTTTGAGATGATTGTTAAGCTAGGGGGCCTGGGCCACTCAGCCAGGCCGCGTAGATGGACATGCCATCGTGTCATCACGTTTGGATATACAATTCAGGCTTCATCCTCAAGCTGAGACCCGTGCATGAAAAAGCTCGAGCCGAGGAGGTAGTGAAGGTCAAGTGTGAAGCGATAAAATTTGAGACTTGTCAACCCAAGAACCATTTCAAGCTGACATGGACGTCCAGAATGCCAGAGAGGACAGCCCTCAGGCTTCCTCATTGATGGCATGTTGGCGAGCAAGCAGCGGGGACGGCGTCGGTAGTTGCAGGGGTGGGGAGGCAGACGAACTTCGATGGGCGGTTGCCTCAAGAGACGGGTGGGAAGGTGGTCCACTGACGGTGTTGTATGGGTTCAAATGCATGTGCTGCATGGCAGATACGAGATGCTGCTGTGTTTGGGGATCGACCGTGCCTCCTTCAGGCAACAACATGGGATGGACAGGAGCAGTGGGCCCAAGCGCCATAGGTGCGGTCATGCCATCAGGCATCGGGCTTCCTCCGGGAAGCTGTGGATTCTGAGCCCAGTTGACACCGTAGTACTGTGGGGTCGAAGGCGCGTACATGGCGCCATTTGCAGCGTAGTAGCCGTTGGGAGCCGAGGCGTAGCCCGGGTGTCCGTTGGCGAAATGAGGGTAGACAGGGTAGGCCGAATATTGAGGCGGCAGCGAGTAGATCTGCTGCATGCCCGGGACAAGGGCTGGCGGACTTGTCATGTAAGTGTAATCGGGGTCTGAGAAGGCAAAGGAAAAGACCAAGCAGGTTGTGAGCACGTCACACACATGTAGCACACATGTAGCACGGAGGATCAATCGTGAGTCTGAACATACATGGGGGCGCTTGGATTGGTACGACACCGGTGGAATGCGCATGCGGCGAGCCAGAGGCTAAAGGTATAACAGGCATCAATGAGCACGTCAAACCATGTCAAATTCGGTTGACAGGAGCGGCAACATCTCCCGAGAGGGCGAACAGAGTCAATGTTGGAGCGGTCGTTCAACATACGATCATAGGAACCACCATTGGCAAGGCCAACCACGGCCGAGCCGCCATAGGGCGACATGTCCGCGACGGGCTGACCACCTGCTAGCACGAGCGGGGCAAGTCATGAAGGTGATGGAACGCTCTTTTGGGAGGGGGAAAGCCTCATGCTGGACAAGATGGCAAGGGCTAGACTTTTTACATGGCAGACAAACCGGTGTGCAAAGCCATGTGGGCCCATGCTGGATGCAGATACTGTCGAAGCTTGTCTAGGACTGTGCTTGGGTTTTGACCCTCCCGCTCCATTTGATTGGCATAGGCCTGTGGGGATGGGAATTGCAAACAAGAGTCGGTGAGGTGTTGAGCAAGCCACGCTGAGATGGAATGTGAGCCAGATGGCCAAAGGCAAGCGCCAAGGGGAAACTCGAGTGAAGAGTCGAGGGCTCAAATCCGATGGTTACCAGAGTGCAGTTGGCCGTCCGACCCTCAATCACAAAAGGGGTCTCGGAAAAGACGATGCGGGCAGTGGAGGCCGGGTTGGCAAACGTCACAAAGCCGTATCCTTTGCTACGGCCGGTGTTTTGATCAGCAATGATGACGGCCTAAGGGTTCCACCACGAGTGGACGATGGTGGATGCGATGAGGGGAGCGATGTGTCCGCGGCTCGGCAGTGGGCTCGAATCTCAAAAGTCAAGCCGAGAGGCTGAACCACAAAGGACGGGCTTGAATCCCCTGTACCTCGACGATTTTGCCGTAGTCACCAAAGATGGACTCGAGGGTCGAGCGTTGCGTGGCGTAGGGGATGTTACCCACAAACACTTTGAGCAATCGAGTGTCAACGCCGCGGCGCATAAAAGAGCGTCGACGCGCACCCCCGCCTATGGATGTGCAAGGATCCAGCAAGATCAGAAGAGCGAAACGCAGGGGAAAGTGAGGAGGCTTTGGTGTATCTGTCTGTCTGTCTGTCTGTCTGTCTGTCTGTCTGTCTGTCTGTCTGTCTGTCTGTCTGTCTGTCTGTCTGTCTGTCTGTCTGTCTGTCTGTCTGTCTGTCTGTCTGTCTGTCTGTCTGTCTGTCTGTCTGTCTGTCTGTCTGTCTGTCTGTCTGTCTGTCTGTCTGTCTGTCTGTCTGTCTGTCTGTCTGTCTGTCTGTCTGTCTGTCTGTCTGTCTGTCTGTCCGTCTGTCCGTCTGTCTGTCTGTCTGTTTGGTTTTGTTTCTCGAGGGCGGCGGCTCGGACGAGGTGATAAGGCATCACTGACGATGGTTCTGAGAGGAAGATTCGCGGGCGTCGCGGTGGCGTTGATGATCGCGGGGCCGAGGCTGATGGTGGCGTTGGTTCGTGTTGTTCGTGTCCGCGCTATCCGCAGAGTCTGCTTGGAAGTTGTTGCCAGGCTCACCCATTGCGTTGGCGTTGACCTCGGCGGGACGAGGCTGCTCATCTGCGGATGTAAACTGCTCCGTCTTGCCTGCAACATCAGCCGCTTCTTCCGCGGTGGTGGAGGTGGGGGCGATCGGCATGTCTGTGGTTGTTGACATTGGCATGGCTGAGCGCTTGACAAACGAGCAAGGATAAGACTGGCCGGAGCTGGGATGGGATATCAAGGGCCGTGGTCGAGATCCGTCAGGATGGCAAACCAAGCAGGAGCGTGCACGGCCCAGATGGCTGTTTTAGGTCGCCTAGGTTGCCCGGACAGGACGGGAACGGCGCGGGTAGAGAGGCAGGCTGGGGACAAGATCGCTGGCGAGGTGGATGGTGGGCGAGCGCAACAGGTGAGTGCGTTGCTCTGATTGCGGCGACGCCTGTGGACTTGACAGGCGGTATCTCTGGTCATGGATGGCAGCGCGATGGTGTCAAGATCGTGACAGCCCTGCTGAACGAATTGTGGTCGATGAGAACCAGCGGCAGCGGGCACGGACTTGGCTGATCAAGCCAACCATTTGGGTTAAAAATAAAGAAAGAAAGAAAAAGAGCAGAAAAACACAACAGTCTCGATTCGCTGGCAAGCGTTGTAGTCGGCTGGCTGTGCACGGGCAAGAAGCAAGAAGCTGCTTGACGTTTGGTGTGGGGGTGCACGCAAGCCGTGGTTGTGTTGTGTTACCACTGTGCGTACAAGGAACGCACAGTGCAACATGTTGTAGTCGTGGTGGGTGGGCGGCCGTGCAAGTAGGCACTGGTGGTGAGTGGGAGATGTGGCAGCAGCTTCTTGGATCAGCTCAGGTTTACCCAAGCGGGAGGACGCCGAACCTACCAGCAGTTGTCAGTACTGGGACGCGCTAGTGGGTTGGTTTGGGCCGGCGAGGGAGGATGCCTTGCTTCCGTCGGATTGATTGACGATCATCACCCCCCAAGACGAGCCTGCATGCACGCAAGACTTGCACGTCAGATGTGGGTATTATACATTCAGCGATGTTTCAACTTTAGAGATGTGTTGTTCATTTTCTTGTCTCCGATGTCTAAAAATGTAAGACAAAGTAAGCTCACGCGAGGTGTGACGCAGTGGTGTGTGTGACGTTGACCGCTGCCCATAACAACCAGCAGACATCCACTTATATACGGTATAACCATACTTTACGCAGCACACTAGGTTAATACTTGGCAACTTTGTGTGGAAGAAAAAAGAGATGTTGCAGCCGTGGCTGTATACGGTATGGGACGAATTTCTTCGTTTCCAAATCGCGACTCCGGATGTTCGTGTTTTTGTTGTTGTTGTTGTTGCACCTGGCGCACCCAAAGGGCAGCGCCACCCGCCCGCCCCCGCCCGCCATCCCCCGCCCTGCCCTGGCTACAGCACGACAGCGCATATGATCAAACAGGATCAAACAGCCTTTGTCGTCAAGCCCCCTCTCTCTCACACACACACACACACACCCACGCACACACGAATTATTGGTTTGGCCCACGCACACCTTCTTCCACGTCACACCTGATGACAACACGAATCTCTCTCTCTCTCTCTCTCGAATCTCAATCTCTCCCAATCCCTCTCTCTTTCTCTTCTCTCTTTCTCTTCTCTCTTTCTCTTCTCTCTTTCTCTTCTCTCTTTCTCTTCTCTCTTTCTCTTCTCTCTTTCTCTTCTCTCTTTCTCTCCTCTAACCTCACTCCCTCTCAAAATCCCGCTCAAACTCTCACTCTCTCTCTCTCAAACTCTCCTCTCTCTCTCTCTCTCTGCGCGCTCAGTGGCTTTTTTTTTTCTCCGCTGGGCTCTCTCTCTCTCTCTCGCGTCCTCGCTCGCTCTCCATCTTGAAAGAGGTTGATGGTCATAGGGTGCGACGACGGTTTTGTGACTGACGTGCAAGCATGATTTCCGAGGTGCCGGTCGAGGGTGGAAGCGCGGTGGCGCAACCGGTCAAGCTGAATGGCCAGGTGAACCTGACGCTTCCTGATTGGGTACACGAGGCGGTCGATGCCGGTGCCACCTACCCCGATGACGAGAGCAAAATGGCTTTGGCCATTGACCTCTCCCGTCGCAACGTCCTGCACAAGACGGGTGGCCCCTTTGGTGCCGTGGTGTTTGGTCCAGACCATCGCATCATCGCCGTGGGCGTCAACCGGGTTGTCCCGCAGGTCTCCTCCCTGGCCCACGCTGAAAACATGGCGTACATGCTCGCCCAGCAGCATCTCCAAACGTACCGCCTCAACGAGAAGAACGCCCCCGTCACCCTGGTCTCCTCTGCCCAGCCCTGCTGCCAGTGCTACGGTGCCACTATTTGGGCCGGCATTGATCGTTTGGTCATTGGGGCGCGCGCCAGCGACGTCATGGAACTCACCACCTTTGACGAGGGACCCCTCCCCGCCGATTGGGTGGGAGAGCTTGAAAAGCGCAACATCTCCGTCACCCGCGACCTTTTGCGTGAGCAAGCCTGCGACGTTCTTCGCAGCTATGGTGAGGGCGGTGGTGACCACTACTAACTCGAGTCACCCGCCTCGGTGCTCTGGGCCCACTTGAAGTGGGCCCTGGGACGCTCCCCTCCTACCGACCGACCGCCTTTCGCTCCTCTGGGAAGAGCAAAGGCTGCGCACGAGTGCGCCCAAAACGTGGTCTGCCTCTCTCTTGCTGTCAATAAAAGCCCCCGTGCGGCTGACCCCAAAATGCTCTTTTAATTGATTGCATCCTTTCCTTGTTTCCCAGTGGCGTCATCATCAGATTGAAACGGCCCTCGAGCTCATGAGGCGAGCAAATCAAATAATCAAAAAATAACGAGCATCAACACGGCACCTTCACACCCACAAAAGAGAGAAGGGTGGGGGAGAGGGAGAAAGGGGGAAAAGATAAAACCTTACTACGCTGCTAACATGAGCACACCCAGCCCTCGTTGTCATGACCGCCTACATGCTGATGATAGGCGCATAGAGGTGATACTCCTTCTCAATCGCCTACGAGCCGAAAGCACAAGATTGAATGTGAGCACCGGGCTCACACCGTCTCGCAGGCATGCTGAGGGAGGAGATGCCATCCACCGCCTGCAGTTTCGCACCTTGATGGCTGCCAAGACAGCATCCATCTGTTCCGGCTTGCCAGCCGAGATTCGCACATAGTTTGACAGATCACCGCCCTGGGTCCCAAAATAACGAATGATAATGCCCCGCTTGCGCAACTCCTACCCCGTCCAACACACACACACACACACACACACACACATCACGTGAGTCTTGTCGGATCGATCAGATGGTGTCACAACGCCTCAGATTCACTGCCCGCCGCCCAACATACCTGATAGAGCGTTTGTGCGGGCAAGCGCTGGACCTCCACCAACACAAAATTGGCGTCTGACGGCACCGGCCGCAACCAGTCCACCTAAGCAAAGGTTGACACAACAAGAGCCATGCCGTTGTGAGAAGTCAAGAAGGTTGCAATCTTAAACTCGCACAAAATTTCGCGCACCTTTGTGAGCTCGGTGTAGAGGCGATCCTTCTCCGCCCGAAGAATGGCCACCGTTTTCAAAATGGTATCGCGGTGCTCGAGTGCGGCTAGACCTGCGGCGTCTGCGGCCGTGTTGACGTTGTAGGGCTGCTTGATGGCCATCATGACCTTGATCAGCTCCGCATCCGCCACGCAGTAGCCCAAACGCAATCCTGCCAAGCCCGCCCTACATACGCCAACGGCGAGAAAAGATTAAGCTCAGGGAAAATGACGGCCGGGCCACAGAAAGTTCACCTCCCTTCTCACGCCACTTCCGTTGTTGATCTGCATTGCCTTACCATTTGCTGAACGTGCGCGCAACCAAGAGGTTGGGATAAGTGCCGAAAAGCGACATGGACGTCGAGTCGCAAAACTCCGCGTAGGCTTCGTCCATAACAATCAAGGCATCCTCCTACACATCATGCGGTGGTGAGAACCCAAAAGTTGTGGGACCCATTGTGGCAAGGGTGTCGTGGCAAGACAATGGCCCGTGAATCCCCTCGGCGAGGCGAGACCAGACGCTCCTTACCTGGCACAAACGCTCTACATCGGCCAAGGGGACTAGAGTGCCCGTGGGGTTGTTGGGCGAAGCCAGGAACACTACAGTCGCCTACTCGACCATGGACGCGCAAGGGCAGCGTCAAGAAGGGCATTATAAGGGTGGGATAGTCGTGCCCGATTGTGCCTTGAAGTTTCGGCGTACCTCATTATCACGGATGGCAGCAATAATGGCGTCCATGTCAAGCGTAAAGTCGTCTTTTCGCTTGACGTTGACCACGGGCACATTGGCCACACTTCCCAAGAACCTTGATTGCACAGGCACATGAGTTGCAGGTGAGATGATGACGCGGCTCAACCCCAATGAGCGACAACGACCCCACAGCGACAGAATAAACAATAAAAAATGGCAAGTCCTGAAACGTGCAGAGTTGAGACGCGGCCCTCTCCCGAACATTTCCCCTTGCCCAAAATCGAGGGAGATCAATGATCTCCGGTCTGTGTACGCACTTGTACATGCCAAAGGTCGGGATGCTGGTAACCATGGCCTTGGGCTGGTTCATGCGGATCACAATGTCCAGGATGTCGTCTGATCCAGCGCCACAGCAAATGTTCTCTGGCTGTACCTCCAACAGCTTGGCCACGGCGGCACGCAGCTGCACCTGGGCCGGATCGGGATACACGTGATGCTCAGCGTTGGCCACGGCCTGCTGCACAGCCTCGGGCAGACCGTAGACATTTTCGTTGGCGTTGAGCTGCAGGCATGGAAAAAAAAAAAAAAAAAGTACAAAGGACATCAATTGTGAGGCACGGTGAGGCGAGATTGGCGGGCTTGGAACCAAGGGGTGCCACTGTTTGCCATGGCGCCGGGGGGTGCCAACCTTGATGAGCTGCTCCACGGGCAGACCAATCTCCTTTGCGATGGTCTCCAGCGGCTCTACGCCGTTGTAGCTGGCCTCGGCCAAGTGGGGGGCAATGAAGCGAGAAGCCATGGTAGCGCCACTGGCCTACAAAAAGATCAACTGTGCAGTGGGAGTCGGGAACGACAGTGCAGCCAGCCTGTCCTGTCCTGTCCTGTCCTGTCGAGTAAACGGCGCGCACGTGTGAGAGGAACAACACCTCGGCAAGATAACGCCCTTGCCCCTCTGCCATTCCATTCTTCCACCCTTTTCCACTGGCCCCCACCCCCAAAGAGATGCGTCCCAGCGATCCTCAACCCAGATCCCGATGCGCACACAGGTCAACAAGGACCCGCCCACGACGCCCCGTCCCGTTCCCCGTGCTCACTGACGACGAGGAAAATGTGAGAGAGAGACAGAGAGTGTGTGTGAGTGAGAGAGAAGAAAGAGAGAGAGAGAGAGCGGAACATGACAGCGAGGCAGAGACAGAGAAGAAACCGAGACAGCAAATCAGATGTAGAGTTGCAAAACCAAAAGAAAACAGAGAGAGAGAACCATAGTAGAGTCGCATGCAGAGAAACGAGCAGATTGCTACCCACAGTAAGAGACACACACGCCTTGAGAATTTGGAGTAAAACAGGGATTTCACCAATTGTGTGGCTTCAGTCGGAGTTATGCTTTAGTACAGCGAACGGCAACACCCAATACCGGAGCTGCCACCGCACTGCCACCGCGCTGCCACTGCACTGCCACTGCACTACCACCGCACTGCCAATGCAAAGCGCGCAGACACCACACCCCTGCCTTGCAACCTATGACCGCCACGACTGCCGCTCGCTTTATTATCTCTTCTTTTTCTTTTACATGTAGTATTTTTACTACTTTTGTGTGTAACGTTATCATTTAACGTTCGTATCTCTTTTCTTGTCTATTTCGGTTTTTCTTATTGTCAGCATTTTCTCTGTGGCTTAACAACGATGGCGGCGACGGCGACGGCGACGGCGGCGGCGACGGGTTTGGCTGGCACGGGTGTGAATGCAACGGGGAATGCAACGGCTGCAGGAGGATTGGTGGGGGCGGCGACGATTGGATCTTCGACCGTGGGTAGTAGCAGTGGTGGTGGGGCGCCTAGCAGCGGACGGATCAAGTGGTGTACCGACTTGGAAAAGCAGAGCTTGGTGACAAACTTCGAGAAGCGGCACTGGCAGCGCACGGCTCGTGATGGCAACGATTGGAACATATACTGGGCCACGGTGGGCACGGTCCATCGCCTCTTCAGCCCGGACAGCGGCTTTCGCCTCAATGATCACCAGCTCTTGAATCACTTCCCCAATCACTACGAGTTGACCCGAAAAGATTTGATGGTCAAGAACATCAAGCGCTACCGTCGTGACTGTGAACGTGATGGCTCTCCCCTCGCAGCACGTGGACCTGATGGCTCCTACCTGCATCTTGACCTCGTGCCCGGGACATACATGTTGCCGAGCGAGTACGGCCTCTTTGTCGACGAGTTTCGCCGCTCCCCGGGCACGTGGATCATGAAGCCCGCTGGCGCTGCACAGGGCCGGTACGTCGCATCCCCCCACGTCCTCGCTATTTCGTCGGTTCTTTGTCGTGTGAACAAGGGGCTAGATCGTTGCACACTCGGCCGTACCTGGTTTTCACCACAACCCGCCACTTCCCGCTTTTGCGTGTCCCACCTATAGTGGCATTTTCCTCGTTAATAAACTTGCCCAGCTCAAGCGCTGGTCTAGAGAAGCCAAATCGCAGGCCAAGACTTATGTCATCTCCCGCTACCTGGACGCACCCTTGCTGATTGGCGGCAAAAAGTTTGACCTCAGACTCTACGTCCTCGTCACCTCCTTTCGGCCACTACGTGCCTACATCTCGCGCGAGGGCTTTTGTCGCTTTTGTACCGTCAAGTACACCGCCAGCACCGTGTCCATGGATAACATGTACGTCCATCTTACCAACGTGTCCCTACAAAAGCACAGCGAGACCTACAACGATGTGCACGGAGGCAAATGGACGCTGCAAAACCTGATGCTATACATGGCCGTACGTTTCAACAAATCCACGACTCATTTTGACTGGCATGGCCAAGGTCTTGCAACACGCCTCGCGCGACGTGGGGCGCCGTTCATGCCTAACCCTCTTTCCTCCGTTTGACAGGGCACTCGAGGCAGTGCAGCGGCCCAGCAGCTGCATGACGACATGATGTGGGTTATTTTACAGAGCTTAAAAAGTGTACAGAACGTTATGGTCAGCGACCGACACTGTTATGAAATTTATGGCTACGACATTATCATTGACGCCGCCCTCAAGCCTTGGCTCATTGAGGTGGGCCTCCAGTACAACCCGCTTGTTGAAGCCCGGATCTCTTCATATTGCGATTGAGCGGGCTCACCCTCACTCCTCCCGCCTATGCGGTACGCCTAGGTCAATGCGTCCCCTTCTCTCTCCGCCACCACCATAGCAGACCGGAACATGAAGCACACTGTTATCAATGATGCCATGAACATCCTGTGCCCCGACGGTCAAATGCCCGACGTAAAACGTTACCACGTGCCAACGGCTGCCCAGGTCAGATCATCTGAGCACGTGATGCGTGTGAATCAGCTGCGACTCCGCTGCCCGGCGCTCAGACGACAGCTCAAACCGACTTTGCTCAACTCGTGTCACATTTTTGTGGGTGGCTGTAGATGGGCTCATTCGAAGTATTGTACGATGAAACGCTCTTGCCTGCTGCCAACACCGCCAAACCTGGCAAAAAGGGGCCGCGGCGCACTGTCAGCACAAGCTCAACGTGGCGCTAGTCCTTTCTTTGTTTGTCGTTGGCAACCCCTACTGGAAAAGGGTGATGGCGGGACGCGGGTCGTCCACCATTAATTGTCAACGTGTATTTGATAGATCCCTCTAATTGCAGCACAAATACTTTAGAACAGCTTTTCTTCCATATCAGTTCGTATCTGGCCATGTGGAGCAGCAGTCGCTGAGGCGTGTTTGCGAATCTGGAAGTTGATGGCGTTGTCAAGTGTCTCCCGCGCAATAGTTCAATTAGGACAAGAGGGACGACACAATCCCAAGAACACACGTGCAATCACTGGCTCTTTTCCTTCTTGCTCTTTTTACTCTTTTTCTCCTTGTCGGACTTGGCGCTGCTCTTCTCCTTCTTCTCCTTCTTCTTCTGAACGTTCTTATCCGACTTCTCCGACTTCTTGTCCTTTTTGTTCTTCTTATCCTTCTGGTCCTTCTTATCCTTCAGGTCCTTCTTCTCCTTCTGGTCCTTCTTCTCCATCTTCTCCTTCTGGTCCTTCTTCTCCTTCTTCTCCTTCTTCTCCTTCTTTTCCTTCTTCTCCTTCTTTTCCTTCTTCTCCTTCTTATCCTTGGAGTCGGACACTGAACAACACAATCCAGATGAGGTCTCGGCTGTCAGGGCATTCAAACAGCACCAAAACATACCTGACGCACTGGTCTTGCTTTGAATCTCTGCTACAATCGACGGAAGAGCGGTGGTGTCGCGATGAACCCGCTTGGCTGCCGGGGCGCCCTCGGAATCCGCATCTGCCTTTGATTGCTGGCTCTCCTTCTTGTCGGCCTTCTTGCTCTTTTTAGACTCTTGCTTGCTTTCCTTCTTTGCCTTGGCCTTTTTGGCCGGTGGCTGAGGAGCCTCCGCCTCCGGTTCGGAGGATGAGGAAGACGAAGACGAAGACGAAGACGAAGACGAGGACGAGGACGAGGACGAGGACGAGGACGAGGACGAAGACGAAGACGAGGCAGCCGGCTTTGACGATTTGGCGATGGGCGTTGCCTTAGCCTCTTTAGCCTTGCTCTCATCCTCCTCCGAAGAGGAGGAAGACGACGACGATGAGCTACTAGCAGCGTCTGACTTCTTCTTCTTTTGAAGCTGCTTCTTCTGTGGCGTCGACTGTTTCTTCGAAGTCTCGTCCTCAGATTCCGAGTCTGAGGACGAGGAGGAAGAGGAGGACGAAGACGAGGAGGCTGCAGCCTTCTTTGTCAGCTTCTTCTTCTTGTCGCTGGTCGATGCAGGCTGCTTCTTCTGCTCATCCTCTGAGGAGGACGATGAAGACGAGGAGGATGAGGATGAGGACGCAGCCTTCTTTGTCATTTTTTTCTTCTTGTCACTGGGCGATGCAGGCTGCTTTTTCTGCTCGTCCTCTGAGGAGGACGATGAAGACGAGGAGGATGAGGATGAGGATGAGGATGGTGCAGCCTTTTTGGGTGTAGAAGCAGCCTCGGATGATGTCCGCTTGTTGCTATTGTTGTTGTTTTTGTTGTTGTTGTTGTTGTTGCTGCTGTTGCTGTTGCCCGTTGCAGGGTTGAACACGCTCCAAAGGGTATCAATCTGGTGTGGGGGCAGGCGGTAGCTATCCACATGATCAAGACGTTCAGTGAGAAGACAGAACAAGCAACAAGCGCATTCAACTGTCTGTGACGACTGCCCATTCAACAGGACACAAACCTGCTGCGCACAAAGTTGCGGAATGGCTTTTCTTTGCGAGGGACGTTGGCCGCGTCCTCCAGCTGATGGGTGGGGTTTGAAGCATCTCGTCAGGGATGTGCACAATACAGCCGTGCACATGGTCCAAAGCATGAAACACACCTTATCCAAAGTGTTGCGCAAGTTGGGATGCGCTGCTTTGGCTTCGCCAATGCGAACGCGAAGCGTCTGCGGGAGCCAAGAAACCCGATGTCAGGCGTAGGCGAAGCTCTTGGCCGAGGCATCAGTGGAGCGAATGTCGATTCCAGCTTACCTCAAGCCAAGCTTGCTGCTTGGCATTTCCCTTGCTGAGAGATTTGCCTCCCTTGAATAAACTGCCCTGATACTTCTCCTCTTCGGATATACAGCTATCCGGTGCCAAGCCAAATCAGGTCCACGACGAGGGACGCTTGCAAATGGCAGATACAGCTCGGAGAGATACCCACCTCGTATGCTGCTCGTATTCATCACCATGAAAGTCACGACCACAGTCAATGCATGACAGCGTATAGCAGTCGGGGCACTTGGTCTTGTAGTGGTTCTCCACCTTTGCACGGCACGGGACCGAGGCCGCAGACGGGATGAGCTATGCGCCACCGGGCAAGCGGGCAGGTGCATGTTCTGTACCTTGTTCTTCTTGAGGGACTCGCCACAGGCGCCACACGTAAAAGTCACCATGATGCCTGATCACCTGTTCCAACATGCGGCACAACAGTACCCAGCAAATGCAGCAGCACCAGAAGCCGTCGTGAGAGCGGGAAAGAAAGTTTTGGCGACAGCCCACCCTCTCACCAAATCTCCCTCCGGGAAAAACACACACACACACGCGCGGGAGGACAAGCGAACCTGGAAACGCAATCAAGGAGACGTCTGCCGCGGAAACAAGGGGCTCTGAGGACGGCGGCAGCAGCAGCAGCAGCAGCAGCAGCAGCAGCGCGTGTACATCCAGAAAGGGGGCTACTTCCGATCCAGCTCAAAGACTTGACAATGTACAGTATCACCATTCTCGAAACACACTTCACACACACACACACACACGTGTTCTTCTTTGGTCACTCGCTCTCTCTCTCTCTCTCTCTCTCTCTCTCTCTCTCTCTCTTACTTTTTTTCTTTTCTCCTTTCATCTTCTATCTCTCTTCTCTAAAGCTTCTTTCTATTGATGATGGTGATGGCGTGTTGTTTCTCTTGCTGGCATCGTGTTGTGCCGCTCTTCATCGGTACCAAAACGGCATCATAATGAGAATAGATGTTATTCTTGAGAAATTCAACGGCTCGATTGAGACTCAGAGAGATATGGCCTCGGGACTCACATCAAGCACGCAAAAGTTTAAAAAAAAAAGGAAGAAAAGAGGGGGGAAAAACCAAGAAACAAGCTGTTTAGAGCTTGGGCATGCCAGCAACAATCTGGCTCTCAATGCCGCACTCATCGACGCCCTTCTTGATCTTGAAGAAGCCGTTGTCTCCCCAGTCGTTGTTCCAGGAGTTGGCGACCCACCAGTAGTCGACGCCGCTCTCAACACCCCAGCCGATAATCTTGATGGCATGGCCACCGAGAACCTGGCCGGTGGTGTGTTGGTAGACACCAGACTTGTAGGTCAACAAATCCTCGTAGACGGTGAAAGCACCCTCAACGGGGCCGTTGGTCATGATCTCAGTGGCAATCTTGTCGGCCTCGCCGGCGACAGAGTAAGCGGTGGCACCAAAGTGCTTGTCGTTCGAGTATGTGTTGTTGTAGCCAGCCTCGCAGGACTTCTTGCAGGCAGGGGTGGGGCCCTCACCAGAGCAGGCGGGGTACTGGCCAGAGACGTGGTGGTCGCAGTTGGGGAGCGAGTAAGGCTGGCAGCCCTGGCTCGAGTTGTAGTTGCCGCCGGTGACAATACCGGTGGTCTTGAACCAGGACCAGGCAGCCGAGGGGTAGCCACCGCTGCAGCCGCTGCCGCAGGTGAAGAGGCAGCAGGTCATCAGATCCTGAGCAGAGATGTGGGGGCGCAGAGAGCCCTTGGAAGCGATGCAGATGCGGTCAGTCATCGACTCGACGGCACCAAAAGCCCAGCACGAGCCGCAAGCAGCCTGGTCGCGGATCTCCTTGGTGGAAGGGCAGGTGGAGCCCCACTGCTCGCGAGAGTCGAAAGCGGTGGGCAGGTCGGCAAGCACGGCAATGTCCTTCTCGGGGAGTTGAGGACCACCCTCAAGCACACCCATCTGGCTCTTGATAAAGTCATCGGTGGCGCGCGCGAAGCGGCTGTTCACGCCGGCTGTCCAGCTGCAAGATGGTATTTCGATAGCATTCGCATTGCGATCCGTCAACCATGAGTACAAGTGTCTCGTATGATGCGGGTGCGCCACCAATTATTTATTTTAAAACGCACAAACGGTTGCCAAAGTGGCAGCCCGATGCGGTTTCAAGCAATCACTGACCTGGTCTGGGCTTGGTTGACCTCAGCAGCCACCTGCTCGTGGCGGGTAGCAATGTGCAGGTGAGCCTCGATCAGGGGCTGGGCAAGCGAGGCTGCCGCCATCGCCATCAGCATCATCAGAGCCATCTTGGTCGCCGCCATCTTGCTCCGTTCACTGAAAGAAGAAAAATGCCCGTTGCCGCCTTCCCGTCATGTACACACCCCTTGATACACTTTCCCACACGTATCAACATGTTCCCATGCACTAACACACGGGAATCCCTCACACCCATACACCCTCATCCTCACACCTATAACACCAGATCCGATCGGAAGCAGCTTTATGGTTTTTGGAGGAGACCCTATGAAACACAACACACTTTATGAACGTGTACGGCTTTGGCTGACAATTTGAAATGAAAGTGTGATAGAATTCATACTATCGCTTAAAACTGCTTTTGACAATTTCGGCGCAAAAAAAAATTCAATCTCTCTCTCTCACTTTTGGCGCGCCGCGCTTTCTCGCCGCTCTGCGAACTGCGCCGCTGCCTCTCCTCTCGCCTCCCTCTCTTCTCCCTCTCTTCTCCCTCTCGCCTCCTTCTCGTCTCCCTTCTCGCCTCCCTCTCGCCTCCTTCTCGCCTCCCTCTCTCTCTCTTTGATCTGTGGCTGTGCCTTTGTGGTAGTTGACGGGCTGCTGTGGGCAGCAGGGATGAGTAGTTGAGCGTGATCAAAGTGCCTGTTAGACCCCAAATTGAGCGCGTCCTCATCATGTTGTGGACGAAATGGGCATCGTTGATCGGGCTGCGCCTCGTTCTTGCGCTGACCCTATCCACTAGCTTCGTGCCCGATGAGTTTTGGCAGGGTCCAGAGGTTTGATTCCATGCCCCCATGGCCCGAACTTGTACTTCCGCTGTCCTTCCGCAACCCAGACACACCACACGCACACATTGACCAAAGTTCGGCCGTCACCCGCTTACCTTGCCCCGTAAACACTGTTGATAGGTGGCCTATCGCATGGTGTTTGGCCAAGGTCATCTCACATGGGAATGGCAGGCCGAGCTGCGCAGCATCGTGCACCCTGCCATCATTGCCGCTTTTTATGCGCTTTTGAAGACGCTCCACCTCGACTACCCTGCACTCCTGGCCCGTGGTCCTTGGGTTGTGCAAAGTAGGATGCCCTCCAGAAGCGTCGGGCTCTGCCACCATGACACCTTTTTTGTTTTTTTTTTGTTTTCGTGTCGCTCATGACTGTATCGTTTGTATCTCACACATTCATTCACCTCCAGGTGTCTTGGTCGGCGTGGCCGACGGTTACACCCTCAAGCTGACCCGCAGCTGGTTTGGGCACCACGTCTCTCGTTTTGCCTACTGGGCTGTCGTCTGCAGCTGGTTTATCGCCTTCAACGGCTTTCGTTCCCTCTCTGGCTCCATGGATACCTTGCTTCTACCCAGTCAGTCCATCTTGCACAAACTGATGACCCCTCACCCACGAGGAAACGGCTCATCCACTGTTCGTGCGCCGTGCAGTTGCCCTCTTCTACTGGCCCGATGGCCTTGCTGAACTCGATCGCTATCACGCCTTGGGCATCGGCTTGGCAGCGCTGCAGTGTATCATCCGCCCCACCTCAGGTTGACAAACTCGGCTTGTCCCCACAACGGCTACGCGATGTTCCACTCTTCCTGTGGGCTGATGGCTCTTTGCCCGCCTGTGTCATCGTTGTTTGTTGCCCCGGCCAACCCATCCAGGCATTGTGTGGATCCCATTCGGGCTGACAACTCTCTACAATATATTTCTGGCCCCAGCTCCGGGCCGCTCGCGTCAGAATCAGATGGGACGTGCTGTGCATTTCATCGCCTTGCTATTGACTCTAGGCTTGGCTGCTCTTGGAGTCCAAGCCATCGCCGATCGCCTATTTTACGGGCACTGGACCCTTCCCATGCTCAACTTTGTCCGGTTCAATCTACTCACGGTCAGTCCAAGACCTGCTGCAAAGTAATGGTGCGCTCGTGTGCTTGACAATACATATATTTGCCTGCTCCTCGTCTTTCTCTAGAACGATGCTGATCGCTTTGGCGTCCACCCATGGCATTGGCTGCTCACCCAGGTTTTGCTCTCTCTCTCTCTCTCTCTCTCTCTCTCTCTCTCTCTCTCTCTCTCTCTCTCTCTCTCTCTCTCTCTCTCTCTCTCTCTCTCTCTCTCTCTCTCTCTCTCTCTCTCTCTCTCTCTCTCTCTCTCTCTCTCTCTCTCTCTCTCTCTCTGCGACTCGATTTTAAGCCTTGACTCTGCCTGCGGCCCTTTCTCTACTATGCATAGGGCTTGCCAATCATTTGCGGTAGTCTTTTCCCTTTTGCGTTGCACGGTGTCTATCTGAAAGGTAAGCCTTCTTTTTTTTAAATGGTTCGGAACATGCGTGTCCTCGTCTCTGCACTCGCTTAT